GACGAATGTTATCTGAACCCAAGTTACATGTTCGTCAATTGTAAAAAGTCTTGTAACAAATGTGATGAGGGTAAGATCCTCAAAACCTACTTTATTTAAAAAGACAATCATGAATTGCTAATTAACAACATTGTAGCGCGTTCCATAATTTTGCCTCTGGTTAGAGAAGGGTGTTTACGAATGTCTGTTGGTAGAATGTCTGGCCTGATGGCCACTGAATACATTGGTTTAATTCTTCTTAAATCTGTTTCATTTAGCAATATTAAAAATTAGGGTTGAATCGTCATTCAAAATTATAAGAATTACGGATGATCAACAAAAAAAAAACGTAAAGAAAATCATGACATACTAGACTACCCGTTATTCTTGAATAACCCTGTGTTTTGGGGGAAATCCATAAGTTACGTTTGTTTGACAATTTTTATCGTTTCCCTTCTTTTTCCCATTGTCACACATTTTTAGAAAAAAAACCAGAACCCACATTGAAAAAGACGTCACATGTCAGACATGTTTTCTACTTTTAAAAACACCGATCTGGACCGAGCAAGTGTCTGACCACACTATCGCTTCATATTTTGAGGTCAAAGAAACAAGTAAACTCTACTTCACCTGCCAAATGTCCCGTCAAGTCCCGTATGGCAACTTTATCATTCTCATCTAAAGAGAAGTCACACCTCCGCTTGCATGTTTTTGTCTTTTAAAAACACCGATTTCTTTCTATAGAATTTTCTGAGCTCGAACCTTATTTAAATAATAAATGAATGCTTTATTAAAACTACTGTCAAACTAATAATAATGAATTATAACCAATTGCGTGTGCTGTGATTTCCTACTGTGAATTAAAAAAAAAACAACATTGCCATGCTGTCTCGAACCCCTCGCATGGTGTCTATTACATTATCATCTCAGCCAGCTCGGCCCTTCCGATTAGTTGCAAATTTAGTGGGATAGAGCCAGCGTATGAAACTTAAGTTACATGAATAAGCCTTATTATTTCAAAACGTATATATATATATATATATATATATATATATATATATATATATATAAAATAATTAAGGTCTGACATAGTTTAGTCTAGAAACTCATTCTAAATCTAGATAGAGCTGATCTAGAATCTAGATCTAGAATCTACGGCTGGCTTAAGTCCAGTGTCTCTTCCAGACTTTTTTCTCCGGGGGTGCACTTGAAATTTTCGGGAGGGCGGACTACAATTTCCGGTGGGGCGGACACAGTCAAAAGTATATATTTTCTATATACATTCTATTTCTTTTTGGGGAGGGGGGGGGCGGTAGACTTTCTTCGGGGGTGGGGGGCACCGCCCCACACCCCCCCCCCCCCCCGAAGAGATGCCTGGAAGAAACTTTGCTTAAGTCTAGTTTTTGCTCTCTATATTTAGAAAAATTCCTTGTATTTTCGAATTAGATGATCTGTGAAGCTAAAAAGAAAAGATTCATATCAAATATTAAAGGAATAAAATAGTTTAAAAAACAAACTCAATTTTTTTTATCGAGTAAACTTAGGTTTGGCTTATCGGTATATCTAGAATCTCTAGACACAAGTTCTAGGTTAGCTCAATTTTTTGTATATTCAAATTAGAAGAACTGCCCAGCGTATCCCAATGAAAATTGATAATAGTGTTGGAATCTAACAAAAATAGCAAACAGACGTACTGTTAAAGCTAAAGCCGACATAAAATTTAGCTTTATAATAAACTTTTGAATGGGCAACAAAGTCTTCCATGGAAGCCGCCATGTTTGTTGTTAACAAAAAATAAATGAATCATGTGATTTCATTATAAATACAGTAATTGTTCTAAACTTTGAAACAGTAATGTGTTGTTTCTACCAATGAGTATATCAATAAATTAATCAACGTCTTTAAATGAAATTGTGATTTACAGTTTGGTAAAAAAGAACATAATTCTCTACATAAATACGTATTTTGGTAAGATTCGTAGCACATATAATCAGGGTTATTTTTATTTTATTTTTAAATTTTCCCACAAAGATAATGTACAGTTGGAAATCACAACGCACGCAACTGGTTCTAGATCATTACTAGTTTGACGTTAGCTTTAACAGTTTGTCATTTTTTAAAATTCAAATGAGGTTCGCGCTCAGAAAATATTGTAGAAATAAATCGATGTTATTAAAACAGAAAAGCATGCAAGCTGAGGTGTGACTTTTTTTTTAGGTTTGAATAATAAAGATGCATTTCGGACTTGCCGCGCACACGGCAGGTAAAGTAGAGTTCATCTGTTTCAGTGACTTCAGCATATGAAGGGATAGTGTGGTGAGACCCATGTTCAGTCGAAGTCGGTGTTCTTAAAGAGAAAAACATGTTGGCTGAGGTGTGCCGTCTTTTAGATGTGGGGTCTGGCATTTTGTGACGATGTGTGGCAGTAGGGTGGAGGCAGGGAAAGTTGCAAGTCCTTAAACCCACTGTTATCCAATAATAACGGGTAGCCTAGTATATACTAAAACAGCTATGGGTAGGCCTTTACCCGCTCGCTGAGGGTTAAAAACTGACCGAGGGATAAAAATATGCTCGAATTTTCGTCTTGTTAATTAAATCTTAAAACCATTTTTTTTACTGTCAAATTAACTGTCAAATAATAGGCGGTAAGTTAATATAAACTTTTAAATTCTTTCAAAGCAAACACTATAACGACCAACGATGTGCGATACGAGTTGGTTGAAGAATTGAAGACGTGGACGGAAGCAAAGGTAACCCAAAGTACCGTGTTGGTTTCTGCATTTTTACTTTCTCGTATATACGAAGTATAGAGAAAGTCTTGTAATCGTGCAAAAAAAAAAATAATAATCGAGATTTGTAAAAATCTCGACGTTTTACACCTCACTGATACGGAAAAACATAGTTTTGCAATCTTGTCCGTATGTCTGTGTGTATGTGTGTGTCTGTCTGTCTGTGTGTAAACACGATAACTTGATTACCGTTGCAGCTAGGTTGATGAAATTTCATATATAAGTATTTTATCGAAATCGTAGATCCGTATCAACTTTTGAGCGATTTCCGATAACCGAAAGTGGTACTTTTTTACTTTGAATTTTTCAAAAGCCTATAACTTGAGTATTATTTCTGATAGATAAATGAAATTTCACATGTAAGTAACAGATCTAATTCTCTAACTTCTGTCCTTCTGTCAAATTTTGAGTAATTTCCGTTGACCGGAATTACTAATTTACGCTATTTCCGATTTCACAAAAAAGCATGTAAATTTATAAAGTACTAATAATATTGCGCACTATTATGCACATTTTGTTTTGGCGTTCGCTTGGTGCGCAAATCTTTTTTCTACTAGATTTTATTCTATTTTTAAAAGTTTAAGTAAACAAAAATCATGTCTATATTCCAAGTTGCCATCCCACGTAGTGTTGTATTAGAATATTCGAGAAAGTTTAGGGGAGATCACTCCCGGTTTATTTTTAATTTATATTTTATACTTAAACGCAGATGGAATGCAAAAAAAGATCATCTATTTTCGCAAAACCTGAAACCAAACAGCAAATAGATTTGTTCCGAAACCATTATGCTCAAGGTTTGTACCTTTTGTAATAGGCCTACTCATTTAAAGCTGTTATTTTAAAAAATCTGACATAATGAATTTATCATATGGAATCAACATTTGAATCTCTTTAACAAATACCCCTAGGATAACGACGTTTTTCTTTAAAAATATAATCTAACACTTGCTATGCTGCAAAAATATTGCTAGAAACTGATTTAAATACAGTTTCCGCTAAGGAGTATTTTATCGGACGGCTGATTACACAAAATTATTTTGACACCCGCTTGACTAAAATCCTTTCCTCATAAGTTGACAAAAAAAAAAAAAAAACGCGTTTTTTTAAAAAAATTAGATTTTGCAATCTAAGCGATCGTAAAAATAAAAATAAAAACTTAAGCCTAAAAATAATTCAGACATTTATTATTTATAGAATCAATATTATATAAGTTGCAAATCCATAGAACTTGAAAATAAGTTGTTGCGTTTAAAAATCTACATTTGTATTTATTGTCATAAAGCCTAAGTTTAAACCCGATGTTTCACTTTTGTAAGACAAACATTAATTAGCTGTACAGGAACTCAGTGATCGATTTTCTGACAGCCGGGATTTTATACACATATTAATTAAAATTACACAGTGCATGATTTTTAAATATCTAATCGGCCTATCTAATAACTTCGAGGGTATTCTAGGTAGGGTCCATTTAGACACGTATGAAAACGCTGATTAACAGAAGTAAATTGCAATCTTTAACTCAATATTGAAGCGTGATTTGGCGTGATTTAATGCTTATTTAAATAGTTCCCTTTCTAACCCGACGGTCTATGGGGCAAGTGAGGTAGAGTTCACCTGTTTCTACGACATCGGCATATAAAGGGATAGTGTGGTCAGCACTATGCCCAGCCGCCGTGGCCAGCACGATGCCCACCTTTATTTTCCCTAACGTGAGTTAGATACTCATCCCGCCTGGTTGAAATCGGGACGTTCTATTGACTCGAACCCGGATTTGAACTTGCGACGTTTGGATTAGCATTCTCGCTCTCTACCACTAGTCCACTCCGTCCCATTTGTTTATGTAACCTACCATATGCTATTGCATTTAATAATCAGTAAAATGACTGGACAACTCTGTTTTATTTCGGGGTTGACACTAGTGTTTCTATCAAACGTGTTCTTGAGGGGGGGGGGATAATAGGAACGTTCGGAGGGGGAGGGGGTTGGCGACTAAATTTTGCGGGAGGCGGACACGGTAAAAGTATTTTATTTTTCAATATAAATTCCATTTCCAAGAGATACCCGAAAGAAACACTTGTCATCACAGTTAAAAGAAAAAAAGAAGATAGTTATAAAAGTTCGATGCTTATGTGATTTTAGATTCATATTTGGAGACAAATGCGCTGAGGGGATCCCATATGTCTTCCGACCTGGTGGTGGCGCAGAGTTCAATATACCATCTCTTACAATAACATGTCTTTTTCTTACCTGACAGGTCCAATATGGGTCGGCGGTAATGACTTGGGAAGAAAACACAGGTATACATGGGAGGGCAATAGAGGCCTAGTTCAATCGTTACATTTCGACGCAACACCTCGCAGTGAGGCCAGTTGTGTGGCTATAGACAGATCAGGAACCCTGCGGAAACAGAACTGTCACTTTAAAATGAAGTTTCTCTGTGCTCAAAGAGGTAAGCTATAGTAGAGTTAAGTGGTTATCTTCTTCTTCCTCTTGATTGAATATTATAATTAAGGAAATCTCCTTTAATTAAGAGTTCCGTTGTATGCACCGTAAATTGACTGTAGACTCCTAAATTTTCTGTACATGCTTGCGTAATATAAGTCGTACCAAAAGCCATTTGCAAGGTTGCAGTTGTTTTATCTTGATTTATAAACCTGGGCAGGTTTTCTTTAATAGAAAATTAATAATTAAACAAAATAAACAAATATAAATACATTTATATTAACGAAATATTAAATGCAATTAAAATATGAAAATTATCTTTGACGTTCTTTAGCTTTTTTAGTTAACATAGGATAATAGGTTGCAAGTAACCTTAAACTCAACACAATTGAGGCTACTTGTATTGGTTTGGTGGAGGATGGTTACAAAACCCTTCCCCTATATATTGCAAATACATTTCTCTAGCTTAAATGTGTTGTAATTTGCTCCAAGTCTTGTCTTCTTCTTCTTCGTTCTTAATTTTAGAGTTGGAAGGTATCCCCTCCAACACAATTAAGTATACGTGTCAACTGGATATGCGCCATTGAGGCAATTGACTCCGATTTCAACCTGCTTTTCTTTTTGGATTTGCTTCCATAGCCTTTGTCCAACCATGAACAAACTATAAGGCAGCAGTTTTATTTTTACTTTCTCGTATATACAGATTATAGAGAAAGTATTGTAATCGTGCACAAAATCGAGACTTTAGTGAATATCGACGTTTTACACCTCCCTGAGTTGGAAAAACCTAATGTAATCTTGTTCGTATGTCTGTGTGTGTGTGTATGTGTGTATGTGTGTCTATAAACACGACATCTTGAGCACCGTTACAGCTAGGTTTAAGAAATTTCATATATAAGTATTACATCAAATTCGTAGATCCGTAACAACTTTTCAGCGATTTCCGATTATCGGAAGTGGAACTTCTTCTACTTTGAATTTTTCAAAAGCCTATAACTTGAGTACTATTTCAGATAGATAACTAAAATGTCACATGTAAGTAAAAGATCTAATTATCTGTTTTCTGTCAACTTTTGATTAATTTTTGACCAGAAGTAGTAATTTACGCTATTTCCGATTTCTCAAAAAACGCATGTGAATGTATAAAATACTAATAATATCCCGCACATTTTGTTTGGCGTTCACTTGGTGTGCAATTCTTTTTTCTACGAGATTCTATTCTATTATAAAAAGTTTAACTAATTAAAAATGGATTAAAAATATTGTCTATATCCCGAGTTGCCATCCCCCGTAGTGTTATATAAGAATATTCGAGAAAGTTTAGGGAAGATCCCTCCCGGTTTATTTTATTTTGGAGTTGTCTCTCCTAGAAGAGTGGCTGTCCACATCTGCCCGGGCCCAAGTCTTTTGTTTCTTGTATATTTCAGTCACAGGCTGCCCTTTTCAACCAGCAATAGAAAACGGTATTTGGACCCAGTGTGAATACCACATTGGGGGCAGGTGTATTCTGCAGTGCGATGAGATGTATCGGCTTCAAGGGGATAATATGATCATCTGCGGACTGGGTGTTCTTAATAGGTGGAGCACTGCTGGAATTTGCAAGGGTAATTGTGCTATCAGCCACTAGAGTTGAATCAGAGAGAGAAATAGAGGGTACATTGGTATTTAAATAACTTTAAAACGGGCATTTAAGCATGTTTCATCAGAATTTTAATAGAAAAAATTATTTAATTTTTTATTTTTTAATTTCATCACCATTTTATTTATAGGTAATATATATATATATATATATATATATATATATATATATATATATATATATATATATATATATTGCAGTTAAAGCCTGTCCCTATCCGCCTCGAGTTAAAGACGGCATATGGACACAATGTAATTATGACTACGGCGGTACCTGCGTTTTACAATGTGACGAAAGCTTTACTCTCCAAGGAAAAAGCACAGTCGTCTGCCAGAATAATGGCAACTGGACTGCACCGGGAAGTTGCATTGGTAACTGATTTTTTTAAACTAATTTAACTGTAGTCCTAGTTTTATGTTATTATCAACATTTTTTTTCGTGTAATCTAGCTAGGTTAAGTTTTTTTTTTTTTAAAAACGTTCTACAACTGGTGGCGTAACAAGGCGGAGGGAGAAGGCCCATACCTGATGACATCAATTTAAAGGGGGGGGGGGGGGGGGGGGTTTGACAAAAAATCCTAACAGTTGCTGTTCAATTGATATGGTATGTTGTTAAAGGAACAAAACAATGTAAAGAGAGACGGGTGACACCAAAACGAAAATTGTCTGCAGGGAGTCTGGGGTGGGTTGGTGAAATGACAACCTCAATAGGGCTGGTAAGTAGGCCACCAACAAGTTCTATGGCCTATGCAGGTTTTATTGAGCCGTAGAACTTGTTGGTGACCTACTTACCAGCCGTATTATCGCCCTACCTAGCGACGCCACTGACTACAACACAATTAAACGGACCAGTTATATGTACATATTGTTAACCACACCTTGTGCTGAAATACAAATTTAACAGAAAAAAACAGGATTGAATAATAAACTTATTGTACTCAACAGGGTCCGAACACAGATTTGAATACAACGATACCAGCTTTGTACTGTACCGGACGAAGGAAGATTGGCACTCTGCTAATGTAAGATATAAGTCAAGTGGTTCTTGTTTACAATAGGCCGAGGTAGTAGGGGATAATAATAATATCTTGAGGGACGGGTATGGTGTGGGGGATAGGGATAGAATAAACTATTATTTACGAGTAATTCGTACTTAGACAACATGTAGAACACACAGTAGCTATAATTTTGGACAGGTTATTAGACATTTTTTCTATAGAAAGGGGGGTGAGGGGGGCATTGAAAGCTTCCTTGTGGGAGTGGGGAGGCAAATACAAAATTTCCCGGAGTAAATGGGGGTTAATGTATATATATTTTCTTTTTGGATTACATTTTTTTCTATTTCTTATGTGGTGTCGCGGTGCCTACCGGAGTGATGTCAGAAGAAAAAAGTTGATTGGTGTCAGGTCAAATGCAGTCTCAATTTATATAGTAAAGTTCCCTTTTCAAACCTCATGGTCTATAAGGCAAGTGAAGTAGAGTTCACTTGTTTCTGTGACCTCGGCATACGAAGGGATAGTGTGGTCAGCACTATGACTAGCCGCCTTTGCTTATCCTTACGTGAGTTAGGTACCCATCAGAGTTGGGTGGACTCAGGGACGGTCTACTGACTTGAACCAGGATTATAACTCGAGACTAACGGGTTAACATTCCAGCTCTCTACCGCTTGGCCACACCAGACATTAACCCCCGGGCTATTACCCTCTTCCTCCCCCCACTCTACGCAAAAAAAACTCCCACACTGCCACACCATATATTTATGGTTTAAACTAAACACACTAAGTGGATGTGAGTCAAGCGTTATACTTTATAGTTAAAAATATACATTTGAGCACATCATAATTCAAATGGTTCTTGGGTATAATCACGTCCTGCATAGCGCATTTGTCTATGGTGACTCTGTTAGTGATTCCTGAACACCACATTTACCCCCTCATATAAAGCCTACCTTCATTAACTCCAGTCAGTGAGCGATATCCAAAAAAGCTTGAAATATAACGATTGATCTCTCAGCATTCACTTACGTTGGCCATGTATTCAACTGTCACACACCATTCACTCCAACTACACTACACAATAATACCGTTAGATACACCCCTGAACAAATAAACCTAGAATTAAAGAGAAAATATCATTAACGAAAGTAAATGTAATCAAAACATAAAAAAATGACTCTTTGTTTTTAACCTCGGATGACTGCCATGATTTTTTAAATTTATTTTCGTTATATTTTCCTCTGTCTCACTTATTTCTTGTGTATAGTATATCATGAAAGCAACATTGTATGAAAACATAAACGCATATTTAATCCGTTTTGAGTGCGATTGATTATATGATACAATTAAAAGCCCTTTGACCTAACGAACACCATAATTATATCAAGTTTCAATCAAACACACGAACTTAAGCAAGTATTATAATTGCCGCACTATGCGATATATAACGCTCTCTCAACATGTCAACCACAACCCTATTCCAACCGTTTTTCACAAACGAACTACCAACCACCTATTTTTAGCACACCCGTTTTTAGTAAGCCACATACATCATATTGTTGAAATTATTTCTAGTTCAATATGCACTGTATTCAATTTTAATATAACCACTATTTCTCAGTATTTCGCTGTTTTTAAATCAACACAATATGGCGTATATAAAACAAAGCTGTTAAGAGCAATTTTTAACACAATCTTCCATTGTAATATTACCGCAGCTCAAGACCATTTAACATGGAAACTTGAACATGCAATCATTAATTATGTTATTATGACACAAACATATTTTAATCATGCAGGGCATTGTATAAAGCCAATCAGAGGCATGATTTAAATATTAACAATAAATTAAACTTTTTTTTCCTCAACATTTTCATTTCATTTTGTTTCAATATAGTGTCCTTATTTCAAAACTCTTAAAACCAAATACATTATATAGTAGCCTATTGTATTTAAGAAACTCAACATATAGATACAAAACACAGTTGTAGCTAAATTAGGTATTTGTTTACAAAACATACACTTTAGCAAACGAAAAAATCTAGTAAATAAAAGATATGTAAAAACAAATTCAGAGCTTGAGAAAATTACAAAATTGTAACACACATTTATATAAAAAATACTTTAGCTTTCTGAAAATATATAGAATCTATATATCTGTGTGTTTACAGACAAGTTGTATTGCAAAAGGCTTGCTATTGGCAAAGATAACCGACATTGAACAAGCTTATGCTCTTTCCAAATATTTTTCCTTCAGCGCATATGGTAAAGTATTTATCTTCCATTCAAATATTTAATCACTATCTTCATTTTTTTTTTACATTTTAGTTCTTATTCCTGTTCAATATTGATAACAAATTTATTTCTTTTTTTTCAAATATAGTCTTTTCATATAGTTTAAAAATATTATTTATTTTCTTAGATACATATTATCCCAAAAGAAATGAAAATAGCTTTTCCGTTCAATACTTAAATATGATTTCCATTGTTGTGAAGTTTTATTCATTTTGTAAATAACGTTTTATCTATTTATTAAATTTAAATTGTAATTTTTTTCATGAATTGCACAATTATACAACGTAGGCCTTATTTGTAATATGCTTTCTCTATTTGCATCGATTACGAACGAGTTGTAATGTTTTTATTAAACGTTTTTTTTTAATTTAAAGTTTTTGAGGTCGGCGTGGTCGAGTTGGTAAAGCTCGTACTTGCTAAAACAAAAAGGCTCAAGTTCGGATCCCCTGAGATGAGGCTCGATATCTGTGGACAGCAACACTTACAGAAGGGAACTTTAAAAAAAAATTTAAACAACAGCTGCCTTGTTATTTGTTCTTGGTTGGACAAATGCTATTGAAGCAAATTAAAAAAAAAAAGCAGGCTGAAATCGGAATCAATAACCAATATTACCCATAACAAGTTGACATGTATTATAGTGGCGTAGCGAGGTCGGGTGTCACCCGGTGCGGCACTTAATGGTGTCACCCCCAGAGGTGTAGCGACCCTTCCCGGGGACAAACTTTCAAATTTTCGTTTGCACCCCTCTCAAGTTTTTCTCTATATATTTTGCTTTTTTATTGTCTTGGTGTCATCCCCCCCCCCTAAATGGTGTCATCCGGTGCGGTCCGCACCCCCCGCCCCCCCCCCCCTCGCTACGCCCCTGATGGTTTATAAGAATTACGTTTGAGGGAATCCACTCCATCTCTAAAATTAAGAACAAAGAACCAAATAGATTAAACATTTGCTTAAGTTTTGTTTTTTCTCTTTTTTTTTCATGTTTTCGTGTAATCGTTTTGTTTTAAGAAATCGCATGGGTAGGAGCCAATGATATCAACAAAGAAAACGATTTTGTTTGGATCGGAGAAAGAGGCGGGGTCAATTCCTCCCTATGGGCCCCGAGAGAGCCCGGGGGTGGTAACAATAAAAATTGCGCCGGTTTACGTTTCGATGGACTCCTGTTGGACTGGATATGTGATTCTAAGATGACATATTTATGTGAAAAAGGTACTCAAATTGTGTAAGAATTTTATATTAAATATGTTATCATATATATATAGCGTATATACATACACATATATAAAGGTCTAATGTCTTCTATATTAACTATGTTTTTGAAATGTGATATGATTACTAAGAATTATTATATTATATTATATTTTATATATATATATATATATATATATATATATATATATATATATATATATATATATATATATATATATATATATATATATATGACATATGGCATATTATTAAATAACATATGACATGTATGTGTATGTGTATGTGTATGTGCATGTGCATGTGCATGTGCATGTGCATGTGTATGCTCATGCGTATGCTTATGCGTATGCGTATGCGCATGCGCACGGGCATGTGTATGGGTATTGGTATTGGTATTGGTATTGGTATTGGTATTGGTATTGGTATTGGTATTGGTATTGGTATTGGTATTGGTATTGGTATTGGTATTGGTATTGGTATTGGTATTGGTATTGGTATTGGTATTGGTATTGGTATTGGTATTGGTATTGGTATTGGTATGTGTATATGCATATACATACACATATGCATATGTTTCTGTATTATACTTTAAAACAGCAATTAATATTGACTTGTTTTTCCTTTGGTCCGCCTCCAGTGAAGATAGAAGTCACTTATGAATACTTTATTGACTGGGACACAACACATACTGACTTAGTTTATATCTATATAACAACGCAGGAGGATTTCATGGAGGTATATTTTTTTTCTATGAATTTCCTGAGCAATGAATGGTTTAAAATGTATACCACGATCAGTAGTCTAGATATTTATTATAGAATATGATAGTTATTTTAAACTAATTAGAAAAAATATCATGTATGTGGATAGCGAACGGTTGAAAAAATTCATGAAATTATATTTGAATTATATACTGTTGCGCGAAAAACAAACAACAGAAGTTTGCTATTTTATTGGGGAAAAAAAACCTATAATTGAAACTAACTTTAAAAATAAAAAACCACAAACAGTCAAAATGATACGTATTTTAGAAAGCAAAACCCAAACCATAGAAAAGTAAAATAAATTTCCCTTTTCGAACCTGATATCTAGGACAAGTAAAGTAGAGTTCACCTGTTTCTGTGACCTCGGCATATAAAATGAAAGAGCGACTGGGTGAAGTGTTGACGACAATATTCCTTTCATATTCCAAATGCATAGTATAAGAGAAACTCAACTTCATCTTCTACATGGTCTAAGAGAGTAACGTTTTGGACTTCACCGAGGGTTTGAGAGCTATCTCATCGCGTTTTATCAAGAAAATTCTTTCAGAAAAAAAATAAACCGCACATTTTGTAAGATGCGTTTTAATAAGGCCAGTAATGAGCTAATCGTGCAATTTCAGGTTGTTATAGATGACCGTAATTTAACGACCTATAACCAAAAGCTGTGGAAAGGTGTTGCGTATACAGTCTTAAAAGCCAGGTATGATATATGTACAACAGGTATGGTATCTGTACATTAGGTATGATAAATGTATAGCACGTATAATATTTGAACAACAGGTATGAAACATGTACAACATGTGTGATATATGTGCAACAGGTATGATATGTGTACAACAGGTATGATATTTGTACAACAGGTTTGAAACGTGTACATCATGTATGATATATGTACAACATGTATGATATATGTACAACAGTTATGTTATATGTACTACATACGTGCAACAGGTATGATATATGTACAACAGGTATGCTACGTGTACAACAGGTATGATATATGTTCAACAGGTATGATATAATTACAACAGATATGATATATTTACATCAGGTATGAAAGTGTACAACATGTATTATTTATGTACAAAACGTATGATATATGTACAACATGAATGAAACATGTACAACAATTATGATGTATGTACAACAGGTACGAAACGTGTAAAACATGTATGATACATGTACAATATGTCTGAACCATGTACAAAAAAACAAATATAAAAACTGATACAATAAGACGCTTTTAAATGCACTGAAAATAATAAAAAGCATCGGTCGCTAAAATATGTAATATATCTCATGAGCGACCAATGTTTTTATTAAAGAATGCAAATTTACCGTATTTTCTCAGTTTTAGTGCATTTAAATGCTAATGATCTATGCAGTTTTTTAAAACATTTGTTTTATTTTTAAAAAAATATAATACGAAACATGTAAGATAGTATGAAACATGTACAAACGGTAAAAAATATTTACGAAAGTATGGACCATGTACAAAGGTATGAAATATATACGAGAGTATGAAACATGTACGACAAGTATGAAACATAATCGAATATATGAAACATGTACGATACTGCTTTGTTTATTTGTAAAGTCTTATCTAGTAAGATTTTTAAAATAAGTAATATGTTTTTATTCTTTCTTGACTGAATGTCATAGCACTTTTGTGGGAAAACGGTCACGTTTTTAACTGGACTGCTAAGATGCTCTGAACAGAGGCGTAGTGACCCCTCCCGGCGCCAGCAACAAATTTTCAATTTGACACCCCCCCCCCTTATATTTTTATATTTATAATTCAAAACTGCAGCAAAAATGAGCTTTTAATTTTTTTTTTCAATCCATTTTGGCGCCCCTAGCGTCGGCGCCAGGGGACATATGTACCCCACCCCCCTTCGCTACGCCTCTGGATCTGAATGACTTCCCGACCGGGACTCAAAGAAACAAATACACAAGAATACACAAACAACGATACCCACCCCCTCCCCCCATCATACACAAAACCACAACATATTTTCTAATTTTATTTTTATTTAATTTTTTTTTAAGTTCTTGATATTGTCTTTCATTGAGCTTCATTGAAAAAACAACACAAGTCCAATCCACTGTGTACATTGTTTCCATTAGCTCCAGAAATACAGTAGCTCGCCCTATACACTTCGCTGGCGTAGGTCGATTTGTTGTCCACATATTTATGAACATCATGATAACATCCTTCGACTACTTCGCGGCTATCCCAGTGAAGGTTTGGGCGAAACATTACAACTTCGTAGTTGTCAAGTAAGTAAGAGGGTAATCAACATTTTCTTTTTTTTGTGTGCCAAAGACACATAGGGTCGCCACAAAATCTCCCTCCACTTTAGTCGGTCTTCGGCAATTTTCTTGGCAGTCCCCCATTACAGTCCTGCCTCTGCCAGCTGCTACCTGGCAGTCCCCCATGACAGTCCTGCCTCTGCCAACTGTTTCCTGGCAGTCCCCCATGACAGTCCAGCCTCTACCACTGCTTCCTGGCAGTCCCCCATGACAGTCCTGCCTCTGCCAGCTGCTTCCTGGCAGTCCCCCATGACAGTCCTGCCTCTGCCAGCTGCAAAAAGCAACAAAGTCCCCTTTCGAACCTGACGGGGCAGGTGAAGAAGAACCCACCTGTTTCTATGACATCGGCATATGAAAAGAGACTGTGTTCAGCATGTTGCACAGCCGCCTGTACTATAGGGCTAGTAAGTAGGTTACAAACCAGTTCTACGGCTCAATAAAACCTGCATGAACCATAGAACTGGTTCGTGACCTACTTACCAGCCCTATACCTAACCAGGCACATATCAGAGCGGAAACGAACTCGGAATTCGAATCCGAGACTTTCCAGTTAGAAGTCGCATGCTCTGCCTCCTGATCGCACAGTCCCACTAAAAATGTTGTTTTATTATAAAATACATCAGCGACAACACTACTATATCTAGATTACACACAAACACACGGAAACAAACATTCACACACACATATAAATATACGTATCATATTTATATATAAACACATATGTTTTCAATAAATAAATTAATATATAAATACATACATATATATATATATATATATATATATATATATATATATATATATATATATATATATATATATATATATATATATATATATATATATATATATATATATATATATATGTATAATTATAAAATAATAAATAAATAAATAAATAAATAAACATATATATGTATGTATATATATATATATATATATATATATATATATTTATATATATATATATATATATATATATATATATATATATATATATATATTCATAGGCATATATATATAGTTCTATATATACATAATATACATACATATATACACAAATATATATATATATATATATATATATATATATATATATATATATATATATATATATATATATATATTTGTGTATATATATATATATTACATAAACCTTGACTTATCCAATGATTTTTGTCACAGGGATGATTACTCTATAGTTGTTGTTTCCAATAAAAAGGTCACGGTCAGTATTCTTTCCTGTAACCGTCATGAGCACTCTTTTCAACTGGAGAAGTAAGTCCATTCTACAGACGTTAACTTTATTGTGTTAAAATATGTTTTAGCTAGGCGACTTTGATATTCCTAACTGATCATTTGGATATGTCATAGTGGTCGGACCGATAAAGCAAGTTTATTTCAATTCCCAAATAGTCTTGAGTGCGAATCCCCGGAAAAACGAGGCTTGATAGCAACTCATGTAACTCATAGCAACACATTTCTTTATAAAAAAAAATTCTACCTTGTAGTTTGCTTTCCGCTGGACAAAGGCTATGGTAGCAAATTTAGAACGAAAAGCAGGCTGAAATTTGAGTCACAAGGCCATATATATATATATATATATATATATATATATATATATATATATATATATATATATATATATATATATATATAATGTGTTGTGTTGGGGGATACCTCGACCAAAATTAGAATTGAGAATTAAAATAAAAAAGTTCAATTAAATCGCCTGAAGTAGATGACGATAAATTAACCTTCCAGCGAAACATTCTTAATTAATTCTATTCGCTTATGTGAGGTTTTTTTTTTGTAAAGCGCTAGCTACGAAAAATTGAACAATTGCATTGTGCCCTCAGCTCTCAGAAATATTCACCATTTCAGTTCAACTTCTTCTTAATCCCCTTAGTGTCCAAGGGGCAGGTGAAGTAGATTTCATCTGATTTATAGACCTCGGCATATAGTATTGTCATCACTATTCCCAGCCTCTTTAGTTTCCCTAACGTAACTTAGGTACCCATCAGAGCTGGGTGGACTCCGTGAACCCGGATTCGACCGCGAGACTCTCGGATTAGCAGTCTAGCTCTCTATAGTTAGGTCACTCTGTCACCCATTTCAATTCACCACAACCCTACAAAAAACGCCACGGTTAATTCCCACAATCTACAAATATTTGGTTTTTTTTTTTGCCCGAGACATGTAATTTACAGCGTCAGTTTGCCTTGCATGTTCGCTTTAGTATTACAGTTTTCATCATCGGCTTGTTAGGATTGATACAGATTTGCATTAATAACAATAATGCTTCTTTCTGACTTGTACTTACATTCATTTAAGAGCCTTACTTATGCATAATTCTAATACAAAACGTCTAAATACAATATTATTTTTAAACCTGAAAATTCGAATGTGTAATTAAAATGGGGATTCAAGTGCTTTTTCGATGGGGTGAATTGATGGGGCATGGTCTCATAAGTAGAGCTAATCTCGAATTTATTTCAGCTTACTTATCACCAACAAATACACCTATCTATTCCTTGCATTGTGATATTTTTTTTCACCCACAGAAAAACTACGCACCATTACAAGAATTGCTTTAAACAAGAATCCAACAGACTCACCGGTATGTACCTGCTCATACGTATTCCTCTATATATAAATATATATTATATTTAATAATATATAATCTATATATATAATTCTCTTCTTGGAGACGATAGAAAACACCAAGCTGTAAGCGCGCTCCCTACCACCCCCACCCCTACATTGTCTGGTGAGCTGTGGTTCACGCTAAATGTTTACAATCGTAGAGCCGGGTTTAGTGACGGCTATTAGGGGCAGATAATTTAATTTGAAACTATTTTAAACTTAGGGGAGGTAACTAAGAGGAGAAATTTTATTAAAATGTCATCGTTGTTATTTTTACGTCCCTTTTATATATCTAAGTGATGTGAGAGATGCGTCAGTGACTGTGATAAATCTGACATATTTCGGATTAGGAAACTGTTTTGGTTTTGTTCATGTGTAATCCGCCATGTAAATTGGTGTCTTAAATACTGGATTCCAGCCTTGAGTGCAGACGGTGGCGAGGATTTTGGTTTGATCGTCTCCAACTGTGACAATAGCAATGCTAATCCACCCGTGAACAACTTTAGGAGTATCTTACAAGGTAGGTCGTTTTTACTTTCTCGTATATACGAAGCATAGAGAAAGTTTTGTAATCGTGCAAAAAAAGAAATCGAGATTTTTACAGCTCACTGATACGGAAAAACATAATTTTGCAATCTTGTCCGTATGTCTCTGTGTGTGTGTGTGTCTGTGTGTAAACACGATTACTTGAGTACCGTTACAGCTAGGTTGATGAAATTTCATATATTTAAGTATTTTATCAAAATCGTAGGTCCGTATCAGCTTTTGAGCGATTTCCGATAACCGGAAGTGGTACTTTTTCTACCTTGAATTTTTCAAAGCCCATAACTTGAGTACTATTTCAGATAGTTACATGAAATTTTACATGTAAGTAAAAGATCTAATTGTCGACCTCTGTCAAATTTTGAGTAATTTCCGTTGATCAGAAGTACTAATATACGCTATTTCCGATTTCTCAAAAAACGCACGTAAATTTATAAAGTACTAATAATCTCCCGCACTATTATGCACATTTTATTAGGCGCACGCTTAGTGTGCAATTCTTTTTTTTACGAGATTTCATTCTATTATAAAAAGTTTAAGTAATTAAAAATGGATTACAAATATTGTCTATGTCCTGAGTAGCCACCCCTCGTAGTTTTATATTAGAATATCCGAGAAAGTTTAGGGGAAATCACTCCCGGTTTAATTTATCCAGAGTTATTTTAGGAAGTTCCGATTTTGGCCAGGTTGTTCTGCTAGCTTCTATGTGAATAATACTTTTGTTGACCGTTAGGCTTTTAACAGGTTTAATATAGGTGTTTTTATCGTGTGTTCAGAGTTTCTTTTATGGACAGTGCCTACCACTCTCTCTATACGGAAACCGGCTCAGAAGTTTGACTTCCATTAGCCAGGCTGGCCTCAGTGTAGCAAACTCCGACACATGGTGGTAGTAGCGAGTCGTTTAGTGTCGGTTTGATCGCTACACCTTGTTCGCTTCTCCGTCGGCTCTCACCGGGCTTTCCTTCCCCACCCACCAGACGCAGGACGTCGTCCCACCGCCTGGTACCCAGCTTGATCGCGGGGGACGTACGGCCAGATCAAAAACCTCTAGCTGCTGTTGGCTACCACTAGCCATGCCGCACCCACTAGGGCGGTCATGAGCTTGGTCCGACTAATGGCACTTTTCCGAAGCCAAGTGAAGGACACATCTTAAGGTCAAAATATCTAATTAGGGTCGAGAGCAGACCTCTTTTGGTTCCCGCAGTCTTGCACCTCTCCTCCGCTATAGTGTAGAGAATTTTGGAGTCCGACATACCAGGCTCTTCGGAAGTGCCTCCCACTAACCGGAGCAATTCCACATCCCATATATATATATATATATATATATATATATATATATATATATATATATATATATATATATATATATATATATATATATATATATATATATATATATATATATATGTATATATATATGTATATATATATTCTACGTTCACAATTAAGTATACCGTGTCCTGTTATGCGGCATACTTTTGGATTTGCTGCCTTAGTACTTGTCATTACAAGAACTAACTACAAGGGTGTAGTTGTTTGATCCTGGAGGGTAAATATCCCCAGATATATATTGTCTAACCAGTGTCCGACTAGACCTCAAAAAGTACTTTTTTGAGTGCGCCTTGCTCATCATATGGGACGGAGCGGCCTAGCGGTAGAGAGCTAGACTGCTAACCCGTATGTCTCGAGAACAAATACTGCAGTCATGATGTTCCAACTAATGTTGATTCCATATCTTGTTATGCTACTTGATGTTTTTTTAGTGATATCCTATGTGTTATTCCTAAATCTAGTCATGTGATTATATGTTCTATTCCTATCCAAAATGATGATATCCAATGTTGTATTCCTATCCAAAGTCATGAAATCCTATGTTGTATACCTATTTCTAGTCATGACATCCTATTTTGTATTCCTATACCCAGTCATGATATCCAATGTTGTATACCTATCCCCAGTCATGACTTCCTATGTTGTATACATATCTCTAGTCATGACATCCTATGTTGTATACCTATCTCTAGTCATGACATCCTATGTTGTATACCTATCTCTAGTCATGACATCCTATGTTGTATACCTATCCCCAGTCATGACATCCTATGTTATATACCTATCCAAAGTCTTGACATCCTATGTTGTATACCTATCCCCAGTCATGACATCCTATGTTGTATACCAATCCCTAGTCATGTCATCCTATGTTGTATACCTATCCCCAGTCATGACATCCTATGTTGTATACCTATCTCTAGTCATGACATCCTATGTTGTATACCTATCTCTAGTCATGACATACTATGTTGTATACCTATCTCTAGTCATTACATCCTAATTAGTATACCTATTCCCCGTCATGACATCCGATGTTGTATACCTATCTCTAGTCATGACATCCTATATTGTATTTCTATCCCCAGTCATGATATTCGACAGCAGCGGATTCAACAAGTACATAACACCCTTCATATTTCCTCACATCAATTTGCAAACCAGCTACACTCTAGTGCTCGAACCTGACACTGAGATTAAATTAGCTGCTAGACACTCAAGCGAAACAGTCACGTTAAGGAGTAATAACAAGAGGCTTTTAGAGGTAAAATACTCAAGGGGTACACTTAGAGTTCTTCATAGATTAAGACAATACTGTTCTAATTCAAATACTTACTCCTCTACCGCGTATTTAGGTGTATATATAAATAAATAAATAAATAAATAAATAAATAAATAAATAAATAAATAAATAAATAAATAAATAAATAAATAAATAAATAAATAAACATATATATATATATATATATATATATATATATATAAATATATATATATATATATATATATATATATATATATATATATATATATATATATATATATATATATATATATATATTTATTTATTTATTTATTTATACTGTTATTTGAATAGATCCATAGACACTGCGCCAGGCCATGTGTTATACAAAGCGTGAAAGATTTCCAGGTTGTGATGATACTGGGTGTCGTAACGAGCAAATCTGATCCCGATTCAATTTTAATGTCGCCATCTTTACTTCAACTTGTGCCCACTGCCATGTTTTGTTCGGAGTACATGTACACGTAAGTCATAAGGACAAATTGTTATCTCTGGCTCATGTACACGTAAGTCATAAATACAAGTTGTTCTCTCTGGCTCGTGTACACGTAAGTCATAAGGACAAGTTGCATGTTGTTATCTCTGGCTCATGTACACGTAAGTCATAAAGACAAGTTGTTATCTCTGGCTCATGTACACGTAAGCCATAAGGACAAGTTCTTCTCTCTGGCTCATGTACACGTAAGTCATAAGGACAAGTTGTTCTCTCTGGCTCATGTACACGTAAGTCATAAGGACAAGTTGTTCTCTCTGGCTCATGTACACGTAAATCATAAGGACAAGTTGCATGTTGTTATCTCTGGATCGTGTACACGAAAGTCATAAGGACACGTTGCATGTTGTTCTCTGGCTCATGTACACGTAAGTCATAAGGACAAGTTGTTATCTCTGGCTCATGTACACGTAAGTCATAAGAACAAGTTGTATGTTGGTATCCCTGGCTCGTGTACACGTAAGTCATAAAGACAAGTTGCATGTTGTTCTCTGGCTCATGTACACGTAAGTCGTAAGGATAAGTTGTTATCTCTGGCTCATGTACACGTAAGTCATAAGGACAAGTTGTTCTCTCTGGCTCATGTACACGTAATTCATAAGGACAAGTTGTTATCTCTGGCTCATGTACACGTAAGTCATAAGGACAAGTTGCATGTTCTTCTCTGGCTCATGTACACGTAAGTCATAAGGACAAGTTGTTATCTCTGGCTCATGTACACGTAAGTCATAAGGACAAGTTGTTATCTCCGCTCATGTACACGTAAGTCATAAGGACAAGTTGCATATTGTTATCTCTGGCTCGTGTACACGTAAGTCATAAGGACAAGTTGCATGTTGTTCTCTGGCTCGTGTACACGTAAGTCATAAGGACAAGTTGTTATCTCTGGCTCATGTACACGTAAGTCATAAGGACAAGTTGCATATTGTTATCTCTGGCTCGTGTACACGTAAGTCATAAGGACAAGTTGTTATCTCTGGCTCATGTACACGTAAGTCATAAGGACAAGTTGCATATTGTTATCTCTGGCTCGTGTACACGTAAGTCATAAGGACAAGTTGTTATCTCTGGCTCATGTACACGTAAGTCATAAGGGCAAGTTGCATATTGTTATCTCTGGCTCATGTACACGTAAGTCATAAGGACAAGTTGCATATTGTTTTCTCTGGCTCATGTACACGTAAGTCATAAGGACAAGTTGTTATCTCCGCTCATGTACACGTAAGTCATAAGGACAAGTTGCATGTTGTTCTCTGGCTCATGTACACGTAAGTCATAAGGACAAGTTGCATGTTGTTCTCTGGCTCCTGTACACGTAAGTCATAAGGACAAGTTGCATATTGTTATCTCTGGCTCGTGTACACGTAAGTCATAAGGACAAGTTGTTATCTCAGGCTCATGTACACGTAAGTCATAAGGACAAGTTGCATATTGTTTTCTCTGGCTCATGTACACGTAAGTCATAAGGACAAGTTGTTATCTCTGGCTCATGTACACGTAAGTCATAAGGACAAGTTGTATGTTGTTCTCTGGCTCGTGTACACGTAAGTCATAAGGACAAGTTCAATGTTGTTATCTCTGGCTCATGTACACGTAAGTCATAAGGACAAGTTGCATGTTGTTCTCTGGCTCATGTACACGTAAGTCATAAGGACAAGTTGCATGTTGTTCTCTGGCTCATGTACACGTAAGTCATAAGGACAAGGTGCATGTTGTTCTCTGGCTCGTGTAAACGTAAGTCATAAGGACAAGTTGCATGTTGTTCTCTGGCTCATGTACACGTAAGTCATAAGGACACGTTGCATGTTGTTATCTCTGGCTCATGTACACGTAAGTCATAAGGACAAGTTGCATGTTGTTCTCTGGCTCATGTACACGTAAGTCATAAGGACAAGTTGCATGTTGTTCTCTGGCTCGTGTACACGTAAGTCATAAGGACAAGTTGCATGTTGTTCTCTGGCTCATGTACACGTAAGTCATAAGGACAAGTTGCATGTTGTTCTCTGGCTCGTGTACACGTAAGTCATAAGGACAAGTTGCATGTTGTTATCTCTGGCTCATGTACACGCAAGTCATAAGGACACGTTGCATGTTGTTCTCTGGCTCGTGTACACGTAAGTCATAAGGACAAGTGTCATGTTGTTATCTCTGGCTCATGTACACGTAAGTCATAAGGACACGTTGCATGTTGTTCTCTGGCTCGTGTACACGTAAGTCATAAGGACAAGTTGCATGTTGTTATCTCTGGCTCATGTACACGTAAGTCATAAGGACAAGTTGCATGTTGTTCTCTGGCTCGTGTACACGTAAGTCATAAGGACAAGTTGCATATTGTTTTCTCTGGCTCATGTACACGTAAGTTATAAGGACAAGTTGTTATCTCTGGCTCATGTACACGTAAGTCATAAGGACAAGTTGCATGTTGTTCTCTGGCTCGTGTACACGTAAGTCATAAGGACAAGTTGCATGTTGTTATCTCTGGCTCATGTACACGTAAGTCATAAGGACAAGTTGCATATTGTTATCTCTGGCTCATGTACACGTAAGTCATAAGGACAAGTTGCATATTGTTTTCTCTGGCTCATGTACACGTAAGTCATAAGGACAAGTTGTTATCTCCGCTCATGTACACGTAAGTCATAAGGACAAGTTGCATATTGTTATCTCTGGCTCGTGTTCACGTAAGTCATAAGGACAAGTTGCATGTTGTTCTCTGGCTCGTGTACACGTAAGTCATAAGGACAAGTTGTTATCTCTGGCTCATGTACACGTAAGTCATAAGGACAAGTTGCATGTTGTTCTCTGGCTCATGTACACGTAAGTCATACGGACAAGTTGCATATTGTTATCTCTGGCTCGTGTACACGTAAGCCATAAGGACAAGTTGTTATCTCAGGCTCATGTACACGTAAGTCATAAGGACAAGTTGCATATTGTTTTCTCTGGCTCATGTACACGTAAGTCATAAGGACAAGTTGTATGTTGTTCTCTGGCTCGTGTACACGTAAGTCATAAGGACAAGTTGTTATCTCTGGCTCATGTACACGTAAGTCATAAGGACAAGTTGTATGTTGTTCTCTGGCTCGTGTACACGTAAGTCATAAGGACAAGTTCAATGTTGTTATCTCTGGCTCATGTACACGTAAGTCATAAGGACACGTTGCATGTTGTTCTCTGGCTCGTGTACACGTAAGTCATAAGGACAAGTGTCATGTTGTTATCTCTGGCTCATGTACACGTAAGTCATAAGGACACGTTGCATGTTGTTCTCTGGCTCGTGTACACGTAAGTCATAAGGACAAGTTGCATATTGTTTTCTCTGGCTCATGTACACGTCAGTTATAAGGACAAGTTGTTATCTCTGGCTCATGTACACGTAAGTCATAAGGACAAGTTGCATGTTGTTCTCTGGCTCGTGTACACGTAAGTCATAAGGACAAGTTGCATGTTGTTATCTCTGGCTCATGTACACGTAAGTCATAAGGACAAGTTGCATATTGTTATCTCTGGCTCATGTACACGTAAGTCATAAGGACAAGTTGCATATTGTTTTCTCTGGCTCATGTACACGTAAGTCATAAGGACAAGTTGTTATCTCCGCTCATGTACACGTAAGTCATAAGGACAAGTTGCATATTGTTATCTCTGGCTCGTGTTCACGTAAGTCATAAGGACAAGTTGTTATCTCTGGCTCATGTACACGTAAGTCATAAGGACAAGTTGCATGTTGTTCTCTGGCTCATGTACACGTAAGTCATACGGACAAGTTGCATATTGTTATCTCTGGCTCGTGTACACGTAAGTCATAAGGACAAGTTGTTATCTCAGGCTCATGTACACGTAAGTCATAAGGACAAGTTGCATATTGTTTTCTCTGGCTCATGTACACGTAAGTCATAAGGACAAGTTGTTATCTCTGGCTCATGTACACGTAAGTCATAAGGACAAGTTGTATGTTGTTCTCTGGCTCGTGTACACGTAAGTCATAAGGACAAGTTCAATGTTGTTATCTCTGGCTCATGTACACGTAAGTCATAAGGACAAGTTGCATGTTGTTCTCTGGCTCATGTACACGTAAGTCATAAGGACAAGTTGCATGTTGTTCTCTGGCTCGTGTACACGTAAGTCATAAGAACAAGGTGCATGTTGTTCTCTGGCTCGTGTAAACGTAAGTCATAAGGACAAGTTGTTATCTCTGGCTCATGTACACGTAAGTCATAAGGACAAGTTGCATGTTGTTCTCTGGCTCATGTACACGTAAGTCATAAGGACACGTTGCATGTTGTTATCTCTGGCTCATGTACACGTAAGTCATATGGACAAGTTGCATGTTGTTCTCTGGCTCATGTACACGTAAGTCATAAGGACAAGTTGCATGTTGTTCTCTGGCTCGTGTACACGTAAGTCATAAGGACAAGTTGCATGTTGTTATCTCTGGCTCATGTACACGTAAGTCATAAGGACAAGTTGCATATTGTTATCTCTGGCTCATGTACACGTAAGTCATAAGGACAAGTTGCATATTGTTATCTCTGGCTCATGTACACGTAAGTCATAAGGACAAGTTGCATGTTGTTCTCTGGCTCGTGTACACGTAAGTCATAAGGACAAGTTGCATATTGTTTTCTCTGGCTCATGTACACGTAAGTTATAAGGACAAGTTGTTATCTCTGGCTCATGTACACGTAAGTCATAAGGACAAGTTGCATGTTGTTCTCTGGCTCGTGTACACGTAAGTCATAAGGACAAGTTGCATGTTGTTCTCTGGCTGGTGTACACGAAAGTCATAAGGACAAGTTGTTATCTCTGGCTCATGTACACGTAAGCAGTGTTTCTTCCTTACTGTTTTCTCTGGTGTTTCTTTCTTACTGTTTTCTCGGGTGGGAAAGCAATTCAAATTTTCGTTGGGGGAGGGGGAGGGATGGACTAAAATTTCCTGGGCAAGGGGCGGACACTGTCAAAAATAAAACATTCCGCTTAGATCGCACCCCTCCCCCCCCACACACACATGATAGTAGGAAAAAATATCACAGGAAAAAATGTCACAAATATATATTTGCATGGAATTTGATAATACTTTTCTGTATTAAATATTCAGGGAGTGCAAATTAACTTAGGATTAGTTAAATGTAATGTAATGTGTGTAGCGTGTATGCGCATAGTAATTTTTATAATTTATGTAAAAATAATTACTACGAAGTTAAACATAATATAATAGCATTTAATCGAAAGCTCCAAAATCCACGGTTTTCATCATGTTTTTTTAAAAATACCATTATTAAATTACCATGAAATGATAAGCTCATCTGACTTACTGCCCTCAACTCATCGCAACATTAGTTTTGCTTAGTTCAACCACCTTTACTGCCCACATTTATCACGCTCATTACATAACAAAACTTAGGATCAAATCAGAAAGCCGACAAGGTTCAAAGGCTGTCAATGACACAAAGCGTGTTCGGACAATGCCTATTGAGGAGAGGCCGACCAGAGAATAGCCCACGGCAAAACATATGCAAAACACAATGAAGTGCCTAAATTTCTTTTATAATTAACTTTTCTACCGCGTATTTAACTAAATACGTAACAAATGTTGAGATTGTTGTATAAATTATCTTAGAGTATTTTCACTTACAATTGTTGTAAACCATGATGCTTTTAACGTTTATAAATAATTTATGCTATAAAAAATACAACCCACAGCAATAAACATAAACCATTTTATAATTTTAACAAATAAATCTAAATATTTCTAAATATTTTCTAAAACGATTTTTGTGACTTTTTTTTCTGTGACTTTTTTACCTAGCAAAAACTGTGACTTTTTTCTGTTTTTTTTTTCCTGTGATCTTTTTTTTCCGTTCACCACACACACACCCGAAGAGATGCCTGGAAGAAACACTGCACGTAAGTCAGAAAGACAAGTTGTATAATGTTGTTTTTTTTCTGTTGTAAAGATAATTATTTATTGTTATTTATGCTTCATGTATACTAAGCGATAAAGAATCCTACAAGTAATATTTTGTTATTAATTTACAGCTTTAGTTTAATTTATTAGTAAAAAGGTGTTTTTATTTTAAATACATTAAAAAACCTTGAATCTAATTTGAATGTAAATTAAATATACTGTACAAAAAAAAAAGCCAAAAAGAGCCACCACAGAAAGCTCTTTCCAATTGTCTTGCCAATCCCTGCACACCCTCCCCCCCCCCCTCCATACAGTCTGCCTGGGTGATTAAAATAAGCTTCAGCTGACTTTGATCCTAAAGGGGAGAGAGAGAGAGAAAGAGAAAAGAGAGAGAGAGAGGGAGTTTACAAAAACACAGTAGTTGTCATGGTCTAGCAATAGCGTTACTATAATCAACGTTTAATTTCGCCAACTAATTTATAATAGTAAATTTCTTTCTTTTAGGACTCCTGGCTCTCCGAACGACCCTTTCATTCACTATATGTCTATCATAGTGAGATCTCCCGTCCTGAATCTAGTTACCCTCGACTCAAGGCCACTAGAAAGGTTAAAACCTAATCCGTTTTATTGTCTGATATATATATATATATATATATATATATATATATATATATATGTATATTATTGTATATATATATATATATATATATATATATATATATATATATATATATATATATATATGTATATATATATACATACACATAAAACTATATTTAAGAATAAAATATATATATTTGTATAAATAAATTGTATTGTATAAATAAATAAACAAATAAATAAATGAATAAATGAATAATAATAAAATGAATGTATAAATGCGAGACATCTGGGTCAAGCAGTGGAGAGTTTAATTGATAGGCCGAAGTTCGCGTCCCAGCTTAGACCCGTGAGTGTAGAACATTCCTGAGTCCATCCAGCTCTAATGGTTACCTGATTTAAGTTGGCAAAATTATAGATGACTAGGCATAATACTTACCACAACATCTTATATGCATTGGCTAAGAAACGTGTACTACTTCATACATTTATTGGATCACTTGGAATTTTTACATTCTCAAAAAAGGTGTAATATATTAAAATTAACCAGGGGTCTCCAAACTTTTCAGTCCGAGGGCCGCATTAACTATCGAATTTTAGTTCGGGGGCCAGTTTCTTCCAGGCATGTCTTTGATTTTTCTGGGCAAAGTTCCTCATCCATCACCAACAAACGATTTTTCCGTGGACAAAAAGATCTCCGCGGGCCGGATGAGAGGACTTCGCGGGCCGCATCCGGCCCGCGGGCCCTATTTTTTAGACCCCTGAAATTAACTAATCAATAGTTAAATAAATAGCTATTACCGTAACAAAAGTGGGTTTTATATAGTTATAGACATGTAAGTGGCGTTTAAAGTAGGTGTATTCACCCCTCAAACTTTCAATTTGCAACCCACGTCAAACTTTTGATTTGCACACGCCCACCCCATATATTTTTTTATATTTATAATGCAAAACTGCAGCTAAAATGAGATTTGAATTTGTTTTTCCAACCCATTTTGGCGCCCCCTAAGGTCGGCGCCTGGGGACATATGTACCCCCCCCCCCCTCGCTACGCCTCTGTACTATACCATTAACATTTTGACTTATGTAATCTACAACCTTGCATTATCTAATAGACAATTCACAATTATTCCAACAGCATTAACTGGCACTACGCCGAGTGCACAGACCTATGGATGTCTGGAGCCCTTAGAATCCTCGAAGGTCGGCATCAATTGGAAGGGCCGATAGACTTCGACCTTGGTTGCTATGTGTACGGGGTAACAAATGGCCTGGTGTATTCCACTCACCTGGATATCAAAACCAACCCGGTGGGTTGTGACAATAGGACAACCCGAATGACTCTTTACATGGGATATAAAGAATAGCTTGGTTATGAAAACATTAAAAAAAATTCATTATCGTACACATTTCTAAAAGTATATATATGTATATATATATATATATATATATATATATATATAATATGTGAGAGATTACACAGATAAACACATACATAGACATAGAGCAATATCTAAAAATATATATCTGAAGTTTTAACCCGTTGTGTAAATACATGAACGCAAATACAAAAAAAAATATACATATAAATATAAGAGGTTTCAAATCTTTGAGCAATACAATACCTAAAGGTCAAAGTTTCAAACCAATTTAATAATTTAAAAACTTTTAACCTTTACCTTAACCACATGGAACAACTAAATGCTTATTGAGATTTTAATAATATTATCTATATGTTCTCTTTTTTTAAATACACACACACATACATCTCTACATCTATGTAAATTATTCCTATAATTAATGTAAATATATATATATATATATATTTATATATATATATTAAAAACATATATATATATATATATATATATATATATATATATATATATATATATATATAATATATATATATATATATATGTATATATATATATAATAAAGTCTATATACTCTGATATCGAGAATATATATAGAAATGAAGACAAGTAGTTAAATATAACCAGTACTCTACAAGCTCTAGCTGATGTGTTTGACTTGTAATTGTTAATCTTTAGAGACATGACAACGGTGATGCTTACATGTCATTCAGCAGTGGCACTATAGAATACTATAGAAAGATTTGCAAAAACGAGACTGCCAACGAAAGTAGGTGATATAAAAATCATCATCATATCGTTCAAAGATTTTTGGATCTTTTTAAAACCTCGCTCTGTTAGCATGCGTTATATATACATTTTATCATTATAGACCTAAAATTATGCATAGGGGGTCTTCCATAAATGAGGTCACGCTTTTTAAACGATTTTAACATCCCACCACCTTCCCTCCGTCACACATCGTCACAAAAAAGACAGACCACACACCCCCAATATGATGTCGCACCACAGCCTGCGACCCCCGCCCACTCAAAATTGCAGTTGATTTTTTCTTAAAACATCGATATTTTTCCAAAATCATGTCTGCATTCAGAGTGTTCTAATCAGTTCCTATTACAATTTTTTAAAACAGTTTTCAAAAAACGCGAAAAAAAAACGGCTAAAGCTCGTTCTGTAACATTGCTTTTTTATAATGCCAAAGTGTGAAGTCACACCATCTGAACCCCCCCCCCCCACCCCCTCATCACACACCCTCACAAAATTATGTACCCCCCTATGAGTATGACGTCATATATGGACGACCACTTACACCTCTATTTTTGGAGAATAATGTTAGTCCATCTTTATTCAAACAAGTTTATATCAAATAAACATATATATATATATATATATATATATATATATATATATATATATATATATATATATATATATATATATATATATATATATATATATATATATATATATATATTTATTTATTTATTTATTTATTTATATATATTAGATTCTTTCTTTATTATTGGAATAACATTGCTGTATATTTTTTACATCTATTATTTTTTTTTTTTACAGATGCTTTAATCCCAAGCAGCTTAGGCGTTGTAGGTATGTTATTAAATGTATAAAAAGTATCAACCATATATTTGGGGGTAGTGTTGTAGTCGGAAGTGCTTATTTCGTCTAACTTGCTAGGAAATCCGCGACAGTGCTTAATTCATTTAGCGGCGATACGAACTTCTATTTATAGAGTAAACTATTTCTTTCAGGTTAAGAACTTCCTGTTTGATTGCTTTTAAGAAGCTCGTTCTTCGTCGTGTTTAACTTTAATGTTTAAGTGATTTCCTGCTACACTTTTCTCGACTCTAATTGTGTATAGTGTTATTCATTTTATCATGTATAGAGTATAAACGATGGATTGTAATCATGAATAAAAATATGAATAAATTTTGAAAAATTTCGCCTTTTAATTTTAATACCTCCTACATAATGGTAAACGTTTTCCGCGTCCCCATGTAGGAAAACATTAGCTTTGCAATTTTTTTTCTCTGTTTGTACGCTTTTAACACGATAGCATCTGTGCCGTTTACGGTAGGTTAACTCAATTTTCATGAAATATCTTAGTTTTCGATCGAATTTTGAGCGATTTACGGTAGCCGGAAGTGATAACTGCGTGTCTCACTTTAGTTAAGCAGATTAAATTTCCAATGAGAGTAACACATTGTATATGCAGAATTCTATCAAGCTTTTAATTTAACCTTAATAAATATTCTACTTTATATGTATACGATAATTGTTATAAAGAGAATAAATGTAAATGTATAGGGAATATCACTCCCGCTTTGAAAAAAATTTCAAACGGCAAAACATTCCGATCATAACTAATATTCAGTTTTCAATGCAATATATCTAAATTAGAGTTACGGTAAAGTATAGTCTAATAATATAATACCAGTGATAATAATAAGAGTTGAGATAAAGAAATTAAATTTAAATTAACGATTTATGCAAATTTTGTCGTATATATTTTACACAGGCTGTTTTGTTTTTACCTCGTTTTCCTCGCATCCATTTTCTAGTTATGTAAGGAAAAATAAGAAGTGTTTTCTTATTAATTACCTATAAGAGGAAATAAACGATGTTTATTTCATATCACACGACGAAATAAACAATACCACTGTATAATTTTTATTTTGGTAGTTTTTTTTTTTTTGCACATGATAATATAGATACACTTGAGAAATCAATAACGTATTGATTTTAGTACCATTAGTATGAAACATTAGATACATTTTAATTCTATCTAATCTTAATTATATTACATTTATAACAATTAAATTTCATCACTTTAATTTATTTCAGATGGAGTCAACGTCACCTTTCTAGTGAATACGTTGCGTAGAGATGGTATGAAATAACCATGAATAAATTATGCTTATTTAATGTAGGTACACATTAATCACATTGTGGATCTGTATTGTGCAGTTTACAAATCTAGAACAACAATTCCCACAAATCGCACATTTTTGTTTTCAGTCAACAGTTGAAACGTTGAAAAATATTGGTAGCATAGTATGCCTTACATCAATAATACTTTTAGATTCAATGTGTTGACGTTTTTTGTATGCAAAGAATAATAAGAAATTCTATTTATAAATATTAATAAATTTAAATATAACTATAAATAAATATATAAATTCATATATATATAAATAAATAAATAAATAAATATATATATATATATATATATATATATATATATATATATATATATATATATATATATATATATAAGAAATGAAGCACACACAACAACAACACATACTATTTAGATTGCACACTTGATTACTTCGGTAAGAATTGCATGCACGAGTGTAAGTGTAAGAGCCGGGCGTGTAATAACAAGGAGTCGTGCTTTGAACATGGGTGCGACGATGGATACTTCGGCTACCACTGCTTGTTTCGTAAGTTGGATTTGTTTTTGAACAAGGAATTGAGTTAGGGAGATGTTGGGTTTGTGTGTGTGGGGGGGGGGGGGGGGTGTTTGATGGCTGAAAGCACTTGATTTCAGCTTTTCAGGTAACATTTATTTGTTTTTAGTTGATATATCTATAGTAAATTTACGTTGGTAGCATATTCATGCCCAAATATACAACGTCGAATTGCTCCCGTCAAGTTTGTTGATAAACCTTCGATCATTATTGTTGACATGGATTTTTAAAAAGCGTGTTTTTGAAAATCCTGAATTCATTCATTAAAAATAAAATACTAAAATAAAACTGTGTTGTTGGCCTTATATCTAGTCTGCCTTTTTTCAATATCTGCTTTCTTTCTTTATTGGTTATTTTGTCATTCTTCTCTGCCTTTATCTACTCTGTCTTTGGTTAATAACTGCCATCTATTTTTTTCGGCTCTTTTATCCGTACTTTCTGACTTTATCTACTCTGTCTTTTGTCAATAACTGCCATGTATCTTTTTATGCTCTTTTCTTCATACTTTCTACCTCTTTCTTTACTCTTTCTTTTGTCAACGTATGTCTTCTACTTGTTGGTCTATACTCCCGTATCACTGATATCATTTTCTGGCTAAACGAAAGAATTTTTCTTTCGAGTCAGATTATTTTACTTCATCTCTACATAGGGGACGTAGCTACCAAAGCCTCAAACGTGTCAGGGATAAATTTAAACAGCACAGCATGTTCGAGAACTAACTTGATCGAGCTGGTTTTCAAAGAGATTATTACATTCAATTTTCTGTTTATAAAAACAGACCGCAATGGTAGGTAGATCATGATTAACTTTTCTTCAGTTCTTAATGAAAGCATCGGAGAATCTTCTTCTTCTTCTTCGTTCTTAATTTTTAGTGTTGGGAGGGATCGAGCCTTATCTGGCAGAGGGTTTGAACTCGAGACTTTTTTCGAATTTATCAACCATGAGCTTTGCCGACTCGACCATGCTTCCATCACAATTAAGGATTACGTGTCAACTTTTTATGCACCATTGAGGCCATTGACTCCGAGTTCAGCCTGCTTTTCTTTTTGGATTCGCTTTCATAGCCTTTGTCCAACCAAGAACAAACTACAAGGCAGCAGTTGTTTGATTTTGGAGTTGTCTCTCCTAGAAGAGTGGCTGTCCCCAGCTAACGAGGCTCATCTGCCCCGAGGGTTCGAAATCGAGACATTTTCGGTTTAGCAACCATGAGCTTTACCGACTCGACCACGCCGACCCCTCATCGGAGAATAATTTAATGACTTTTGAAAAGGCATGATACGATCATCGTATATTCCTTTTTATACCCAAGAAACACGGGGCCGCCCTCCTCTTACGTTGGTCTATGGCAATTTTTTGCCAGTCCCCTATGACAGTACTGCCTCTTTCAGCTGCTTTCCCGCTGTGTTACTCCGTATCTCCATTTGATAAAACTATAACTAGCATGATATTAGATGCGTCTTTAGTGGTTAAATATCGTCATATCTCAATTGACATTGGCTCTCGACGCATCAAAAAATAAGCGCCATTTCGTCCTGTTTCTAGCTATAACATCTGCCTTGTTGGAATGTTAGGCATTCTTCAATTCATGCTCCACCATTGGAAACTGGGGTTACTTCCCGTTCTATTTTAGCAACCCTTTTTTTGTTCTTGGTTGGACAAAGGCTATGAAACCAAATCCAAAAAAGAAAAACAGGCTGAAATCCGAGTCAATGGCCTCAATGGCGCATAACCAGTTGACACGTATTCTAATTAATTGTGTTAGAGTGGGACCACTTCCAATTTTAAAATTAAGAACGAAGAAGAAGAAGCAATACTCTCTTATAAAAATGAAAGCCTTGCTACTGAAAGTATAAAATTAAATACTAAAAAAAAAATTAAAATCGTAAAATCGTTTTAATAACAAGCTTTTATTTAACAATGCACTAAAAATAAGAAACAAATATTATACACTACTATTTAAATAACTGTAAAAAAACGTGAGTCGCTTCTTAAATTTTGGTAAAAGTATTTAATTGATAATATAGTAAGACGTCCCTAAGTCCGCTTTACTCTGATGGGTACTTGCTTAGCATTGTGCTGGCCACACCCTACCTATATATATACCAAAGGTTTTGAAACAGATGAACTCTACTTCAACAAAGCAATGTATATATATATATATATATATATATATATATATATATATACACCGTGATAACATTCTTCAATATTATTTCCATACAGTCTCGGAAATCGACGAATTGGAATTACTCTTGTACGGCGAGAACAACACCAGTTTGGAGTGTTTAAAACAGACGACAAAACTAGTAAATGACATAGAGATGCAGGTCTGGTGCCTCTCGGCGGTCAACACCCAAAAGATTGTAATCCGATTTGTAAAGTTTCATAACATATGTAATATTTACGTTAGTGGAGGTGGGTACCCATTGTTGCTTTTTCCTGATTTGTTTTTAACATTTTTTGTATTGGTAGGTGTCTTCTAAGGGGGTAGCCTTCCGGAAAAAAAAAACCGGGAAAAAAACTTTTTAATTAATACGCCTTTTTTAATATATTTGTGTATGTATAAGTTAGGGTTCTTGAAGGAAAATATTTGCATGCACCAGGAACTCTTTTGAAAATAATGCAACGGCGGCCATTTATTTAATTATTTGTTTATATACATCTATTATTGACTAAAACAAATTGTGTGTTAAGTTATCCAAGTAAAAGACCCACTTTACCTAAATATGAATATGACTTAATTAGTGGTCAACTAATTTCCTCAGTAAATAATCAGAAAATTCAGTCCCTAATATAGTGTTTGTACGCCCCAAAACCCGGCAATCAGTGTTATTATTTAACTCTTAATCCCCCGTAACAATCATGTAAAAAATATTTAGTTTCCCTTTCAAACCTGAAGGTCTATGGGGCAAGTGAAGTAGAGTTCACTTGTTTCTGTGACCTCGGCATATGAAGAGATAGTGTGGTCAGCAATATGCCCAGCCGCCTTTACTTTCCCTAACGTGAGTTAGGTACCCATCAGTTGGGTGGACTCAGGGACGGTCTACTGACTTGAACCCGGATTCGTACTCGAGACTTACGGGTTAGCAGTCCAGCTCTCTACCGCTAGACCAATCATGTAATGTATAAAAAAAATCTCCAACGATTTCCACAGGGCGTAATATCGCCGGTCAAGGATCGTTGACGGTGTTAACAAACGATAAAATAAACCAAATCCTAACCCAGATCGCCTACATCCCAGTCATGGAGCTGGGCCATTGCTTGCCGTTCCCCGTGGACTCCTTAAGCATAGAATGGGTTATGTCGTTCCAATCGTCAAAAGATGTTTACTCTATCAGCGTGCATTTGAAAGGTATGTTATAGAATAAAACGGACTTTAAGAAAGGGCAAAGGTATGGTATAGAATACAACAGACTTTAACAAAGAATAAAGGTGTGTTATAGAATAAAACGGACCTTAAGAAAGGGCAAAGGTATGGTATAGAATACAACAGACTTTAAGAAAGAATAAAGGTGTGTGAAAGAATAAAACGGACTTTAAGAAAATGTAAAAATGTGTCCATTTTGGAGATCGCAAGAACATATTTTAGTTAGTTGTATACGTCGTCGACATTATTGATAACGAATTAATACAAAATTGAAAATAAACGGAAAATTAGAAAATAAAACAAATTAGCTTTCTATAATAAAAACATTGTTTGCTAAAATGTGTAAGAGATTTTATAAGAGACTAATGTTTTTATTAAATTCAACCAAGTATATTTTTTTATTTTCAGTGTATTTAAAACTTTATTATTTAAAAAAAGCAGTATTTTATTTTTAATATGTGTAGTTCTTTCTTAAAGAAAAAGAGGGTGAAAATCGGAATCTACGGTATATGTTGCGTGAAACATGTTGAAATGTAGAACTTAATTGTGTTGGAGGGAATTCCTTAAAGTTAAGAGCGAAGAAGAAAAGAAGAAACGATATTTTTTATACCTGCCATATTAGTTTGTTTTAGCAAAACAAAAAAAAAAACAAAAAAAAAAAATTAGAAATGGTAGCTTGAAAATAAATAGCATATTTTTTTCAAAACTCTTACAAAGTCAAATATAGCAGATAGAAGAAAAAACAGCTTCGTTTCATGGGTTAATAATGGACTTTAACGGTAATAATAAATGCGAATTGAAATGGAACGTTGCATATTTTTAATGTATAGGCCTATATTTATTTCTAAAGTGTAATGAAGTGATGCATAGTTTTTCAACAGTATACTTATTTCGGTGCGCGGACCTTTGACCACAGGTGCTTTGACCATAGGGGGTTTGACCCAGTAGCGTACGCAGGGGGGGAGCAGGGGGAGCGGCCGCTCCCCCTCTGGCCATATTCAGCAAAGTGGCGCCTTTTTGGAAACTTTTTAAACTCAAAGTTTTAAACAATGATATTTGTTAACAAATATTTTTGGTCGGCACAGCTATGTAAATCACAAGATTTCTTTTCATACAGCAATTAAGCATTATTGTACTAGTTTAGTAGTGTATACGTTTACAACACGTATTAACAGCTGCATCAGTTTGCCATTCTAAAAATAACCATTACGATGCATTGCAATGTTTAAATAAACCGGGAGTGATCTCCCCTAAACTTTCTCGAACATTCTTATATAACGCTATGGGTATGGCAACTCGGGATATAGACATGATTTTAGATATAATACACGTATATAGAACGTGTTAAAAGTTCGGCGCCTTTTATGCTCTTTTCGCTCCCCCTACAACGAAAACCTGGATACGCCTCTGGTTTGACCATAGGGGGTTTGACCACAGCGGAGCTTTGACCATAGGGGTTTTGACCATAGGGGGTTTGACCACAGCGGGCCTTTGACCATAGCGGTGCTTTGACCATAGAGGGTTTGATCATAGGGGGTTTGACCATAGGGGGTTTGACCACAAATGTTTTCTCAGCAGAGGGTCTTTGATCACAGGTGGTCTATCAACGGGTCAAAGCACCTGTGGTCAAAGGTCCTAAGACCCTTATTTCTACACGTTTAAGCAGTTGATGAATGTTATTCATTGTTTTAAACTTTAAACGAACACGTATTAAAAAATCAATTTATCTTGAAGGAAAGATGAAATTTAACGAAGGGTTCACAGTTCTTCTCTACAACACCTCTGACACACAAGCTTTCGTGTACGGTTCTGATGAAGATTTTACAGCCATTCATCATATACAAGTAAGGAACGGGCGGAGGATCAAGATGATTAAGTTCATTCCGTTTGGGAATCTAAAGCTATGCAAATTTCAAGTGTATGGTGGTAAGTATCTGATTAGTTTTAGATATAGAGGCTTTCATAAATGTGAGTTCAAATTCCTAGTAACACTATTATGCAAGCTTTTTTCTTGGATTGTTGTGTTCAATTTTGGTTATATATTATAATTATATATATATATATATTCTGTATGTAAAAATAAGTTTGTCGTGGATACTTCAATGAATTTAAGTGTTAGATTATTATAGTGCTCACGGTCTAAATTTATGAGTTTAAAAAATAATAATGAAAGTGTTGGGAAAAAATTTTCATTTTTTAACCTGATAATAATAATTGTCGGCATATTCATTAAACACAATTTCAAAAAAAAAATATATCATCTTTTACGAAAATTCTAATTATGACTGAAAATTATTTATATTTAGTCCTTTATCGCTTACTTCCCTTTGATAAATTAGGAAAACACAATTACTTCCCTTTATAAAACATTGCATTAGTGGAAAAGAATTTACTTTTTATTACTTTGTTTTGGTGCTGGGAAAAAAAATAATTACATAATTAGCGGGGATTGATCAAGTGCAAATGTAGGTATTTTACTGATACGCTTGGAGTATTATAATTGCTCATTTGGTTTTCTGGCACCTAAGTTCGTTTAAGTGAGTGCAAAAGACTATGAATAAGTTTGGGTACTATAGTCGTTTATTAAGCTGAAACAGGCGATTCTGCCCCGGGCTAGACTGTGAGCACTTTGCGTTTATGTTCGCGTTTGTGTTTTCTTTGTGTTTAGGTTGGGTTTGCGTGAGTGGTTGCGTTTTGATTCGGTTCGTTTTTGTTCTTTCTTTTTTCGTTTTCGTTTGTGTTTTTTCTTTGGGTTTTTGTTTGTATTTGTGTTTGTGGCTGGTTTTGCGTTTGAATTTGGTTTGTTTTCGTTTGCGTTTTCTTTTTTTTTGTGTTCGTATTGGTGTTTGCGGTTGTGGTTGGGTTTGTTGTTAGGTTTTTACGTTTACGTTTGCTTTTTTGTTTGTTTTTTTCTTTGTGTTTGTATTGGTGTTTGTGGTTGTGGTTGGGTTTGTTGTTAGGATTTTGTTTTCCTTTTTATTTGTATAATTATGTTAGCGTTATGTTTGCGTTTGTTGTTTTGGTTTTGGTTGGTTGTGGTTTGTGTGGGCAGTGCCGGGTTTATGATGATTACTAAACACACAGGTAATGGTATTTAACAGAAAGGTTTTTCACAGAAGCCAGAGCAGGGCCTGGCCGGGACGGCTAGTATATATATATATATATATATATATATATATATATATATATATATATATATATATATATATATATATATATATATATATAAATATAAATATATACAATGCAAAGTGGTCAAGTGCCCGATGTGGCACTTCCCGGCTCCGCAGGTGCGTAAACTTTGGCACGATCCTGCCTTAGGTCAATAGAACACGAGGGCCGGTGCCGGTTGACCGAAAAGTTCATGAAGAGGGGTGTCAAAACTGACCTCGACTGACCGGCGCCTTATATGGGCTATATATCGAAAAACAATTCCCAAGTGGGAACCTTTTCATAACTCCTGAGGTCGTAGACCGACCCTCGCGGGTGGCAAAAAAAACTATGATATGTTCCGGAAATTCCATAAGACCGTTAGAACTGACCGTTCCGAATTTTCCCTGTATAAACATTGTTAATTTTCTGAAAAATGATGACTATTTTCAAAACTATCTTTTTGAAATTTGGCTCTCTACATATGGCTTATTTTTTCCATACATTTGGGCAAATGAATCGGCCTTATGGACAAACTATCGGTCAGCCTCTGCTCGCACGGCGAGGGCTTACAAGTGAGTTAAATTCTCCTAATATGAGCTATATATCGTAAACAATTTATTTCCCACGTAGGAACCCATTGAAAACTCCTGGATATGTCAATCGGACCCATGGGGTCAGGAAAAAAAATGTGCTACCCTCGGGAAAATTCCGGAACAATGTTTTAACTGACCAGGGGCAATATTTCCTTATATAAACAGAGTACCGTTTTTTGTACAAAAAAATAATTACAAATATCTGGAAATACGAACCCAATCATAACTCCTGAGGTCGTAGATATACCCGCGGGGGTCACTATAAGATAGGCGTTATCTTCGGGAAAACTACGGTAGGCTTTAGAACTGACCGGCCCGAATTCCCTATATAATCATTGTTAATTTGGTGAAAAACGATGACTATTTGCAAAACCACTTTTACGATACATTTACGGCTGAGTACATCTGGCTCATTTTTTGCAAAGAGCTGAGTAAATGAATCGACCTTATGGATAAACTATCGGTCAGCCTCTGCTCGCACGGCGAGGGCTAAAAGTGACCATGAGTGAAATGCTCCTTACATCAGCTATATAAAAAATGCCGAACGATCCCCCTGATATTGTGTGAGGTCGTAGACCGACCCGTCGAAAAAAGCCATTATAGTTGTTAAATATGTCCAGATAACGTATTTTCTTATATAAGTATAGCAACTGTTTCTTAAAAAAGAAGTAAACAAAGACATACGTAATTCGTTTAATTTTTAAGGGAGGTAACTTTTTTAAAATAATTATTTTTCAAACAATTGTATACTATTTTAAATCTAAACAGAAAATGACAAAGTATAGTATTTGTTTCAGTACAAAAAATAAGTTGTTAATAAAGGTACTTGCCCTAATTTATAAATAGATAAATTTTAAAAAGTCGATGTTATATAAATTATGAGATATAGTGTTCAGGGAACTTCTGTAGTTCTATTTCCATTTTAGTCATGCATTGCGAACTTTCCATTAATTTATATGAAAACGGACTTTAAACAACAAACGACGACAATAACATTTTCTCTAAAATTAGCATTTTACTGTTTAAATTTAAGCACTCCACACCTCACCCATCACTTAATAATTAAGTATTCAAATTCTCAGATGTTTTTGAAAACCTAAGCGAAGCTAGGCAGTATGCCTAGTATATATATATATATATATATATATATATATATATATATATATATATATATATATATATATATATATATATATATTATATATATATATATATATATATATAATCATAATTTCAAACATGGTGTAAAGTCACTTCTATGTATAACCATATTTACTTTCACGAAAAGGAGTCAAGACTCTAGGGCAGTGGTTCCCAACCTTTTTCGAGTGGCGACCCCCTTTTATAAAAATTAAGTGACCCGCGACCCCCATAGAATTAAAAAGCCGAAATTAGTATGGAAATTAATAAGCATTAAAATAAGATTTTCTAGTAGACTTTCAATATGAACTACTCTTGATAACTGTTTTAATAGCATGAGTAAAATTGCATACTATTCACTAAACCTTCGTGGTTAAGTTTTTAATAAAAAAAAAATTTTTGTTAACGCCAACCTATGTCGTTATAATTATCTTAATTTTGTTTTTAATCGAAGAATAGTGTTGAAAATATAGTCTCGAAAAGTCAATAAATTTTACGTTTGGGTATGAATGGTGAATACTACACCAAAATTGTGTCTGCAGTTTTTCATCTTACTCGGAATCAATCTGCAAATCAAAGAATTCATCTTGTAATTCATCGGAAATGCTGGCAACATCAAGTGATGAAGAGAATGGGTAATGCGTAAATGCAGATTCTTCTTTTTTCAGCTCAGAGAAATAGCCATGCAGTTCGTTTTCAAGAGATTCAAGATGCCCAGAAATCACTTCTTTCAAATTTTAATTATCTCACAATCAGATTCATCTACCACACCGCAGAGTTTCTCAAATTTACAATATTTCCAAGATTTATTTTCTTTACCGATTTTGCAGCTTTGATAAAAATGCACCGAGATTATCATGGAAAGTTATAATATTCGTTCAAACTTATCTTGATGTTCGATCACATCTACTACGTATGATACTCTCTCCAACCATTAAATGTCGTTTTAAGTATACCAAAAAGTCTTGTTTCCTTTGCACTTCCAAGAACAATTTGATTTCAGATTTCAATTAAAAAACACAATTTACAACATTTCGTTTGACAGCCAGCGTACTGTAGTGTAGAAGAGCAGAACCTCGTGATCTATATTAACGTTTTTGCTCAGTTCTTTGAAGGCTCCAGATTTTATATAATTTACGACTTATACTAGCAATGGACTCTTGATGTCGATTGGTTAGGGCAGTGGTTAGGGAGCTAAATCTTTTCTGTTTTTTAAAGCCCGATTTTGAGCTAAACATAGATGGCGCACCATCCGTACAAACCCCCACAGCCGTTCTAAAACATTTTAATCATCCAGTTTTAAAAAAAGGTATTTATTTTCTCCATGCTATCTTCACAAAAAAGCAACTCTTCTTTGTTATCATCTGCATGAATATAGACACAGACCAGCTACTGCGAACACGAACTCACGTCTGTTGATTTATCAACTTGAAAAGCAAACAATGGCGAAAGCTTAATTTCAATAAAAAATTTGTTTTTTAACATTTATGTACATGCAGCGTTTGATGAGATTTTCTCCTATTGTTTTTTTTTTTTTTTTTTTTTTTTTTGCTTGGCATTTTCTATCGCGACTTCATTTGATGCTTGCACTAATGCTGGTGAAAACTTCCTGTTCGATCAAGTCTCTGGCGTTTGAAACTAGCTTCTTACCGACGAAAGAACTCCATATATTTTTTGGTGTGTTTCGAATGACTAGTCTCAAATGACGTTTTAGTTTTGAAGATTTCATAGATTCGTGACTGAGAACAACTTTGTACAGTGCGCTGTGTTTCTTCTCTATTACATTTCCAGTGATGTTAATGAAGCCGAATTAAAAAAAATTCTTCTAAATATTTATGTTTTGTTTCAAATTACTAAGGTTTAGTATACCAGTTGGCGACCCCCCAGAAAGACCTTCGCGACCCCCCTGGGGGTCGCGACCCCCAGGTTGGGAACCCGTGCTCTAGGGTTATAAGTAGTGGGCAAATGCTCAGATATGCTATTTAGTTTTTTTTAAAATCTTAAACATGTAAAGGGTCATCACGCTTTTTGGACGATTTTACATTCCCGCCACCCCTCCGTCACACATCGTTACAAAAGACAAGACCCCCCCACCCACCTAAAATGACGTCACACCTAAGCCAACATCTCCTATCAATTGAATTTTTCTGAAAATATGAATATTTCCCCAAAATCGTGTCTGAACTCAATTTGTCAAAATAGAGTATTTTAATCAATTTCTTTTACAATTTATTAAAATAGTTTTCTAAAACGCAAAATAGTGGTTAAAATACGTTTTCTAACATTGCAAAAAGTGTGACGTCACGCAATCTGAACCCCCACCTCCCCCTCATCACTGTCACAAAATTACCGCCCCCCTCCCCCCGTTCGAGTGTGACGTCATTTATGGTCGACCTCTAAATTGCTTGCAGATAAAACTCCATTTTACTTTCAAAAGACAGTCGTAAAATGTATCTTTTTAGTTCTATAACTGGACTAAAATAAAGAGCTTTGTGTACATGTTCTTGTCTATTTAAAGATTGTGGTAAACCTTACAATGGATTGGATTGCGACGAGACATGTAGCTTAACCTGTCTGCTGGACAGGTGTAACTTTGATATGACCTGCATCAGGTGCAATATCTACAGATATGGGCCTCATTGTTTAGAATGTAAGTAGTAATGTGTACTAATATGGGCCGCATTGTTTACAGTATGATTCGTGTTAATGTGTACGTATGCGGACCGCATAGTTTTTCCGTAAATTGTATTAATGTGTGCATATACAGGCCGCATTGTTTACAATGTGATTTGATTGTATGTATGTATGTATATATATATATATATATATATATATATATATATATATATATATATATATATATAGACATCATTGTTCTCCTTAAATTGTGTCAATGTGTACGTAATATACATGCCGCATTGTTTATTCTGTAAGAGATACCCCTTCATAAAAAATCAATATGTACAAATTAATTATGCCTTGGGCCTTTGTAAAAGATCAGTATGTACACATTAATTAACTCCTTTACTACATAACCTTACATTTTAACGCCTGAACCACTACTTACAGCCTACTTTGTATCATTGTACTTAGTTCAGCAGACCTCATAACGTTTATAGAAACACTTGATTAGACATTCCGAGATTAGTCTCTCAGTAACCTCTATCTTTTAAGTCACTCTCAAAATAGCACATTAGACATCACTAAGATACTCTCTCTTTCTCTCTCCCTCTCTCTCTCTGTCTCTCTCTCTCTCTTTCTTTCTCTTTCTATCTCTCTTAATATATTTATATACTATATTACTATATGTATATATATACTATATATATATATATATATATATATATATATATATATATATATATATATAAAGAGAGAGAGATATGCATATATTTATATATGATAGAAGGGACATAACTATTAAAAAAAAACAAAAAAAAAACAACATCGTAACACAAACTACACCATCATTTGCCGTGGTCATGGAAATAAATGAACTCTATCCCACTTTCCATACAGACCATCTGGTCCAAAATTGTATTTTTTTACAGTGAAAAAATGTTAAACAACTATTATAGTTAAATCTATTACCCACCTGCTTAAAAAAAATTAGCCACATTCATTTGGGAATTCAACTCGACGAAGTACAACGACAGCATCTTCGCCTCTAGGATGGATCCGAATATCAGCTACGAGGAGAAAAACTTCTGGCGGATTTTGCCTATTCTAATTATAGCTGCAGTGATAGTGATCTTCGCAGTGGGTAAATGTTTTTCTAAAAGAAATCCCTCGCTTCATACTTCACAGTCACAGGCGGTGAGTGAGTTGTTATTGAATATTTACCCAAAAATAGTTTATACAATAACATAAAAAAATATAAAAAAATCATTACGAATATATGACTTATAATTCAAGAAATGCTGATGTATTGTTTATGTAAAAAATGATATTGTTTTTCACTGATTTATAGCGGAATCATTTAATTATTTAAAAAAACAAAGGCTAGTGTAAATAAGTAAAATGTTAATAACGTTTTGAAAATAAAAAAAAAACAGTTAGACATTTTATTTTACGCAAAAGATAATTCTTTTGATATTTTGTTTTTATACTTCGTCGTTCAATAATGTAGAATATTCTTTAGATAGCACAAAATGAATAATTAAGTTTGCATGCCAAAATAGTTCAATTTTGACTATATCATGCGAATGAGCCTCGTTGACACACAATTTGGAATTTAGTAACTTAAAGGGATTTAACTTTCAAAGTGCTTAGAAAATTAGATTGCTGTAGTAAGATATTTTAACGAAAGTTGAATCCCGATTACACCTATTTAGGATTATCATATATATATTTATATATATATATATATATATATATATATATATATATATATATATATATATATATATATATATATATATATATATATATTGTTTATGTTTGATGTGTGTAAGAAGTTTTTATATTTGACATGTGTTTGTGATCTACTCGATAGACAGGGTGACACAATTAATATGAGAACTGGCATGATGAAACTACTGTCAAATGCTAACTACCTGCCCAGTGCTGTGTGAAGAAGACGTGTATACAATGCAAAGATGAATAAAAAAAAATTTATCGATTGATGCATTCATGTATGTAAACACGAATGCAAACTAAAACTATTTAAAATTTTTATCAATACATACATGGTATGGAACAGTGTTAGTGTGTTTGTTGTTTATGTATACAAAAGCTTTTTTTTTTCATTTTGAAATGTTAGTTGCGTTACATGTTATTGCTTATTTTTATTAGTAAAATAAAAACAGTTGTCAATAAAAATGTTATTTTCTTTGTAAAAAAAATGAAGTCTAGAGCCTATTTAATTGTATGTAGATATTCTCAAGATCTTAACAAATTCTTATATGTTTAACAATAAGTCACGATCTAGGTTAATGGACTGCGTTGTTGATTGCTTGCTAAAGAAGTGCGTTACTGTTTTGATTTTTTTAAACGGTGTTTTTTATTGAGGATTTCAGCTTTTAATTTTCATTAAAACCGGTAAATTAGTATGGAATTTGAGCAATGTGTCTAAATGACTACGTAGGCCTATATGATAAAACTTGAAGTAGCTTTATTAGTTTGAAATTTCTGTTTTCTTAGCCAAAGAGAAACTATTTAATTATTTATTTCACAAAAATCAGTCAATATTTATAATATCGTATTCCCGAGTAGAAAGAAATGTGTAAAAGTAGGAACTGTTAGTCAGAAGTCTGAATGTAATGATCATTAAACCGAATGGAGTTATGGTATTCTAGATTTTTCATTTTGCTTAAAATGTAGTTTTGCCTCAGCCTTTGTTTTTTGGATATACGGAATTTTCACGAAAAGAAAAACTGTGGCGTTTAACCCAATAAAACATGTGGCTTTACTAACATTTATTATAAGTCACCACTTTTCAAAGACAACAAAATATTACATTGATGGCAGCGAAAATCAAGCATTATTATGACTAATTTAGTATCGTGTAAAAACAGTATTTTTGAAACATAATGTATTGATTCAATCAAACACTACACAATTTTGCAATTTTAAGTAAATTTTATTAATCAACACTATTAAAAATAATGGAGAGTTACAACCAAAATATACAAGCTAATCTGTGATAATGTTTTTGTGATCAAAGCATATTGAATATAATTTTAACAATTTAGAAAGTTAAGCCCCAGAAAAATGATAAGTATTACATGTACCAGTATCTGTAATTAAACAACTTTACAATACTGAAATAAGTGTTCTATTAATGGGATTTTTACATTTTTCAAAGCTGATTCCTCAGTATGTAAATTATTTGTTTAGAACTTATTACTTATTACAACAATATAACAGCCACAGTAATTACATACTAAACATCAAACAAATTTGAAAATCCAACAATGTTGCATTACACTAGTACTTTTAACAACAAGAAAAAACAATAATCGCATTATTTCGTTGAAACTATCTTGGCTATTTTTATGAAAACCTTCCATGTTCTATGTTTTTTACATCATTACAAAAAATAATTTAAAAAAAAATAGCTATATTATTTTTTGAATTTTCTTTTTCCAATGTTAATGATAGTTATTTTCATTTTAATATTGTCATAGTTGCGACTAAAAAAACCTTAACTTTTTTGAGTGAAAGAACCTTAAAAGGATTTATCAGCATAATCATGTATAAATAAAGTTACATTTAAAACATAATAGTTAACAATATTATAGCTGGACATGAAACCGTTTTAAAAAAGCAAATGAAAAAAAAGCATCATTTTAAAAGTAAAGTACATACTTTAATGTTAGAAATTTAAAATTGTAACAACACATCTAAATTACAGTTACTTATTTTTTGTAAATAATATAAATAATATATACTATATATATCTATATCTATATATATATATATATATATATATATATATATATACATATATATATATATATATATATACATATATATATATATATATACATTTGTATTAACGTGAGTCTAATTACTATAATATACAACAGTATGATTACATTTGAGTAAATCAATATTAATAATTTTGCAATTTTAAGTAAATTTTATTAATCAACAATATTAAAAATAATGGCGAGTTAAAACTAAAAAATACAAGCATGTTTGTAATAATGGTTTTTGTGATCAAAGCATATTGAATCTAATTATAACAATCTATAAAGTTAGCACCAGAAACATGATAAGTATTACATGTACCAGTATCTGTAATTAAACAACTTTGCAATACGGAAATAAGTGTTCTATTAATGGGATTTTTACATTTTCCAAAGCTGATTCTTCAGTATGTAAATTAATTTTTTTAGAACTTATTACTTATTACAATAATATAATAGCCACAGTAATTAATTACTAAAAATCAAACAAATTTGAAAATACATGAATGTTGCATTAAACTAATACATTTGATAACAAGAAAAAAACAAAAATCGCATTTTTTTGTTGAAACTTTTTTCGCTATTTTTATGGAAATCTTCCACGATTTATGTTTTTTTTATTATTACAAAAACTAATTTTTAAAAATAGTAATATTATGCTTTCATTTTTTTTTCTTATGTTAATGATAGTAAACTTCATTTTAATATTGTCATAATTGCGACTGAAAAAAAAAGTTATTTTGCGAGTGAAAGAACCTTAAAAGGGGTTATCAGCATAATCATGTATAAATAAAGTTACATTTAAAACAAAATAGTTAACAATATTACAGCTGGACATGGAAATAGTTTTAAAAAAGCAAATGAAAAAAAATCATCATTTTCTAAGTAAAGGACATAATGTTAGAAATTTAAAATTGTAACAACACATCTAAATTATAGTTACTTATTTTTTGTAAATAATATAATTCATATATATATATATATATATATATATATATATATATATATATATATATATATATATACTACTACTTTGTATTAACGTGAGTCTAATTACTATATACCACAGTATGATTACATTTGAGTAAATCAATATTAATAATTTTGCAATTTTAAGTACATTTTATGAATCAACAATATTAAAAATAATGGCGAGTTAAAACTAAAATATACAAGCATGTTTGTGATAATGTTTTTTCTGATCAAAGCATATTGAATCTAATTTTAACAATCTATAAAGTTAGCACCAGAAAAAAATGATAAGTATTTCATGTACCAGTATCTGTAATTAAACAAAGTTGCAATACGGAAATAAGTATTCTAATAATGGGATTTTTACATTTTCAAAGCAAATTCCTCAGTATGTAATTTATTTTTTTAGAACTTATTAATTTTTTCAATAATATAATAGCCACAGTAATTACATACTAAAAAGCAAACAAGTTTGAAAATACATCAACGTTGCATTAAACTAGTACATTTAAAAACAAGAAAAAACAATAATCGTATAACTTTGTTGAAACTTTCTTGGCTATTGTTATGAAAATCTTCCATGTTTTATGTTTTTACATCATTTCAAAAGCTAATTTTTAAAAATAGCTATATTATGTTTTCATTTATTTTCTTATGTTAATGATAGTAATCATCACTTTAATATTGTCATAATTGCGACTGAAAAAAACGTTATTTTGTTGAGTGAAAAAACCTTAAAAGGTGCTATCAGCATAATCATGTATAGATAAAGCTACATTCAAAACATAATAGTTAACAATAGTACAGCTCAGAGGCGTATCCAGGTTTTCGTTGTAGGGGGAGCGAAAAGAGCAAAAAAGGCGCCAAATTTTTAACACGTTCTATATACGTGTATTTTATATATATATATATATATATATATATATATATATATATATATATATATATATATATATATATATATATATATATATATAATTACTAGCTGTATGTCATTACTTCGCTATGATGTAAAATAAATTGAATGTAGCACTCTGAAGAAATAAGAAAAGAAACACAGTGTAGGCCGACAAAACAAAAATTGTATATCAATCTAAGCAAAAATATATATATATATATACACACACACTACAACCAAAAACAATGAACGTAACACAATCTGTTTTGTAATTCTTGTAAAACAAATTTCTTACATAAAAATTCCTGGGAAATTATTTAAGACAAGTGAATTAGGGGAAATAATCACTCTCTTAATATAAATATGTATATATCTACACATTTAATTATAAATGTAAAAAAAAAATTAATTAAGATTATAATGAAATTGTTTAACACTATTTGTGTTTACAAAATGTTTTTGTCTATAATCAGAATTTAATATATCGTCATCATAAATGCTAAAGTATTACAGCATAATGAAAGTTTTTAAAATCAGAGTTGGTATAAAACCACGCTTTTTGATATAATAGAAGCACATTCGGAACAAAAACCTACGTTTAACTAATTATCGGTCATTTCGTTCAGATTATATATTTTAATTAACTACTGCTTCTTAGTGTTCTGTAAAGATCATTTTTTAAAATAGTGATAGGTATGGGTTAGATCACTGTATTGATCACACACCTTTTTACTGGTAATTGCAAAAACAATATTCACAGAGTTTTACGTTTAAAAAGCTAATTTTCTGGCGGCATGGTACTTTGGTACATCGTTACCCGTTTTTCTACATGTAATTAACAGATCAGTTCGGGGTGGGGGGGGGGGGGGGCTCAACTTCATTCACCACTGTCCGTTCACTTTAGGTCAATTGTCCAACCCGGTGTATACCTAGGTGTGACATTAATGTCGCTCTACACAATTGTGGTGGTGAGGGGGGGGGGGAGATAACCAACTCAGAGTGAACAGCGTCAGTTTTTAGATGACTGTTCTAAACATACATATATATTACACAAATATCTACTACACAAATATATATTACAGAAATAGAATTTAAATAAGTAGCAGTGGTATTATGACAATATTTTTTTACAGAGGGGTCAATGGGGGAGGGGGTTGTAACTGTTTCATATAATTTGTAATCGTAATCACTATCGCCCAAACTGTAAGAATACTACTACTTCATCGTGATGACGTCAAAATTTCCCCACCACTACGCAGTTTGCTCATAAGTAAATTTAAATAGAGGTGCCACATCAGTTGTATTTGTTTCTGTATTGTAATTTTTTTAAAATTAATCACACGATTCAAACTGTATAGATAAAGTAATTATGTGTGAAGTTTTATGTATAACATTTTCTAATTCAATTATGCGCAAGCAAATACATTATACAGTTCCCTTAAACTTAACACCCCTCTTGCCAAGTGGTACTACCGTAGAGGTTTTTTAAACATTGCAATGCATCGTAATGGTTATTTTTAGAATGGCAAACTGATGCAGCTTTTAATACGTGTTGTAAACGTAGACACTGCTAAACTAGTGGAATAATGATTAATTGCTGCATGAAAAGAAATCTTGTGATTTACATAGATGTGCCGACCAAATTTTTTTTTTAACAAATATCATTGTTTAAAACTTTGAGTTTAAAAAGTTTCCAAAAAGGCGCCACTTTGCTGAAAATGGCCAGAGGGGGAGCGGCCGCTCCCCCTGCTTCCCCCCCCCCCCCCTGCGTACGCTACTGGTACAGCTAGACATGGAAATAGTTTTAAAAAAGCAAATGAAAAAAATCATCATTTTTATAAGTAAAGGACATTCTTTAATGGTAGAAATTTAAAATTGTAGCAACACATCTAAATTATAATTAATTATTTTTTTAAATAATATAAATCATATATTCTGTATTATATATATATATATATATATATATATATATATATATATATATATATATATATATATATATATATATATAGTCTAATTACTATATTATATAACAGTATGATTACATTTGAGTAAATAAATATTAATTATTTTAAAAAAGTATCCGCTTAGTTAACAATTGTTAACACTTGCCAATCCTAATTCCCATACTAGCGAATTCCCCCATTTCAATTTACATAGTCCAACTGTTGACAGTCAGCAAAACATTTATGCAAAAATATTTCTCTACATATTTGCAAGAGCTACGTATTCGCCAGCATAGTTAATGAAATTGTATGTTCCGCTGTGCACACGAGCGCCAAACTCATCCCCTAGTTTATACACATAAGCCCCGCTACTGCCTGGGCAGGTTGGTGTCTCGTAGATGTATTTGACCCAGTGGTACTCATCTCTCCATCTGGCAACGTTCTGTTTATGGCCACTCATTGCTATTTGGTGCTTCATTTTTCCAAAGGTTACTTGCTTGGAGCAACCATGCGGATGTGACACAATGACGGTTAAGTTCAGATCGTCGACTAAGTTCTGTTTCATTCTCTCATGGTGTCTTAAAAATCCTTTTAGCTTTTGAGCGTTAGACATGTCGTGAGTGACACACTGCAGCACATTGACAGATTTCACTTCAACAATCTCCATTTTCAAGTCATCCATCATTATAAACAACGAGTCCCATTTCTTAAGCGATTCTAATAGTCCATGTACACATTCCACAAACTGTGATGTTGTTTTCACCTCTATTAACGCCCATTCTTTCAATGCCGAAGTTGAATACGTGCAGCAATGACAAGTACATACTTTGTTGTCCGAAGGTGCAAAAGTTTCTACCTGGTAAATCATGCCTGACCCTGAATTTATTTCATTCTTCATCTTATCAAAAAGGATAACTTTCACTGTCAGACTTGTGAATGACTTGATCAAACTAAAAAGCAAGTCTTCCATTTTCAATGGGATGTGCTCCAGTTTCATTTCTCGAATGGGTGTGAAGTGCGTGTGATTTGGGTTTTTTTTACACTGAGCCCACTGCAAATCCACCACTGCTTCAGCGTCGGTATGCATCTCAAAATTACCTGGCCCTGAATGTTATATATATATATATATATATATATATATATATATATATATATATATATATATAGATTGCGGTTGTTCTTAAAAACTAAATTTTGATATCTCAACTAATCACCCTCTGCATTAGTTTTGATTAAAGAAAGTATCAGTTAAAATTTTTCCACAATCTGATTTGTGTTTGTGGCAATCAGAACCAGATGGTTTAGCGATAGTGTTAGACAGAAAAAATGCAGATGATTTAAGAATAAAGTTATGGCTATATATAGAGATAGGACTGGGGTAATTAGAGGGGAGTGTATTCGTGTGGGTGAGAGATTAAACTTATATATATATATAGGCCTATCTATCTATTCTATCTATTCTATCTATATATATATATACATATATATAAAGCAATGTATGTTTGTGTCTGTCTGTCTGTTTTTTATGCATTACTACACCTCTCATCACATCGCCGTGAAACTTTTTGAAGTTGTTGTGAATATTTCTGGGGAGGTGTCTGCGAAAAAATATTTCAAATTCGCATGGGCGGTGACACGGGAGGGTGCGATGTTTCACTGTATACGGTTTACTAAAAAAAGGAAATTGCAGTGACACCGTTCGCACGATCGCCATGAAACTTTGGTAAGATTTTGAGAATACTCCTTGAGGTTTTTTCTGCGCAAAAAACATTTGTTTTTTCTCTATATGGTATCTAAAAATATAAGTCGATTGCGGTTTAACACCGTTCAACCGATCTCCATCAAACTTTGGGGAGTTAATAAGAACAATACAGGGAAGGGTTCTGAAAAAATAGCTTTTGATTTTGCAAGGGCGTCGCCACGGGAGGGTGCAATTTTTCCGTATGTACGGTATATAAAAAATATCAGTTAAATGCGGTCTGACACCGTTCATCCGAGTGGTATGAAACTTTGGGGAGCTGATTAGAACACTCCAGGGGAGGTTTCTGAAGAACAATCTTTTTTTTTAATTTCGCAAGGACGTTGCCCCGGGAGTGTGCGATTTTTCTTTAAATACGGTAAAAGAATTTAAAAGTCGATAGACCATGGGAAAGATCGGGCGCTACAGTCGCTTACTAAATTGAATCAGGCGTGTCCACTGGCGCCCTGGTAGGGTGCGATTTTGCTGCGAACAAAAATTTCAGTTTCGGCCTCCAAAGGCTCAAATGGGCCGCTGAGGGCCATGTAATACGTTTTATTTTAATAATCAGAAAAATTAACTAATGTTAAATAATTTGTGGGATGTTTCTTTTTGTCCGTAAAAAAATCCAGTTTTGTCACTTTGCGAATGATGCAATTAGCATCTATTTTTAGACGATCCAATCAGATATTATATAGATCTTCTAAAAATACACCATTAGTAATGCTAATAAATTGCATCAGCCACAATGAGCTTTGAAAAGACGTCATTTTTTTTTACTCTACTTGTTAAAGAAAAAATCCTGTTGATTTTTGTAACTTTAGCAAATGACGCAATCTGCATCATTGTTTCACGATGCTTTGTGGCGCTCTGGGTTATTCTGTGAGCGATATTGCGCCTATGTTAGTTTTAAGGAACCAGGGCCGTACGAGGCGCCTCTGTGGTAGTGGAATTGGGGTTCCAGAGAGCGCCGCTATATGGCACTGACACTTGGGTGGTCACCGAAGTGTGTTCTACCTAATTATTTCTGTTAGTGATCCACGTACACTCAAAGTTTTGATGCGGCAGTGTAGGAAGCCCGTGTCCCGATATTTATGATTCAAGAGCAGGCATTGTGTACATTTTAATAAATATGCATTGTTCAAAATAAATTACATACCTGTAAAAAGATCGGATTTAAGAACAGCTTTTCCATTGAACGTTTCACATTGACTTGATAACTGTGTTTTTATAACTGCAATTTTGTTTATTAGTTCTTACTTTGTGTTAAATAAATTAATTTAAAACGAATGTTATTCTTTACATTAAAAAATCCCATATTGTACTCACCGTCATACTCTGAACTGTTTTTGAATGACTCGGGTAACTCCTTTTCAAGGATGTAAACTGACGCATCGGTGAAATTCGTAGATGTGTGTATTGCATTATAAAATTGGGCAGAGTTATAATTATGCGAATTCCATATATGCGGATTTTCTCCAACATACACTTGTTTCTTACCCTCTGACTGATGCACTACAGTCACAATGAAATTTCTGAGCTTGTTAAAATTTGCATTTAGTCTGATGCATAGTTTTTGATAAATGCGGCATCGTTTCTCAAGCTTCTCCAATAACCACGAGTCATGACTATAACATCTTAGCAGACAACCATCACCTATAATACTTGCCTCAGCTGTGCAACCTCTAATAATTTCACCTAAACAGTCGGGACTATCACAGTCCAAAATACAAGTCGCATACTTCGCCTCGCTGTCGTCGAACACAAGATGTGTCGCTGTTAATATTTCTATTTCTCCCCAGCTGTTAGTAACATAAGTTCCATTGCTACATTTCTGACATTGGCATGAAATATTATCGGAATCTCTGTACCAGATCACTCTCTTCAAGATCCCAGATCCTCTTCTTGAACAACTCTTTCCTCTGTAATTGTAATGTGGGTATGAAATATCGCTCCCCGGATATAAATCAGGCCTCCTTGGACTTGTATATTCAACGTTAATAGACACTGTACATTTAGCTTGAGCAATTATCAATTCCCTTAGATCTTCTTTTGAAATAAATGTCAAATCTGCTGTAGTACAGAGTTTGAGACGTGGTTTTGCTTTAGCCTCTAGTTTGTCGAAGTATATCAATTCACGATCATATCTCGAACAGGCTATATCTGGAAATCAAGAAAAAGTGTACATACATACACAGAGATACTTGACTAAACCTATGTACATAAATATGTCTATATACTTTTAATAGTACATTCTTATTTTAAAATCTTACCTTTTAGTGCAATATTCATGTCGTCTAAAAAATCGAAAAAAAAGTACCATTACTTTTACTTTTAATTATTATACGGCTTACTTATAACACACAAATATTGTTAAATAATTGAGATATAAATGTAATAGTATTTTAATATTAATATAAAAACTTTTGTTTTAAAAAAAATGGCTTATTACTTTAAATTATACATTGAAATTGTTTTTAAAACAATATAACATTTACTGCATCTTATTTATTATATCTCTAAATTTATTCCTGCAAAACCTTCAAGCTTTCAAACAATAGCTACATTAGGATCAATTTATTTTGATTAGTTTCCATATATTTTAAAATAAAAATTGCCTGATAACGATATACCGTTTGATCGTGTTTGCATCAGATTTTGTTAAGATTAGTATTACTTAAAATTCCCTCTTCCAAATTTCTATAATTAAAATGTAATTTAAAATACCCCCTAAGAAACTGTTATTTTATATTTTTACTTTCTCGTATATACAGAGTAGGCCTATAGAGAAAGTAGTATAATCGTGCAAAAAAAAAAGAGATTTTTGCAAATCTCGACGTTTTACACCTCCCTGAGTAAGGAAAACAAAATTTTGCAATCTTGTCCGTATGCCTGTGTGTGTGTGTATGTATATGTGTCAATAATTTCAGTACCGTTACAGCTAGGTTGATGAAATTTTATATATAAGTATTATATCAAATTTGTAGATCAGAATCAACTTTTCAGCGATTTCCGATAACTGAAAGTGGAACTTTTTCTACTTTGAATTTTTCAAAAGCCAAGGTACTATTTCAAAAAGATAGACCTATATAAAATTTCACGTATTAGTAAAAGATATAATTCACTACCTTCTGTCAAATTTTGAGTCATTTCCAGAAGTAATAATTTTTGCTATTTCCGATTTTTCAAAAAACGATTGTGAATTTATAAAGTACTAATAATATCCCGCACTATTATGGACATTTTATTTGGCGTTCACTTGGTGTGCAACTCTTTTTTTTCTATTCTATTATAAAAAGTTTAATTAATTAAAAAGGATTAAAAATCATGTCTATATTCCGAGTTGCCATCCCCCTTAGTGTTATATAAAAATATTGAAGAAAGTTTAGGTGAGATCACTCCCGGTTTTATAAATATACTATATTGTGCACATTTTAATAAAAATGATTCAAATGTTTTATTTAGTTTTGTTATTTTACTATATAGCTTAAAATACCAAATACCACTGTGTCATAGCTTATATTATAATTTGATAAAATATGTCAATTGAAATATCTTAATTTTTTAATATTTATATATTTATTGAGAAAAATATAATACTGAATATTTATTGATTTCATTTATTGTTTTAGTAATAATAGTTTTAGCTAAAGCTTTATTCGTTTTCAGTATATTAATATATAAAGTTTTGAGATGTATGAATACGAAATTTCGAAAAATTCTTACAAAAAAGTGATAAAATTCAAAGCTACTTACCCTTAGAAATTTTAAAAATACTGATGTCTGCAAAAAAATATAAAATATGTGTATAGGAATAAAATAACAACGTGCATTCGTATTATTGTTTATTAAAATAATTCTAGAAGCATGTCATTTAAAAAAAAAATTAAATGGCAAGTTCATTCGTATCAATTGGTATTGAGCAAATTAATAAATAAACATGAGGCAATCCAAGCACAAAGCTATTTTATGCCATACTTTTTTAGATGTGAAAACACCAATATCATAATTCATGTTCAAAGCACCTGCACCATATTAAGATTCACATTATCCATTAAAGAAAACAACTCGCGTTTTAAATTAGTTACTACTAATCTTTGTATTTTTTCATTTTAAATAGTACTGTTTGTATATATATATATATATATATATATATATATATATATATATATATATATATATATATATATATATATATATATATATATACATAAAGATATGATAACGTCCAATTAACTCATTGGAAAGTCTTTGATATATTTACTGAAAACAAAATTCGGAATGTATAGGCTTATAGCTTGTAGTTAAACTTTATATCTTTAAATAATCGCATCGACTAGTTAGCGGAGCATCATGTAATTAACATAAATGTACCTTTTGTAGACTGGTATTCTTCTGGATTGGAAGTGTAGACTTGCTCTGTAAAATATTATATGGCATTATTTAAATTGATTTATTAACCAATTAATATTTACATGAGTCATGAATCAAGTATAAATTATAAGTCATTATTAATTAATTTAAAAAGCTTTTATGAAAACTATTTTCTGAAAATGTAAATGCAATTTTAATTTTATCCTAATATTTTATTCGTTTATTTTTGCCTGTATTCAGAAAACGGTTGTGAAATTTCAAATTTAAATATTACATTTTTGACAATCTGGTATTTTTCCTTAACAAACATCAAGTTTATCCTCCATTTTATTCAAGCACTTTAGATAATGACGATTTTATATAAGGCCGTTGTCAGCCCAGGTCAGTAATTATGTTTTATCTGATAAAATACATGATATAGAAACCTGAAATAATCTTACCTTTTGTAGATGTCATACCTTCTTTTTTGGAACTTTCCTGTGGTCCTGTAAAACAAATTACAAAATATAACGTGGTAGAGCCGTTCGTTAAAATTATTTTTTATCTTTTTAGGTCATTTTAGTTCCTAACATTACATCCCTTCTTGTTATTAAATGTAAGTATTACCTTGTAAATCTTGTGTATCTTTCTTTAGCCAACATGAATTATCTGTGGGTAAAAGTATGTATAGCTTAAACCTACAAGAATTTATATAGACTTTTGTTTTAAACATTGGTTTTAAAAAGCCAGTGCAATGTAATTAAAATTAATGTGATGATAAAAATTTATTTTGTTTTACTTTGTAATGATATTTTAGATAACTAAAAGAATTGACATAAAATGATCTAAATCAACTAATTAAAAAAAACAGATTTTAAAGTAATAATCTTTAAATATTCCTGCTTTCTATATAAATATACCAATGCAAATGTGGCATGTGCGTTGAAATATCTAAAACAATTACTTACATTTATATTTTAAGTAGGGGATAGCAATGAAATAAAGAATAGTGCATTATTTGTATCTACCTCATGATAATATAATAATTAACTTTTTTGTTATTAATAACTTTAACATATATATTAAAATAAAATGTGTTAAATCTAAAGCCAAAACTTTTATTGTGTAGTTGACCACATTTACTACTCTCAAAGTTTTGTCTGAAGGAGGTGAGTAGCACTAAATATCGTAGTTGTTAGAAACAGAAAAATATTAAAATTTGACAAACACATACAATATTCATCATTCTCTATTGTATCGCGTTGCATACCTGAAATAAAAATAAGAAATGGAGAAAATGCATTAAATTTTTTAAAAATGTTTATTAACATAAATAATAGAAGACATTCAAAATCTATACTTTTTAAAAATAATTTTATCTAGAATTAACCTAATTTCTAACATATAAACATTTAATTTGGCTTTTTTATCTTACTGAAAAATTAACATTGGTATAAGGGATATTCTTTTGAACCTGATGGTTCATGCGACAAATGAAGTGGACTTCATCAGTTTCTCTGATATACATTAGCATACATGAATTTGACAGCCACATTTACTTTACTTACTCTACTGCTACGTCCTTTACATGCCCTCTGATTGTGTGTGTGTGTGTGAGTGTGTTGTGTATTTGAACGACAGTTACCCTCCTTTTTCTATATAGTTGTAGTCCATTTTTGAGTGTTTACATGGAGCGAGTGGTGTTTACGTGAAGAGTGTCAGATGACCGGTGTCAGAGCATGTGCTAATGTGTGTAGCAGTTGGTTGTAGTGTGGCTGTGGACGTCGTGTTAAGTATCGTGTATCGTTATTGAAGTCGTAGAGCTTTTTATTATATATTAATTTATTGTTGTATTATTCTTGTATATATATATATATATATATATATATATATATATATATATATATATATATATATATATATGATAAATTTCTTAGCATTATTTAGTAGTTTTATTTAGCGTTATCTAATGTATTTGTATACGTTATATTTTGTGGGTTCCATGACATATGATCTCAGACAAAATATCCCATACAAAATATCCCATACAAAATATCTCAAGGACAAATGATCTCAAGGACAAATGATCTCAAGGACAAATGATCTCACGGACAAAAGATACCAGGACAAAATATTTTAGGACAAATGATATCATGTACAATTGATCTCAGACAAAAAAATCTAAGACAAAATATCCCACGGCAAAATATGTTTAGTATTTGAGATTATTTTAGTCGATTTTATCATTTCAAAAAATGGATTTGTCTTTACATTTGTTTACAAATAATAATTGGGAGGAAAGGTTGTAGCACAGGTTTGTCACATTACACGAAACGTTGAAATTACAATTAGAAATTTAATATTCGTCGATCCAAACTATGTTTTGGTAGACAGTGCAGGTGAGCTTACCGATCTTTACACAGCGCTACAACAATAGATGGACGAAACTTGATCAAAAGGGATTTCTGATCAATTGATGAAAGGGCTATGAAAACACACATACGTAGAAAACTGGCCGCACGCTTTGTTAGCGGACAGAACCTAAAGAGGTAGACAATACAACTAGCATCTTAAGTCAATAGTAATATGTCGGTCACATTTTAGTGATCAGGTGACATGTGCTTGTTTGACAGCGGTCGTTGCAAAGCAAAGTTATTCATTACTCAGCTATGGCGTCTTTCTTTTTTTTAACACGTTTTTCTTAACTCAGCTTCGCGTTTGTGGATGGATTTATTTGTTATTAAAATTGACATCGAAAATTAGCCCACTTCTGATTGCTCTAGAGATCTGAAATTTGGCATAGAGGCTACTTTCGCCTAACAATTTCAGATGCAATCATAAAAACTAGCAATTAGAGACCGTAATTAGCTTAATTTAATTACGCCCCAAGGACCATAAAATTGAGGACATGATTTCTAAAGATACCGACAAGACTGGAGGCCTATTGACACAGTTACTTCGGCCCCAATCGATGTGAGCGCGCTGGCCGTGATCGTATAGTGGTTAGTACTTCGCGTTGTGGCCGCGACAACCCAGGTTCGAATCCTGGTCGCTCAATATTTTTAGTCCGTGTATTTATAAACACTTAGTCAATTCATACTTAATCAAGTCATTAGATAAAGTAGAAAATAAACTATATAAAAAACTTTTTAAAAACCACGTTTTTCATGTGTAGCAACGGACTAAAAAGGAGAAAATAAAATACTTAAAAAAAACTTTTTAAAAAACCACGTTTTTCTTGTGGACTAAAAAGTAGAAAATAAATTTTTCTTTTGTGCTTCCTCGAGCTGTGCAGGTTCTTGTGATGACTGACAAAAAACGTGGGTCGGGCAGATGGGTCGGGAAATTTGATGGTGAACGTACCCACGTTTTTTGTCAGTCATCACAAGAACCTGCACAGCTCGAGGAAGCACAAAAGAAAAATTTATTTTCTACTTTTTAGTCCACAAGAAAAACGTGGTGACACCATTTAGGAGGGGGGGGGGTGACACCAAGGCAAAAAATAGCAAAATATATAGAGAAATATATATATATATATATATATATATATATATATATATATATATATATATATATATGTCATCAACATATAAGCAATATTAATTTAAAGTTACTCTTTCTGAGTTGATTGTCAAGAGGATAGAAAAAGTAAAGTTTATAGAGATAGTGTGGTCTTTTTATGCACATCTGCCATGAAGTAAAATACAAAGTAATTCGATTTAGTACCCATAAAAAATATCTTTCGCTTTTGTACTATTTCAAAGATGTAAAACATTCCTCCATTCTAATTTATTTTGCTCTACATGTTACCGAATTTTAAATTTAAAACAATGTACATACGTGTGTCATCGTTTTGTTTCCTAGAGTTTTCTTCAAACATGATATGATCTGAAAAATTATCAGTAATCTCAATTATTAACATACCTTTGTTTAATCTCTAAGTGCTATAGTAGCATATATGATGACCTGATCACAATTTATTTATTAATAAATGTTTTATTAAAGTTGATAGTTTAAAAAAGTAAATTAAAGAATGTTATTTTGAAAAGTACATTATGTTAATAATAGTTATTTAAAGGGCGAAAATGTATATATTTAAATAAGATATTATTTATTTTATTTAAGATATTTAAGATGTTTAGAGATTAACACACCATATCTATCGGCGTCTGCTAATGCACCCATTTGATTTTCTGAAGAAAAAAAACACATTAAAAACACAAAATTTATCTTTGGGAAATGTTTTGAAATTAAAATTATAGGTATAAATAATACGTGGACATTTTATCTTTCTGATTCACTAGACTACCTGTCATCCTTTGAATAACTATGGGTTTCGGGGGGTCATCCATAAATGACAACATGTCTGTTACTTATCATCACAAAAAAAACTAGACCTCACATTAAAAAAGACGTCACAAAGCAGACTTTTTTTTCTGTTAAAAACACCGATTTCAGCTGACCATGGTTCTTACAACACTATTCCTTTATATGCTGAGGTCACAAAAACAGGTCAACTCTACTTCACCTGCAAAGTGTCACCCCAACTCAGACACCGATTAAAAAACACCGATTTCGGATACACCTACCCAAACTCTACTTCATCTGCCCACTGTGCCGACAAGTCTCAGACATGTTTTCATCGTTTAAAAAAATTTCAGCCGAGCATGGTTCTGACCATCTAGAAATTTTTCTCGTATACACGAAGTATAGAGAAAGTATTGTAATCGTGCAAAAACAAAAATCGAGGTTTTTGCAAATCTCGACGTTTTAGGGCTCCCTGAGTCTGAAAAACATAGTTTTGCAATCTTGTCTGTATGTCTGTGTGTGTGTATGTGTGTGTGTAAACACGATAACTTGAGTACCGTTACAGCTAGGTTGATAAAATTTCATATATAAGTATTTTATCAAAATCGTAGATCCTTTTCAACTCTTGAGCGATTTCCGATAACCGGAAGTGGCACTTTTTTACTTTGAATTTTTCAAAACCCTATAACTTGAGTAGTATTTCAGATAGATAAATAAAATTTCACTTGTAAGTAAATGATCTAATTCTCTACCTTCTATCACATTTTGAGTAATTTCCGCTAGTAATTTACGCTATTTACGATTTCCCAAAAAAAAACTCATGTAAATTTATAAAGTACTAATAATATTGCGCACTATTATGCACATCTTTATTTGGAGATCACTTGGTGTGCAATTCTTTTTACGCGAGATTTTATTCTATTTTAAAAAGTTTAAGTATTTAAAATGGATTAAAATTCATGTCTATACCCCGAGTTCCCAACCCCTTGTTGTTTTATATAAGAATATTCGAGAAAGTTTAGGGGAGATCACTCCCGGTTTATTTTTGTCTGAATTAACAATGGCGTCATTATTATTGTGTATCATTTTCAGCATTCGATTCTATATTCTATTTTTTTGTTGAGTTTTTATTGTTATGGTAAAGTTAATGTTAGTTTACATAGGTTTGATGATACTAAGTATAGATTTATATTATGTAAGTGTTTTTAATTTTTGAGATGTGTTTAAAAATATAGTCGTTTTATTATTCGAGTTCCAAAAATTAGGGATGTAATTATTGCAGACCCTATATGGTATTTTTTAAAAATAATAGATAAGGTGATTATCTCTACACATGGTAATCTTCATATTTCAATTCGATTTTACAATAATGTTGACTTTTTAGCATAATGAGGATGATTGAATTTTAAATTTTTGATATATAATATCATGAAAATGTTTTTAAATCCTACAATTAACAAAATTTATTACCTTTATCTGGAATCAGTGGAACTAGCACACTTTTTCTAATCTCTGTTAATGTTCTAACCTCTTGACCATTTTAAGAAAAAGGTTATAGTTAAATTGATATTATGTCATTGTATATAGAATTTTTTTTAATTACATATTTTTGAAGAAAACTAGTAGGCATAAAGAGACAACTAGCAAAATAGAAAACGATTACTGCAATACCACAAAACAAAAGGAGATTAAATTATTTTACATATTTAAGTTTTTGCAAGTTAAAAATGTGATAATTTTTATCTTAATACTGCAAAAGCATTGCGTATTTTACTTTTAGTAAGACACGGTGGTAGCAGTTGTCTTTTTATTTAAATATATAGAAATTAATAATATGTTAAAAAGACGTATTATATTTTTTTTCACTCATTGAAATGTATTATTAGTTGGTTCAATACCAAAGTGCAGTTATTGTATATTTTATGTTTAATGAGGTGATTCTCTCTATATATCGTACGGCTGTAAAAAGTCTATCCTTGAGATCAATACCTTTTAACAGCTTTATTTACAAAACGTAACTGAGGTAATTTGTTGTAAAACATAACTAAATGATGGATTATTACCTGGATAAAAATCCCGTGTTAAAGATACTCGACTTGGTGGGATAGCTGGCGTTTCGCTTTTGTCAGTTTCTAAAACAACCGGGGAGAGTGTTATGAAGTGGGACAGCACAGTATTATGGTAATTTAAGTAAAACATTTCAATTTACCCGCATAAAACATATAACTACAACCAAAATTTTTAAAATGACAACCTTCCCGCTCCAGACAGGTGTTGGTTTTAGCTATAGCGAGAGGTGTCTTAATAAACGTTTTTGTATCTTTACAATCCTTTGGATGTGGTCAACATTTATTTTATCCTGACAATCAAATGTTTAGGGTAACTTCCTTATTTATTTAATAGTGTAATTGAATTATGTTTAAATGTTTTGTGCTAATAACGACAAAGATTTAACAACAATAAATAAAAAAAAATGATCTAGCTTTTGAGATAAATGGGAAAAAATGTTCTACTAGTCACCATGACCGATTAGTATCTCACATTAGTGAATTATAAGAATGTTGTATGATTTTAGTGCAAAACACATCCAAAACAATTCGTTAAAGTGTCTAATATAAATATTATGTCATTCCTACATATATTGTTAAAGGTATTGTTTCAAGGCATGAATGTATTATCAATCGCTTCAAGCGAACCATTATATAAAAAAAAATTGTAAACAAAAAGTAAGTTAACGGTCTCCTTTTTAAAAAAATTATTCATTTAATTTTGTCGTTAGAAGTAATCAGAATATTTGTTGTTTTTTTTAAATTCGTATGTATAATACAATGAAACATTATTTGATTTGAATTGTATCACAACATTCAGTACCTTTATTTCGAATCTGTAGTAATTGCAGACTGTTTTTTGTTTCTGTAAGTGTTTTAGTCCCATCATCTTTTTATGAATACAAAATGTGATTATACGTCATATTAAATATTTTTACAGTTATTAATACTAACATTACCAATATTTGACTAAAACTAGCGACCAAAAAGAGATCAGAAGTTGAGTAGAAAACGATTGCTGCGCTGACTTATACTAAACAATTAATGGTAATGCTTGTATTAGTTTTTTCGTCAGTCAAACGGAAAGTAATATTTGATTTCAATCATGTAAAAGCAGTAAGAGTACAACCTTCAGTAGGAAGCTGTGGTAGTAATCGTCTTTCTGTTTAAAAAAAAATGGTGTTAAAACATATTAAAAAATTAACCTTATCAAATATAGTTAATGTGTTATGAGAAAGAATTTGCATTGGTTATTTTTAAAAACATTATTATCTCGATTCAAAATTGACTATTTATAATGTCGATAATGTATTAATTTTTAAAGTCACATTAAAAAAATCGATTACAACACTTAAAAGTTAAGAATGGTTGTCTAGAGAATTCAACAACGCTGAAAAATAAAAGTTAATTATCATATTACATTTTAAAAATAATTAAGCACTTAATAGATGTTATCATTATTAATTTTAAAAAATTCCAAAACATAGAGAAGGTCATTCTCATCAACCGAATTTAAGTAAAATAAATTAGCTTAACCATTAATTCAAACTTTTTACTTTTGTTTACATATTTTTCAAATTTCATATTCGATATGCTTCTACTACCTTATTTCTGACAATTCTTTTTCGTTTTTGAAATTATGTCAATTCTACTCCTGCTTACGAAGAAGTAAAAGCCACTTTACTGAATTACCTTTGTCTGGAATCAGTAATAATGTCGGTGTTGCAATCTCTTCATCTTGTGAAAGATTTAAAAAAAGGAATCATATGTCATTGTGTTTAAGCTTACTATATATAAATATATATATATTATATATTATATATATATATATATATATATATATATATATATATATATATATATATATATATATATTCCAAACATTACCAATATGTCACTAAAACTAGATAAACAATTGAATTAGAGTTTTGCAAACAGTAGCCTAAGTGTACTTCCTTCAGTAATAGTCGTAGCAGTAGTCTTCTTTTGGTTTGAATATAAAGATATTGATAAAATTTTGAAAGACAAAAAAACGGGCATCAATAATTAAAACTGAGAGCATGTTCTAAAAAAGTAATTACCATTGAGATTTTTAAATACATCATTATTTTGATTCGAAATTGACTATCAGAACTCCGAAAAATAAATCTTATTTTTAAATCACAGACTCGAAAATCGCTGACAATTTTGATTTATACCAATAAATAGATATATTTTTTTTCAAAAAACTATGTTTTTATATGTTTGAATTTACAATAATTTTTTTTTTTTTAATAATCAAAAGAGTGACTATCATGTTTACCACCCACATTTTTGACAATAGTAATTAGTTTTTAACAATTTAATCGAAATTTTTCCTTACACATTTTCGAAATATAATATTTTTTTTTTACTTCTACTGTCTAATTGTGACATTTAATTCGATTTCGCCATTTTGTTTGTGGTGGTGTGGTTGAATCCGAAATTGTCAAGTTCTTATATCAGGCTCGATTCCGTATGTAATCTCTAAGTCAATCCATCTTTTTTACGTACCTGACTCACGTTAATAAAATAAAGCGACCAGGCATAATATTGAAATTTTTACCTTATATGTCAAGGTCAATGAAAAAGGTGTGCTTAATTACACCGCACTATAGAATGTTAGGTTTATAAGAGTACTGTACATTATATCATGTCGAGTCCTTATTTATGAAATAAAATTAAATTGTCCTCAATTTCAACAATAAACTAAATTTGATAAAATTAAAAAAAAAAACAAATAAAATAATAATAAATAATAAAAACACATTATTTTAAAGAAATCAAAAATTAAATTATTTAATTAAAAAAAAACAACAATTATTTCGCGTCATCAGAAACAGTACTGTCTATCATTATATAATTTGTTCAAGCGATTCTCCGGCACTCTCCGGTATTCCGGCACTTTTTATCTATAATTTAAGCTCGAAGTTTAGTTTTTTTATAGCTTTACTTTACAAGTCTTGGTACACTATTTTGTTTGTTAAATACTAAAGCTATAACAGAGTAAAGTGGAATAAGCTTAATTGCAAATATTAAGTTCAACTTACGGACTAATGGACCCATGTTTGGACTTTCGTTTTGTTGAACATCTTAAAATTATAAACTTGCATATGTTAAAAAATAAGTCTGTTTTGTCATATTTAACCGCTCATTCTCTTTCTCTCTCTCTCTCTCTCTCTCTCTCTCTCTCTCTCTCTATATATATATATATATATATATATATATATATATATATATATATAATTATATTTATATTAACAACATTATTTGCATGCATTTCAAACATTTGGAGCTTGCACTATTGAAAAACTAAAAACTCACAGCTAATGACAACAAAGACTTCAAATTTTAGATAAGTGAAAAACTCAAATTAGGTTCAGTAAATTCGCTACCTAAAATCGCAGGAGTTGCTTTAAATGATGAACAATTGAGCTCACTTGCATAGTTAATTGACATATTTTGTACTTTTCAAGCATCCAGCGCTGATTGCGAACGAGCTTTTAGTCTTATGAACAGAATTAAAGTGCACGCACGAAATAGATTTAAAGCCAGACATTTGGAGAATCTAATGCAAATTAAATTATATCTAAATGCTGGAGAGGATGTGGATTTAAACAAAGCATATAAGGCGTGGAAGTAAGGCAAGGTTAGACGAGAGAAATTTCAATATATGCCCCTGAAAGTTTAGCTAATTTTGTTTTCAAGTCAGCTTTTTAAAATGGTGTTAAACTATTGTATTTGTATTATGGTATTAACATTATTAACATAAGATTGCATTTCACTAACATAGTAAGTCGACCATATAACATGTTGTCTAAGTAAACGTCTGAAAGTTTCTATTGTATATTTTATATTATTTTGATGGGATTCGCATTTTCTTTTATTTGTATACTTTTCATTAGTCCTACACATTATACTATTAATTTATCAAAATTACTCTGCTTAATGGCAAGCCTAAACGTACATATTGACTTGCCCAAGTCATTTTTAGCTACGAGCACACAATATATTTTTTGCACACACACTCTTAGTCTTTAGAGGGAACATTTCTGACCAGCTAAATCAAAACAGCGTATCAGATGCAATCTATAAAACGGATGGTGATGCACTTAAAAGTTTACATTTTTAAAGCAAATCTGAGAATTTAGAAGACTATTTGTTTACTAAACTTAAAAGACAGTAATACATTTTTTCTAATCAATAAAATAATAAGCATCCTCATGTGTTCTCAAAAGCAATTTGGTACTTATTCAACCACTTATTTTCTACAACAAACATTCTATATAATAGTTTCGCTGTCTCTCTATGTATCTATCTATCTATCTATCTATCTGTCTGACAAGAACGCTCTAGAGAAAAGACAAGCAATTTAAAAACATGCATAGTAATTCGAAAAACGAAGTATGACGTCGACACATTTAGCACAGAGTAGAAAATAATCTCAAGCCGGATAGTGCACACATTTATATGACGTCATTGATTATCGAGTAAACATTCAATACAAAGGCAATTTGGTCTAATCTAAGTGGTTTGCGTGAAGAGTTTCTTTCATACAATTCTTCGGGTAGGGGCGAAGCCCCACCCCCGCGTAAGAACGTCTGAGCCCCCCCCCCCTCCTCCCCAACTCAAAAGAAATTTCTTCATCGATACTCTATAATAAAATTACCGCCTAATTAATGTGTCTAATCTAAAAAGTGGTTTTCTTGCAATTTCTTTAATGCAATTCTTCGGGTAGTGGCTAAGCGCGACACCAGTGTTTCTTTCAGACTTTTTTCCTCCCCGGAGAGGGGTGGGGGTAATTGAAATTTTCGGGGGCGGGGGTAGAATTTTCGGGAAGGGGGGCGGACACTGGAAAAAGTATATAATTATATTTCGTTGAATGGGACGGTAGACATGTTTTTTTAGGGGGGTGGGGTGGGGTGTGTGTGTGTGTGTGGGGGGGGGGGGGGGGTGGGTGGTTTTAATTTAGACTTTTTCCTCCCCGGAGAGGGGTGGGGGTACTTGAAATTTTCGGTGGCGGGGGTAGAATTTTCGGGGAGGGGGCGGACACTGGAAAAAGTATATAATTATATTTCGTTGAATGGGACGGTAGACATGTTTTTTTTGGGGGGTGGGGGGGGGGGTGGGGGGTGGTGTGTGTGTGTGTGGGGGGGGGGGGGGCTGGTGTGTGTGGGGGGTGGGGGGGTGGTGTGTGTGGGGGGTGGGGTGGTTTTAGTTTAGACTTTTTCCTCCCCGGAGAGGGGTGGGGGTACTTGAAATTTTCGGGGGCGGGGGTAGAATTTTCGGGGAGGGGGCGGACACTGGAAAAAGTATATAACTATATTTCGTTGAATGGGACGGTATACATGTTTTTTGGGGTGTGGGGGGGTGGGGGGGGGGGTGGGGGTGGTGTGTGTGTGGGTGGGGGGTGGTGTGTGTGTGGGTGTGGGGTGGGTGGGGGGTGTGGGGGGGGGGGGGGTTAGGGGTGTGTGGGGGGGTGGTTTTAGTTTAGAGAAAAGAGACAGCACTATCAGCCTAGCGCCCGGTGTATCCTTCCTCAACGGGCCATTTTTCTCGTTAATACTAATAGTTTCGCTGTCTCTCTATGTATCTATCTATCTGTCTGACAAGAACGCTCTAGAGAAAACACAAGGAAATTAAAAACATGCACAGTAATTCGAAAAACGAAGTATGACGCGGTCACATTTAGCTTAGAGCAAGCCGGAGAGTGTACGCAATTGTATGACGTCATTGATTTTCGAGTAAACATTGAAAAAAAAGGAAATTTTGTCTAATCTAGGTGGTTTGCGTGAAGAGTTTCTTTTATACAATTCTTTCATACAATTCTTCGGGTAGGGGCGAAGCCCCACCTCCGCGTAAGAACGTCTGAGCCCCCCCCCCCCGTGGGGGTGAGGGGGGGGGGTGGTTTTAATTTAGACTTTTTCCTCCCCGGAGAGGGGTGGGGGTACTTGAAATTTTCGGGGGCGGGTGTAGAATTTTCGGGGAGGGGGCGGACACTGGAAAAAGTATATAATTATATTTCGTTGAATGGGACGGTAGACATATTTTTTTTGGGGGGGGGGGGGGGAGGGGGGGGAGGTGGGGGGGGGGGGGTGTTGGGGGGGGGGGTTGGTTTTAGTTTAGAGAAAAGAGACAGCACTATCAACCTAGCGCCCGGTGTATCCTTCCTCAACGGGCCATTTTTCTCGTTAATACTAATAGTTTCGCTGTCTGTCTATGTATCTATCTGACAAGAACGCTGTAGAGAAAACACAAGCAAAATAAAAACATGCACAGTAATTCGAAAAACGAAGTATGACGCGGTCACATTTAGCATAGAGTAGAAAATAATCTAAAACCAGAGAGTGCACACAGTAATATGACGTCATTGATTATCGCGTAAACATTGAATAATAAAAAGGAAATGTTGTCTAATCTAAATGGTTTGCGTGAAGAGTTTCTTGCATACAATTCTTCGGGTAGGGGCGAAGCCCCACCCCCCGCGTAAGAACGTCTGAGCCCCCCCCCCTCCCCAACGCAAAAGAAATTTCTTCATCGATACTCTATAATAAAATTACCGCCTAATTAATGTGTCTAATCTAAAAAGTGGTTTTCTTGCAATTTCTTTAATGCAATTCTTCGGGTAGTGGCTAAGCGCGACACCAGTGTTTCTTTCAGACTTTTTCCTCCACGGAGAGGGGTGGGGGTACTTAAAATTTTCGGAGGCGGGGGTAGAATTTTCGGGGAGGGGGCGGACACTGGAAAAAGTATATAATTATATTTCGTTGAATGGGACGGTAGACATGTTTTTTTCGGGGGTGGGGGTGGGGTGGGTGGGGGTGGGTGGGGGTGGGGGTGTGGTGGGGGGTGGGGTGGGTGGGGGTGGGGGTGGGGGTGGAGTGTGTGGGGGGGTGGGTTGGTTTTAGTTTAGAGAAAAGAGACAGCACTATCAACCTAGCGCCCGGTGTATCCTTCCTCAACGGGCCATTTTTCTCGTACTGTATATTAGAGATTAGAGTGGATGCAAAAGAAACAAATATGAACTATTGTAAAAGTTGTTAACACCAACAATACGTATGCAGTGTTTCATTTGGCTAACTGAATTCTAAAACATCTTAAATAGTATTAATCAGATATATGTACTTACCTTCTATTTGATGATACACTTCTTCGTCACATTCGTTGTACTCTTTGAACAAGCAAAACGAACATGATATAAAAAAGTTATATAAATAATTATTACTTGTCCACTGTAAACATAATATAATAAACACGTGTTATTTGCAACATACTTATAAACCAACACATTTATTGAAAAATATTACTAAATGTGTAGGTTATACAATGCTTGCTTATTTCTATAACTTTAGTGATTGTTGCGAGTACTTTCTGCTTGGTTCAGTCATTAGAACAGGCACTTTTTCAGTGAGTACCTCCTTAAAATTTCACCATTCACTAGTACATATCTGCCATTATAATATTTGGATTGTTTATCGGGAAATTGATCCTCTGGTTATGCGCCATTGAGGCCATTGACTCCGATTTCAGCCTGCTTTTCTTTTTGGATTTGCTTCCATAGCCTTTGTCCAACCAAGAACGAACTACAAGGCAGCAGTTGTTTTTAATTTTGGAGTTGTCTCTCGTAGAAGAGTGGCTTTCCCCAGCTAACGAGCCTCATCTGCCCGAGGTTCGAACTCGAGACTTTTAGGTTTAGCAACCATGAGCTTTACCGACTCGACCACGCAGACCCCTCTCTCTGCACCGATTTCCACTTCATTATAATATTTGGGTTGTTTATCATGAACTTCAATCTTTCTGCGCCGATTTCCACTGTATTATAATATTTTGATTGTTTATCGTGAACTTCATCATCTCTGCGCTGATTTCCACTTCATTATAATATTTGGGTTGTTTATCATCAACTTCATGCTCTCTGCGCTGATTTCCACTTTATATACTGTTTATGTTCTGTCCAACCAGTCTACTAATTCTATCATTTCGCTTTATCTGCCAGCTATAGAATCTATGTCACCATCTAAACGCAGGTTGCTGTTTATCTGTCAAAAGATGCTAACTGAGCCGACACGGTCTTTCTTATATCATGAATCCTTATGTGCTGTTTGCGCTTATGTATTCGTGCATGTAAAACCACAGTGCAGCTTCTAAACGCTGTCGATTGCCTTTCCACAGTCGTGTTAAATATGAACAAGATTACGCTTGTGTTGGAGGTATGTTTCCCCTATGTAACAGTAGATCAAAGATATGTCCATTTTTACTAGTTTTTATTTAACTTGCTTCCTGTGTCTGTCTGCCGACAGTCTGTTTGTCGTCATAGATCGAAACGCTCAAGCTATATTTCGGGCATTTCTAACCGACAGATTCGGTTCAAATTTGACACGTGTGTCAAGACATGAAGGCGTTTTAATCTGACATTAAATTTTACTTAATTGGATGCCTAGTTAATTTTTAAAAAATAATTAACTAAAAATGTGTCCAAATTAGTAGGCTGTCTCACCCAACTATTCCGCTTGATCATACGCACGTTATTATGTTCATTAGGAATGGATTTTAGTCGTGCAACTGTTTTGTCAATTTAAAAAAAAATAAGTAGTGAAAAAAAAAATTCATAAACAACGTTTTAATAACAAGCTTTTATAAAAGGAGAAAATAAATGAGTAACTTTAAATATATAATAATACACTATTATTTTAATAACTATAAACAAAAGCGTCGGTCTCTTCTAAAATATTAGTAAAGTTATTCAATAGATAATAAAGTGCATTATTTCATAAAAGTTTGTTATTAAAAGGTTTTTAGTGTATTTTTTTACAAGCTTTTATCTAACTTGATTTCTCTATCTTCCATCAGTCTGTCGTCAGTCTGTCTAGTGACCAGCGCTTTTCTTTTTATTTATTTAAATAGTGGTGTATTATTATTATTATTATTATTATTATTATATATTTAAAGAAACTCATTTATTTTCTACTTTTTAGTGCATTATTACATAAAAATCTCTTATTAAAACGTTTTTTTTATGGCTTTTGTTTTTCATTCACTGCTACCAACGTCTCCTTTAGACTTTTAGTGATCTCATACACAAATTATGGCCGCGGAAGAATCACCGTTGTGATTGGGCCTTTTGAGAACTTAACACGTATTGCCTGGGCGAAGAGAATCTAAAGTCCTGAACATAAACTATAGTGTCTTAAAATGTGAAATAACTTTATATTTGTGATAAATTATAAAATATACAAAGCCTACCTGTTTTGCTTACACGTGCTTTAGCTTTATGTGATTTGGGTTGCTGGAATAGGCCCTAAGTTGTAGAATAATTTTAAAAAATTAGATTAGTTTAAATTGCATTAACCTTTAGACTTGATTATAAGTCGAAAAACGTAATTGAGACAGTCCGTGAACTATTATACAAAATTCGAACTTGACTTGCACACTTAAAATAAAACTTTCTCGAATACACTTCTAGTGGAATCATGCTTTAAACCGCCCGTTATTTGGGAAAACACTTTAGAAAAAATTCTTTTAATGTATATATATATATATATATATATATATATATATATATATATATATATATATATGCGGCAACTTGGTCGTATGCCGTTATTAAGGCACTTGCCGCAGGCGTTTCAAGTTTGGTAGGCACTCGCCTCGGGGGAATAGAAAAAGGGGCAAATGCGTGTGTTTGTGTGTGTGTGTGTGTTTGTGTTTGTGTTTGTCTGTGTGTTTTTGTGTTTGTGTGTGTGCAGAAATCTTCACAAGAATATTTTCATTGTTTTGAGAACTGACAAAAGGAAAGAGCACAGTTAATTTTTTTTTCAAAATAATCTAATCTTGGTTAATTCCTCTGATTATTTAAAAATATATATCCGAAATTTGTTATTACTGGGCCCTCAGAGGCCCCGTGAGTCTTTCGGGGAAGAAACTCAATCTTTTGTTCGCAGCAGAATTGTGCTGTACCATGGCGCCGGTGGACGCGTCTGATTTAATTTAACGAACGACTGTAATACTTCATCATATCCATAGTTTGTCGCACTGTATTAAAAAAAAACGTAGGCGCCTTAGTGCTTTCAGGGGAGCCCAGGGCGCTTTGGGACACCCAACTACCGTAGCGCCGACGGCTACTCTGTTGCAGTTTTACTTTTGAATATAGTAATACCATTTACTCGCTATGCAGGTTGCTTAATTAACGGATGCCAAGTGCCAACATAGCCGCTCTAAAACTCTGGGCGCCAAACCATATATCGACAAAATCGCACCCTCCGTAACGCCGCCCATAAGAAATTTTAGTTTCTTTTCCGCAGAAATTTTCTAGGGAGTATTTTCATTTACTACCCAAAGTTTCATGGCACTCACATGAACGGTCTCTCTCTCTCTCTCTCTCTGTATATATATATATATATATATATATATATATATATATATATATATATATATATATATATATATATATATTTATATATATATATTTATATATATATATATTTATATATATATATATATTTATATATATATATATATATATATATATATATATATATATATATATATATATATATATGATTATATATACATAAACAAGTATTAATATATAAACTGCAACAAACCATAACTTTCGAAAACACATTTTTGGATCTGAAATGTGATAAGCAAGAAAAGTTGTTACATGTAGCAAATTAAATACAGAGACAGAAATTTGTAGAATGAAAATTCAATTATTATTAAATAATAGTAAAATAGTAGTAGTAATACATGTGGGACAAAGAATCCATACTATAAGTGTTACCGTGAATTATTTTAGTTTTTGAAAGTAAATAAAATAAATCTTACTTTTTCTTTTTCCTCGACCTGCCCGATACTGAAGTAATTATGAAATTTGAAAAACAAAAACCACACGTTTCAGTTTTAAAATGTTTATGAAAGTGTATAGGTAAAGATAAAATTTCATATCTTAAATGTGTCAAACATTTATTTCTTTGAAAATAATTTAAAATGTTTTAATAGTTTTTGAAAGTATTATCAAAACATGTAATATTTTTAAACAATGTGTTAAATGTTTCTTACCTTCTCGAGTAGGATCCATGCTGTCGGCCAAAGTAATAAAAAAGCAAGTATTAATTGATAACTGATTATGTTATAATCAACTAAAGGTTAAAGCGGAATTATTTTGCCCAATTTACAACCGCACACACACGCTTTTATATACACTCACGCACTCAATCATCAGCTTCGAAGATAACGTTTATCCAGTAGAGTAAATGAGTAAACGAATTAGAACATCAAACATTTATAAAAATGAAACTACCTTTGCAGCATAAAGGGTCAGCGACTTTTTGCATTACACAATTTTAATTTTAAAAATGCTACACATGAATCAAATATACTTACAGTGTTTCAAAATATAAGGAAACATGAGGATAGGAGAAAAATACAATAAAATAGATTGTGGAAAATCTGACATTCTGAAAGGTTACAAATTTACTATTTTATCTCTCTTTGGGGACAAGGCATCTGAATTTAAAGTGAAACAGGGGTTTTCTGGATTTGAATCTAGTTTGGATATCAGACACGAAACAACATTAGAGGGTAATTAGAGGGTATTCGCACTTTTCTATTCGACAAGAAATTTCAAAACCTTGAAAATAAGAACATCGTAAGTGCACGAACCTGTAAATTATAGAGGATTGCATATTGTGTTGCAAGAGGATAAAATAAAAGGAGAACGTTTTAGCTTTATGCTCATACGCCCCTTTTATTCGCGGAATTTCCTTGCAAGGGTTATAGCATTTACGGTTAAACAATTCAATTTCATGGTGTGGCTTTTAGTTTTGAAAATCATTATCAGCTTGGAGGTGAAGAACACACTTTCCTAATAAAAGAGCGGTGGGCGGAAGTAATATTTATCAAGAGCGAAATATTGGTAATAGCATAATGTATTACAATTTGAAGATTTTAGAGCATGGGGAAGGGGAGGGAAGTGTGGTTACAGGGGCGTGAATTGTTCGGCTCTGTTGTTTATTGTGTTGTACTGAGTTAGGTGTTGCGTCTATTGCTATTTATTTTGCAGAGGAAAGAGGGACGTGATTCAGCTTGGCATAAAGTATATTTGTTTTAGTTGTTGTTTCCATTTGAACGGTCTAGTCTCTATCGCCTCGAGGTCCCTAAGGCAGTGCCCTCTGTGAATTGTTAGTAATAAAACAGATAGTGTTAGTTACCTCACAAGTTAGAGACAGTTACAAATGCTATGGACGTTTCGACCCAAGGTCTTCGTCAGCACACAACAGTGTGGTTAAAGATTAGACAAAAAAAAGACAAACAGTTACACAATTTTGGACTTAGCTCGACAGTGAAAACACGTCTTGTCTGCAAGCCACGATATGCAACAGAAGAGACGCGTGAGAAGGACACTTGGACACCGTATTTGTGAGGTAACTAACACTATATGTTTTATTTCTAATTGAATTAACCTCATTGCTGCTACCATTTGAATTGTTAGTGTAGGTCGGTCACAGTAGCTAAAACACAGTATGCGCTTATGTCTTTAATCTACACTTCACTACAGTAACGTTTCGATCGTCTCCTACGCTTCGTTGTCGTCTCAAGTGGGTTATTGCGTTTAATGCGTTATATATTTCGGCCGAGGAAAACAAAAAGAGATGTGACGACTAAGTGTACAGCGTTTATATTGTAATTGTTATCTTCCTTTTTTTCAGTATTCTAACTGTCACCGCGTGGTTTCTAAGGTCATGTCCTTTGTAGCTCAAGTTAGTCACTGTCCACGGGTTTGTCCAGGCTGATGCTGAATTTTATGCTAAGTCGTTCAATTTTCCTTTACTTCAATATCGTCACAGTCTTCTTCTAACTAGATGTACTGTTCCGCTTCATCGTCGCTTTCTTCTCTATAATCGAGAGGGGAGGGGCAGAATGGGTAGGAGGTGGGTGTGGGGAGGGGGTTATGAAGGTAGTCTGCTGCTTTTCCGTTAGTATTCCTGGAGCGGCAATGTAAAATTGTAAAAGAGGGAATAACTTTAGTAGTAAAAGTGTTATCGAATGGTCTCCCCTTTCCAAGTCGTCTGGACGCTAGACACCGTCGTCGTTTGACGAGCGAATTTAAGACAACACACCTTTGAAAATAAGAAGAGGAGATTATTTAAGGAATACTAGAGTTATCAGGTGGTCCTCCCTTTCCCCGCCACATAGCCGTCGATAGAATCCTTGCAAACACATACAACAGACCAGCTTCTCTCAAGTGATCAGTTTTACCATGCAAGATCCAAGCCTCTCTCAACACACCAGTCTGGTCTTTTAATAATTCAATGCGACTGACACTGCATTACAACCCTGATGCTACTATCTACTTCAAAGTCAATGAGCAGATAGTTGGCAACATTTAAACTTTGGTCGCAACATTAAGATCCCATCCCTAGTCAATCGAAATAAAGTAGGGAGGGACCTAATATTTACCGATCTATATGAGCAGATTCATGTTGATGGTGCGCAATAGAATTTTTATTAATAAGACTATATTTTATGAAACATTCTAAAGAACTGAAAAAAAATGTATTAAAAGTGCAGAAATGTTTTTTTCAATAACAAGCTTGTTTGTAATAATGCACTTAAAAGGAGAAAAAAAATGAATATTTTTCTTTTAATATATTATAATACTCCACTATTTAATAAACTATAAAGAAAAGCGTGAGTCTCTTCCTAAATATTACTAAATATATCCAATAAATAAAATAGTTCTTCTTCTTCTGTGTCCTTAATTTAGTTTATGGTGGGGGATTTAAACAAGTCTAACTTTATGTGTGAACTGGACTGTGGTCTTCAGATCAGCGGGTGCCTGTCATGTATCGATGTATCGAAACTGCTGAACGAAATTTCGATAATTTTTAACTGACATAATCATTTCAAGCTTAGCACATTAGTCAAGGCCAAATGACAAAGCTATCTGACATTAAATTTGGCTTAATAGGAAGCCACGTTTTTTTTCAGGAATTAATAAAGATTTCGTATATAAAGTACTATTTACTGAACTATTAAACGCGCATTTTTCGTGTTCATTTGATGAACAATAGTTTTTAGTCATGCAACTCTATTGTTTTAATGAGTGATATCCAATAAACTTTCTCGAATTTACTTAAATAACAGAACGGGGGATGGAAACTCGGGGTATAGACATGATTCTTAATCAATTTTTAATTACTTAAACTTTTTAAAATAGAATAGACTCTCGTAGATAAAAAGTATAGCGCACCAAGTGAACAGCAAAAAATGTGTGTATAATTTTGCGGAATATTAGTACGTTATAAATTCAAATTCGGTTTTTTGAGAAATCGGAAATAGCGTAAAGTACTACTTTCAGTGAACGAAAATTACTCACAATTTGATAGAAGGCAATCAAAGCTGGTTTACTCTGTGAACTCCTAGAAGAAAGTGTAACTGTTGACTATATTAGAATAAACAGTGTAAACCGGGAATTTTATCACAAACTTCAGTCAATTGTAGCAATTGAATTAAATTTACGTAGCACGGAATTCAGAACACAAAGTCACACATACATACAATGTTAACTAAGTAGACACTTACTAAAACGCGGCCTATTGTGACTGTGTGGATGGACCAGTGACGCGAATACCCCACTTGTCTAAACACTGGTGTGTAAAAGATAAGCGTGAGTAGATCCGTCTTGTTGTTTTTGAGATTGTCTCTGTCAATAGCGTTAGTAGGGATTGGTTAACTCACTTTCTCTTCCCATCCCAAGATATAGGAATATATATATATATATATATATATATATATATATATATATATATATATATATATATATATATATATATATATATATATATATATACCAGCTGTTATCAGCTAGGCGTTGCTCAAGCTATTTATATGTCCAAATGTCAAAGTTAAGGTGCATATGTATGTTTACAAAACATTTTAAGAACAAGTGAAAGTGCATTATAGAACGAAATAGCACGTGATTCTAATAACTACACATTCACGTTTTGTTACACGGAAATACTAACCATCAGAGCGAAACCGCTTGTCTTTGTGAGCAGTATCCCCATGTGATGCAAACTAAAACAAGTTAATTAAAAAGTCTAGTGACATTTATGCGCAATTTCCTTATGTTATCTAAAAATAGCTCTGCCGTATAATGCTGGGGTGCGTTCAAGCTAGGAGAACGATCGGTTTGTAGGTGTTTATGTAATTTTAAAATTTGTGACCGAACGAAAAGATATTTTTGAAAACTTTCTTCGGCAATATTGTTCTAAATTATGGCAGGAATCGATTGGTAAATGTTTCAAGTCGCTAAGGTGGTCTGGTTGCCGAGATATGGGCCAAAAACTGCATTTTTTCGAGGTTTTTTGGCTTTTCCGAGAAATCCAGGAAGGAATTCTGGAATTTTTTTGGCCCACTATCATCCTCGTAACTTGATTAACAAATTTGCTTTGGAACTAGTCCTCGATATCGCTTCGTTGAGGAGGAGATACGACTTAAAGCTGCGAACACACATCCATACATTCATACATCCAGAAATGATGGGTTAATAAACGCAATTCTCCAGAATGGAAATTGCGCTAAAAATAATATCGGAATATTATCATGTAAGGGTGTATTGTATTTTACACCGTAAACGCATGAATTGTAATGGGTAACTTTAATAGTAAATAAAAAAAAATTAAAATAAAAAAAAATCATATATAACGCTAATCCTAAAGCATTACACATTAACCACCAGAAACAGAAGAGTGTTTCTTCCAGACCTTTCTTCTCCGGGAGGGGGGGGGGGGGGTCTGATGCATTTTTTTTTGGGGGGGGGGGGGGGGACGACGACTATAATTTCCGGGGGAGCAGACACTGGTAAAATTATATGTTTTCTATATAAATTTAATTTCGTCCGGGTGGGGGGGGGGGGGGGTAGAGTAATTTTTTTTATAGAAAACACTGCCACAGACCAAATTGATTACTAATTAGTAACTATAAAATATTGACCACAATTTAAGCCAACAAGCTTAAAACTGAAATGCCTACACTAACAACTATGACCAAAAATCTTGCATACATAGAAGAAGTATACAGAGCTACACACACTTAATAGAAGACAGCCTGCAATACGGGACACACGCGTAATTAAAGCAATTGAGACCTACACCGTATGCAATTACTTCAACACTGTTTGTTTTTACCAAAACACACACTCATCCTATCGTACATAGCAGAAGTTATAATATGTGTTTCTATATTGTTTTACAAAGTTTTTGGAATTTTTAGCTGTAGAGTATTTATTTGCATTTGGCAGGCTTAACTTCAATTGTAAAATAGTTATCACAAGCGAAGACCTGTGAATTTTGTAAGTGCATGATTTTGCGAGTTTTATTTTCTGTCGCTGTCGGTCTTGATAGTTTGAGTCTGATTATATATCTATTTAAATGAAAGTATGTGCTATAGTAGTTTGTTCGAAAGAGATCTGGATATATTAACGTAACAAATCCTGGACTCTACAATCTGACTACACACGAAGTCCACACACCATGCCAAGTGGCGTCTGTGTTAAGTGTGGACAATCATCGCTCTAACATCTGTGATCCTATATAACACAGCTGATGTTTATACGCATCAACAGAGTTTTAGAAAAAAGGTCGCACAACAAATATTGAGATTAGTGTCGTGTTGATGAAAAAAAATAGGGCACGCGCTCAAAACTACTTCATTTAAAACAATTGAACATTGTCATATCGAGATATCGAGTGTTCTAAATTTCTTTATTTTTAGATTGCACCAACGCCCACGATCAGTACGTCTTTATATATATATATATATATATATATATATATATATATATATATATATATATATATATATATATACATATATATATATATATATATATATATATATATATATATATATATATATGTGTGTGTGTGTATGTATATATTTATATCTATAATATAAGCGGGCTGAGCGTGTGTCAGTCCTTCCTTCCTTCTGTCATAGCTATAGCTTTTGGAACCATAAAAGTAAACTACGCTCTTTGCAGTGCTTTTCAGTGCATGGCTGAGTCTTATTATAAGTAATAGAGTAGGGTTTGTTTATATAACGGCATAGAGCTATTTTATAATTGCCACCGTTTTTACTTTTTTGCATAACGTAAAGAAAATATTAAATACTCGCACATTGCTAAAACATATTAAAAAGATCCATGTCAAATATCATTTTAGTTTATATTCCTAGAAAAAAAGGATACATTTTCATAAAAGTAGGTCGAAAAAACTAATTTATTCAACATTTTTTTGTGTGGTAATTTTTGCAAGGAAGGTAATTTGAAAATATATTTAACTCATCAATAATTTAAGTTAATCTTTTTTTTTATTACTACCGCATTGATTATTATATTTTAAGGTTCATAATTAAAAAAAGAAAAAGTTTAAGATTATTTATATTATTTATTATTATTTTCTTATTAGTCTATCATTTCTCAAAATCATTATTTTTTTGATTTTGCTTTTGTTTTTCTGTGTTATGAACACAGATGGTGAAATTAGACTTTTTGAGAATAATGGAAAGGCTCTCTCTGTGCGCAGACGCCTGGGAAAACGTGTTAATTTTTATTATTACTTCCACATTGATTATTATATGTTAAGGTTCATAAGTAAATTAGAAAATGTTAAGATTATTTATATTATTTTCTAATTAGTCTATGATCTCTCAATTTTGTTTTGTTTTTGTGGTTGTGTTGTGGTTGTGTTGTGGTTGTGGTTGTGTTATGGTTGTGGTTGTGTTGTGGCTGTGTTTTGGTTGTGTTGTGGTTGTGGTTGTGTTGTGGTTGTGTTGTGGTTGTGTTGTGGTTGTGGTTGTGTTGTGGTTGTGGTTGTATTGTGGTTGTGTTGTGGTTGTGGTTGTATTTTGTTTGTGTTGTGTTTTTGTTTGTTTTGTTCTGTTCCAAAGTTGGTACATTTAAAAAAGATTTACCGTGGCGGAGCACGGGATGCAGCTAGTATTTATATAATAAAGGCGGCTAGGTAATATGTTTTTCGGTACAATGTGGTGTATTTGTTTATTAGTTAGAAATGGCGTAGGAAGTGTTTAAGGCTTTAGATAGTAGGGTTAAGTTGGTGAGGTGTAAGGTTTACAGCAGTAAGATTGCATTTTGTATTATATGGTGTTTTCGTATGTTGTCGGGTGGGATATGAGGAGGTGTGTTTTGAAGTGTGTGTTAAGTGCGGGGTGTGGGAAGGGGTTCGAAAGTTAGATGGATTTGAGACTTCGGTTGTGTTGTGATCGTCATATGGATCATGTATGGATTTTTTTTCAAATCCATGCGTTATGTTGTACTTTCACAATGGGTTGGGGTGAATAGGGGGCGGTGTATATGTTGAGGAAGTGGTTTAGTGTATATCGCGAGTGTAGTGGGATAATTACTAATAAATGCTATCGGCACAACTTCGGCCTTCACTGCTGGCACTATTGGAGGATTGTTTATGGTAGACCTGATTACATCCAGAGCAAAAAGGGCATCACTAATGTGCTCTAGATCTAGGGGTGTATTAAACCTGCTCTGGTACCTTAGAAAAAAAAATTACCTTTTTGGTGAAAAATTGACTTTTTGACCAGAATAACTGCTCTCTATTATTGTTTATTGTTTGGCTTGACCTAATAAGAGGTGACAATGTGTTAGTACGCCCAAATAAATATTGCACAGTTCCATGATAAAATTTTTGTTATTTGAACCACTGTATGAAATTGTCATTGCTGGCATTGATTGTGTACTAGCTTTGTATGTTCTTTGCACACCAAATGATAACAGTCATTTCAAACTAATTTTCTTTGCTTGTCGCATGATCTGGCACACATGTAACACTCTCAAGCATAGTCCTGGATGAGAATGTGGGGTGCTTGCTGTTTGTGTCGGTATATTAAGGTGAAAATATCTTTATAACATTGACGGTACTATGGGGTCTATATGACCCCAAGCGAACAAAAATCAAAATAATAAATAACCGTTAATACTTTGAAAATATTAAACATGTGTAACGTACTCATGAAGGCCTTATGAAAAGATACACGGCAGGTGAGGTCACTAATCCTGGTAGTTTTTCAAAATAAATTGCTCTAAAAATGGTTGGGGTCATATTGACCCCATGGTACCAGAGCAGGACTAGTCTCTCCAACTGTCCTCAGGTGTATCAAATTTTCTGTAATTATCAGTTAGGTTGAAGAAAATAACAAAGCAATAGCAACTGTTGTGTTTTGTCAGTTTATCTTAAATAACAATCAACTATTACTTGTTATGAACAAAACAAACAATCAATTCGGTTAATTATACTAAGTTTCTAGTAAACAGTTTTATTGGATAATTTTAAACATAAAAAGCCATTTTATATTTGACTTGGTTCTTTAACATTAGTTCGAAGATTATCGCCTTCATCCACCTGCTCTGACTGTATGCTATTATACTGATCATATAGCGACGCAAGAATCCACGATATTTATTTCCCTTTAATACAGTTGCTCCAGTCAAGGTATTAATGCAATCAAGTAAAGGTACCTGAACTCTCACGTTGAAGTTACGAAAATCCTAAGTCTCGTGCAAAGAACTAGTCGCGTCATTTTAAAAACAAAACTAGGTAGTGAAATCGTACATTACTCGTTAGTACAATTGGTTTCTATTCTAAGTGTTAAACGATTTATCTACTCACCGTTCCGGTGTACATCCTGCCAATTTAAACACCCACTACCCTTTTCTTATGTTATTGTTACACAATAAACTCCAATACAATTGATGTCTTTTCTGTCTTAAAGGGTTGTATAGACCATTCCAGTACAAATCCTTGCCATTTTTGTTTGTAAAAAAGCCCCCCCCCCCACCCCCACTATGTTGGATAAAGTTGGTAGAGAGGTTCTTTTACTTCACTAACATTTATTATTGTTACACAATCATATAACACGCTTTAATACAATTGGTTTGTTTTATATGTGATAAAAGTTATCTACTCACCAATCTAGTGTAAATTCATCAGATTTTAGTCATCTAAAACGCCCCCCTCTCCACCAAAAGAAGTGTTTCATTTCGTTCGGGGGGGGGGGGGGCGGTAGACTTGGAGCCCCCCACCCCCCCACACCCGAAGAGATGTCTGGAAGAAACTGCCCAAAAGAGGATAAAATAGAAAGCGGTTTTACCGGTCACTGGTTCATAAGGGTATCTGTTTAACAGTTACACGGTAGAAGACTGTTCTATCAGTATGTACAAGCTTGTTGCTGTCAATTTTCTGGACTTTGACTGTTCATAATTCCAAACTACAGCTTAAAATGAGCTTCAATTCTTTTATCTTAACACTTTGGTGCCCAACTGGAGACGGCGCCCCCCCCCTCACCCCCCCCCCCTTTTCAGATACACCTTTGACTCTATTAGGGTTCGTACTTTCTAAAGTTTGTCAAGGATTTCATACACTAGAGTTAACAGCTTGAAATTGTAGCTTAATTAAAGAGGAAATTGCCATCTCTTTGTATAAAATATATAACAGAAAACAACGTGAAATGTAATCAGAATTTTAAATTTGTATACAATAGAAGCGTAGACGAAACAATAAATTGACAAATGCAGAGTTTTTCAATTTATTTCAGTTTATTATTAATAGAGTAATATTAAAAGAAAAGAAAAATACAATTTAATTGCACGCGATTTAAAATAACAAAAACTTTATTGAATTAGCATAAACCAATATTATTAACAGCGATTAATTAAAAAAACGAAAGATTTCTTCATTACATTTGATTACATTTTGAGAATTAAGTTTCCATCAAAGCCATGGTTGCTGAGTTAATAATCTTGCGAATAAGTAAAATAGAAAAAGTGGTTAAAATGACATACACATGTGTATCTATAAAATAATTCCACATATTTAACATTTTTAATTACCTCAACACAAATGTGTTGCTAAATTTATTTTTTGCATTAAACATTTAATTTGCAGCTATATTGTGGCTTGATGTTTGAAGAAAAAAAAAGCATCAAACTTTATACAGCATACACTTCATATACAACATTGTCGTAATAACTTCAAAAATAATCGATGCGTTAGATTAAGAAATGTTAAGTTCATCAGCAATGTTTAGTTACACTTATTACAGTATAAAGAAAATCAAAATGTAATCTGAACATAAGATAAATTGTTAAACTTTATATTACTCAAAATCAATGCTTTTCGACAATTAAAAAATTATACAATAATAGTTCATTTGTTTACACCTTAAAAGTTTGGTTTAGAATTTTTTATAATTCCTTACTCAGATTAACTAGATTGTTTTAACCATACTAAAATAAATGGGAATTCTAAAATGTAGGGCTTTAAAGCAAAATATTTTTATGTATCCCATAACACATCAGTCTAGGCAAGCTTGCTTAAATACCTGCTGTTTCTCATATCTGATTGATCTTCTTACCAAAACCTAAAATCGTTAAGGCTAGGCGAGCTATCTTTGGTACCGGCTGTGTGTCTGACACACCACAGACACGTCTCACTAGAGATGGTGACACACGGTACAAACATCTGATTGGTGACACCATCCTGTGACACACGTCATGTGGCAGCACATCGATGTAGCAGGAGGCCACGACACCGTCCACCACAATGGTGCCGCTTCTGGTGAAAGGTGCGTACAGACCTCTGTCCACTCTGTAGGTGACGTCAGCCACGCTTGACCAGACAAACCCCAGCTCAGATTTCGTTAGAATTTCATCTCCGACTTTGACATTTTTAGCGGAAACAAAACGTTCTATACCGTTTTTCTTACAGAGAATTAGATGTTCTGGTGAGATTGTGAGGTGGCTTGTCTTTGAATGGATGACGACAAATTTTGACATGACGCCGTGTTCTCTATGTCCAAACATGTAGATCTCATCATAAAATAGTCCCTTGTTTTTATCAAATGCTAGAACTCTCATTCCAGTGTTTAAATTCTTCATGCGTACGACATCTCCATTTTCCAAAATAACCACTGAAAATTCTGGAAAACAGTTAACTTCTTTTGCGACTTCAGGTGTCACCTTTTCATCAACCGCATTAATTTCGTCAACAGTTTCAACCAAACAAGTCATCAGCTCTAACACACTTTTATCTTCTTTCAGCATAGTATCTCTACTTGTTCTTTTAACTTCAATTTGATTCTTAACATTCCAAACAGCAGAAAAGAGATTGTAAATCTGTGTACCTTTATTTGGATTGCCTAGTATAATAAAGAGATCGTTGACCTGAGCTTCGATACTGGGGCTAATAGGTTCGTCACTTTTTAGTTGCTTTAAATCTTCATAAAGTGATTTGCAGGAGCTGGTGAAGATGTTGTCTAACAAGATGCTGTCACTGAAAAGTTCTGCTCGCATTCTTTCAGCATCTTTGAACATTTGATTGGTATAAGGAACCCTGCCTAATGAATCTATATAGTTGACTAGAATTACTAGTTGTTCTTTCATGCATTTCTCGTCCTCAGTTTTATTATCGAACAAAACACATCTGTTGTCACAGGCCTTTAATACCTTTTTGAAACATTTATTTTGGTCTCCGCTTAGCCAGTCAGAAAAAGATTCGTTATCTTTTTTTAAATTATCCCCCTTTGTCATTACAATAATGACATGCTCTTCCAATATATTTTCCCCAAACAAAGATGTAAGCATTTCGATACACTTTTGTTCTTCTTTTGTCATTTTAACCCCGTAAGCAAAAACCAGTAAGATAGCATGAATACCCTGGGAACAATGTGTAATGGCAAGACTAATTGCTTGAATCGCTTCAGCGTAAATTTTAGAATCTGCCGTTTGTTCAGATGTATTATAGACACCAGGCGTATCTACGCACGTAATTAAACGCGAGTCGACGATGGCACTGTTGGTGCTGGCCGTGATTGTTCCCGATTGTGTACTATTGCTCGCTTCAAACACTGACTTTCTGAGGATGCTATTTCCTGTTGAGCTTTTCCCGTGTCCTGTTTTACCAAGTAATAATAACTGGATGGGTTGTCCACTTGGAAGCTGCTCTGTTTTTCTCTACAAACATTTTTAAAAAAAAATATTCATTTGCATGAAGAAACAATTTATATAATAGCTTAAATATATTCCTAAGATCTACTTTTTTGTTGTTGGTGTGAATCATTTTCAATAGTTAAATTTTAACGATGTCTGTATTACAATCGTCCTTTAAACCTGGTTGAGGTAAATATTCTCATGCGGACAAATCACTTTTTAAAATGGATAACCGCTGTCTTTCAATGAAATCTTGTTCCCATATTTTAACCTTTCAGGTACCCAGGAAGACATTTTTCCTCAAACATATAGAACGAATAACGTTTTAATCGAATGAGTTAAAAATGGCTTCATCAAAATTGCTAAATATAGTCTTGGCATGGTAATAAAATCCTTGCTGCAAATCTAAACACAGATAAATTTTACAAAAAATCTTATTACCTTAATGAAATCATCGACAGTCTTAACGACATTGGACACGCCTTTTAACCCCGTAAAATGCGATGTATCAATATACCGCAAGTCGAGACCAGCTATGGTTAATGTGGCATTTAGACCATGTTCCTCAATGTTCTCCTGCAGCTTGTTTGCATCTTCTGACATGAAGGAAAATTCTTGCCGTTCCAAAATTGACTATCAGAGTAAGAATTAAATAAGCGTTTGAAAAAAGTAATGAATGTTTCAGATTTTAACAATAATTACAATACACAAGAATAACTACTGCTGTTATACACCCCAGTTTATCAAGTCTTCTTTTTATTTACGAAAAAACAGACATTAGTGTATAGATTAGTAGCGGGTTAGTTTAGTTGTTGAGGTTATGGTAAGTGGCGAGTGCAGAGTGATAGGTGGATGATTCATTGACACTTAAAAGAAAAGTTGTTTAACGTTAAGTAAACAAAGCAATGTATGTGTGTTTGTCTGTCTGTCTGCCTTTTATGCAATGCTACATCTTTCACCCGATCACCAAAACGTTTTAGGAAGTTGTTGAGAATAATCTGCAAAAAATGTTTTTTAATTTCGCAAGGGTGGCGCCCCGGCACGGTGCGATCTTTCTCTCTATAAGGTATAAAAAAAAAAGGGGGATGCAGTTCGACACCGTTCATCAGTGTACCATGGAGAGTTGATGAGAATACTCCCGAAAATGTGTTTTTGAAAAAAAACTATATGTGGCGCCCCGGAGGGTGCGATTTTCGCCACGGTTTGGCGCCCTAAGTTTTAGAGCGACTATCTTAGCATTTGGTATCCGTTAATCGGGCGTCTTGCATATCGGTAAAACTACAATAGACGCTACATTTAAGCAACTCAGTTTTAGTAAACAAGGTTACGCGTCTAAGAATATAGGATTGGTAACGAATTGATGAAACCATCTTATATACTTCATCAGACTTTCTTCTAACCCGTGCATGCAACTATATATATATATATATATATATATATATATATATATATATATATATATATATATATATATATATATATATATATATATATATATATATATATATATATATATATATATAGTAGCATGCACGGGTTAGAAGAAAGTCTGATGAAGTATATAACATATATATATGTATATATATATATATATATATATATATGTATATGTTACGGTCAAAGCCCGAAGTCGGCCAATGCGCGGATTGGCCGGCCTATCCGCGCATTGGCCAATATCGCCTCTCATAGGTCGGTCAAAGTCCGAAACTTTGCTTGATTTCGGCCTTTGGCCGGCCAGTCCGCGGACTGGCCATGGTGGACCGGCCAAAGTCTTAATTAGAAGATCATCGGCTAGGGACGACCGGCCAAATTCCGAATTAGAAGATCATGAGCAGATTTTGGTGTTTTTTTATGCCGTAAGGATCATGAAATTAAGTCTTTATTGATTATTAATTAAAGTAAATGACAGAAACATTCCATTTTTTTATTGTACTATAGTCTCAATCAATCAATATTATCATTTGTTACAACAAATTGAACTTTTATGACATTTAGAAGTACATAGCAGCTTGTTATTTTACACTTGCAGCGATTTGTTGTGCACTTAGTTGTGCAATTGCAGCGAGTGTAGCCTTGACCCTCAGTCAATGATTGTGAAGATGCGATGGTTCGTAGTGATTTACCTCAGTGCCAACTGACGACAATAAGAGCAGTTTTTCGTGAAGAATTGAAAACTCAATTCACCATCTTTAAAGTTTGTATTTGATGTTTTAAGCTTCTTAGCACCTTGAGTTTGCAAACCAGTGTGAGCTGCTGACCTGTGTTCCATGACACCCACGCCATCTCAAGTCGCTTGGACACTATTGTTCAACTTACAAGGAACGCGGCAAAGTCTTTTGAACGTTCCGTCTTGTTGCACGTGGTAGGTGATGGCGACTGTCTTTGATTTTGTTCTTTGATGATTGTCATCATGGAGGAGGCTGTCACATACAGTTGTAGCCCATATATGGAAACTAACATGGATTTACATATTTTTTTCTTTTGACAGCCATGTCTGACGGCCTTTTTTATCCAAGTCGCCTTGCAGATAGAATGCTATACAAAAAAGCCAAACAATACGTTACTCACAATGAAACCGCACCCAGAATAATGAAAACGCGATCACAACTTAGTCTAGATAGGACATTGGCCAGGACATACCGGCCAGTGCGCGCATTGGCCGGCCGATGTACAAAATACGCTGTCGAGTTTAAGCGTTTCGGACTTTGGCCAGTACGTCTCGGCCAGTGCGCGCATTGGCCGGTCAATGTACGAAATACGCTCTTAGTGCTAATTTCTTCGGGCTTTGGCCAAGAGAGCCGGCCAATGCGCGCATTGGCCGGCCAATCCGCGCTTTGGCCGCACTTCGGGCTTTGACCGTAACATATATATATAGTAGCGTGCATATATATATATATATATATATATATATATATATATATATATATATATATATATATATATATATATATATATATATATATATATATATATATATATATATATATATATATATATATATATATATATATATAAATATTTATATAAAGATAAACCAATTTCTATATTCTTCACCCAACGAAGATTAACTGCTGCCTAAGCCAATGGAGGGGTTATTGTTAGTAATACTAATATCGCTACAGTAAGGTATAAATACGAAATGATAATGTTGTGGAAACTACAAAAAAAAGTTTAAATGTACTATATAGATAATAAATACAGCCTAATTATAAATAAGAATAACAGTACCTCTAGTTTTTTTGAGGCCTCTGGATAATCAGTGTAAAAAGCTAGCAGAAGGCTGTAATATCCTTTTGCCTCAGGATGGTCACATTGTAAATATTCTTGATTAGTTGAAAGCTCTTGATAAAAAAAAAATTACACTGATACAGAAAATAAAAATATATCATAATACAAACATAATTGTATGTAACGTACAAGTACAGCATACAGGAGACCTCATATGCAAAACAATTTTTCGCTAAAAATAGATTACTTAAGTCCAGAGCAATCCAGGTAATAAATACCGTCTCAATTGAAAAATGTAATGTTGGCGAAAGTAATCTAAAAAATGTTGTAACTAAAATAATGATAAATAAAATAATAATGATTAAATGTTTATGCTACATGGTTTATAGCTTAATAATTTGTCAAAATTTATACACAATTTATTTTTAAAAATTCCCTACAAATAATAAAACAGTAAGTAGTAACTAATGGTTTTATTAAATCATTTGGCATACAATATCTCTCAAAAGATAAAAATGAAAGGCTCCCTATAACATTTAAAAAGTAGACTACTAAAAATAATAATCTAATTGAATTTTTGCCATTTAAAATAATGAGCGAAAATGTAATTTAAGCTTAATTACAACCTCAACAGCTAAATAAAAAACCCAGAAAAAATTCCATTTGTAACAGTTATTGTAAAACTGCAGCGAAGCTATTATTTTATTATCAAATATATTAGGCCTGGTTTCATTATTTATTGCGAAAATGTAAAAACTTGTTTTTAAATTAATAGAATCTTTTATTTATATATATATATATATATATATATATATATATATATATATATATATATATATATATATATATATAATCCCACCTGATTGTAAATTCTTAATAGTCACTCTCAAGTTATAAAACTGCCCTTCAAACATCTTTAGATCTGTACTGCCTGGTGAAGCTTCTAAAAAAGATATACGCGTAATACATATATTATACCCAGAAATATTGGTATAAGATCAAGAAGACACTTAGATACCTGTTTAGGAACAAATAGATTAACAAAAGAAATACATATAGATTTAAGTTTAAGTGTATGATAAGCTTTGTCATATTAAGAGTTTGTATTTTACTTTCTTGTATACAAAGTATAGAGAAAGTAATGTATTATGCAAAAAATCGGAATCGAGATTTTCACAAATCTCTACGTTTTACACCTCCCTGGGTCGGAAAAACATAGTTTTGCAAAATCGTGTCCGTATGTCTGTATGTGTGTGTATGTCTGTGAACACGATAACTTGAGTACCGTTACAGCTAATTTAATGAAATTTCATACAGTGTTTTATATCAAATTATTAATTTTTTTATCAATTTTTCAGCAATTTCCGGTTACCGGAAGTGGAGCTTATTCTATTTTTAAATTTTCAAAAGTCTAAAACTCAAGTACTGCTTCTGACAGATAAATAATAAATATTATTTAACAATATTTGAAAACGTTTAGTGGAGATCATTCCCGCTTTATTTTACATACAGATCAATCTAATTGAAATTGTATTAACATGACTCAAAACTTGTGGAAATATATTTGTATGGATATTTATATATTTAGACGTAGACAAATGCAAGAAAAGCGTTTAGGTCTAGCCAGAAAACTGATTATTTAATTCTTTATAGCTAATTAATTAAAAACTATTTGTGCGAAAAAAAACTCTCTTCCAACTTACTATTCTATTATTTTAAAATAAGTTTTGTTAATATTAACCAAATTATAGCCTGTTTTACAAGTTAGTCGGTTTGCTAGTTCTCAAGCTCTCTCAAGCCAAACCGGTAAGCTGTGCTCGCGCAGACTTAGTCGTTTTGAACGATCGTTCGTTTTGTCCAAGGAACTAGATTTCGTTAAGTTTATGTTTCTAAATCATTATTAACACTTGATTTAATTTTAGGCTTATTGATTTATTATTTAAGTTTAATTTACTTTATGAGGTTAGTTTACTTTTAGTAGATGTGTTTTAGTATGTCTTTATCGCTTTCGACTATTCATTCATTATGGCCGTAGTTCGGACCTATAAATTGTTGAAGGTTATGCTTTATTTATTACGTGTTTTTATAAGCAGTTTCTTTTTGTTAAATTTGGTAGGTGCTGCGTTAGTAGGATAATAATACTACTAATAAAGTTTATTGAAAGTTGTATTACAAACTAAATTTACAAACGAGACATAACACGTTAATTACAACTAAAATTGCACTTATTTTTAAAATAGGGCACGAAATAAAAAGTGAAAACCAAATTAAAAATATGTGTGTATTTTTTATGTATTCTTTAAAAAATGTCTTATGAAAAAACACTGAAATGGGTAAAAAATAAAATAAAATGAGGCAAATCATCATAACAGCTAGTATTTACGCCTTGTTTGTTGGTGCTCATATTTGAAAGCTTTTATCTTTCTGCAACTCATGTATAGCTGGTCAGGGACTAGGGATTACATCTTAATGTTGCGACCCAAGTTTTGCAATTGCCACCTATCTTCGAATTGAATTTGAAGTAATTAGTAGCATCATGGTTGTACTGTATATTCTGTTGCATTAAATTCTTGAAAGATCAGACTCTTCTATATGGTAAGACTGTTTTTGGGAGATGCTGGTGTCTTGTATGGTAGAAATGGTTAGCTGAGAGAGCCTGTTCAGTTGTTTGGTAAGGCTAGTCTCTTGTATGGTATAGCGAGAGGTTGGTCTCTTTCATGGTACGACTGATGCTGGTATCTTGAAAGATAAAAACTGATTGTTGGTAAGTCAGACTGGAATATTTTTGTGACTACTAAAATGACATTATTCTGTTGCATGACAGTTTGATATTGCAAGCCTTCTCCCTCTGCTGTGTGGTAGCATCTGTAAATACAATTTCAGATCATGTGATTAAATAATTTCAAGTTTGATCTGAAATCTGATGATGTAATATTAATCACTATAGCATGCTAATAACTAAGCTAAAGTTTTAGAAATAACAAACATGCTTCAATGGTTAACCATTGAAGCATATTTATTATTTCTTAAACTGAATAGTCATCTGTATATTGGGCCATTAAAATAAAAGCTAAGCATTTAGATCTAGTATATAATACTGACCATGAAGTGTTGAGACTTGATTTGTACTAGATTATAGGTTCTAAATCTTGTTTCAAAGTATTGTGTAAGTTTAATAAAAATGCAAACAAAACAGTTAGGTTCTCAAAAATCTAACAGGAAATAGGTTTCATTAAACAAATACTCTTTGTTTATTCTTCTTTAAAATGATTAAATTTAATATAATTAATCAAATATATCCTTACCTTCAAGTACTTTATTGTTGTGGTGTAAAGTCGTGTAATTGCTGATCAAAAGTATACAGACAGATATCACGTAATTCTTTTTTCCCGCCAATATTTTTAGAGCAAGAAATAATAATCGGAATGCTTAGATGATTAAATATCGATAAACATTTTCCTGTAATTATAACTCAATAATCATTCTCCAGATTTCTATAAGTATTTTCAGGCATTATGGAGAATCATACTGGCTTTTGATTTATTTGAGTGAGATGGTTTGCAACCAAGACCATTGATATAAATGATACATATTTATAATATATATATATATATATATATATATATATATATATATATATATATATATATATATATATATATATATATATATATATTGTAAATATATATACATTAAAATGAAGGCTTCCCTAAATAGTCTATATTCGCCAATGGAAATAATGTGCATGGGTTTATAAATCAGTAAATTACATATATTTCTTCGGCTCCATAGAGAAGCGTGCATGCTATTAGCATACACAAAATATCTTTGGAAAAAGCTTTGTTAAAATTGACTCATATTATTTTGGGTTCTCAAAACGTGTTAAAAATATTTTACTGATTTTCTTTAGTTTTAATTTGATTAATCTCACAATTCACTATCTGAAACGTTTATTTTTTGCTAAATTTACAAAAGTTTCAATGCATAATATTAGATTCTTATGTTGCATAATGCATGTCATAAAATACATTCTTTTTTAAAAATAACAAATTCGATTAAATTACATCATATATTACTGATTTAAATTAATCATTTTTAAATATAACAATAAAACAAAACATATAAAAAGCCACATATTCAAAATTTGTTTTAAAAATGTATCCAAATATTTATAGGCATTAATAACATTAAAAAAAACATTACATTTTGTGTTTCTTACCATTCCAAGCATGATATTCTTTAAACTTGATGACGTCATTAGTTGTCTTGTATTCCTTTTGTTGTTCCCACTTTTCTTCGTTTTTACTAAAAATATCCAGCATCTTGGCAACATCTCGCAAGTTTTCAACATCATACTCATGAAAACCGAACACGAAAATCTTACATTCTAACCCTTTCAAGAATCCTCTCTTAATCATTCGGTCGAAATCTTGTAAGTTTTCAGTTAGATCCGTTTGTTTTTTTGGATCTAGAACTCCACTTGATGTTTCCAGCGCTTTATAAATATCATCGCGAATTGACTGTATTATACTGCCATCTGTATAAAATAAACTGTGCATGTCATGAAATAATATAAATATGCACATACACTAAGACTACTCTAACCTCTAAAATTAACCCTAACCGTAATTTAACACTAAACATAAAATAACGCTGACCCTGACCATAATATTAAGCCATAACTTTTGACTAATGTATCTTTAACGCATAGGGATAACATTTACTATCTCTACCTTATCTAATGTAATTTATGAAGGTTGATATCAAAATGTACATAAGGGAGCGAGTATTAATCTTGTGGTCAATCTACAGGGTGGAAACGATCCGGGAGGGGAGGAAGAGATAAAAAAAAAGTAGGTAATGGTTTGATTTAATTAATTACCGTTATCGAGAAAATGGAGAATGATCACTATTTCATCTCCTATATCCATGCTTTTCACCCAGTGCGTTGGTTTATCTTCATCTTGACTTGCTTTTAGATCTTTATAGCTTTCTTCCATAGAGGCGTCCCTATCTGTTAGACTAACTGTTTCCTGCAAAAGAAAGAAGAACGTACACAAATGAAAACATGAAAATCTTAGTTACTTTTTATATAGAAATATTTCAGACAGAGTATTTTCTAGTTGCGCTTACGTTTACAGTCAACCACCTTGGTTATGTCTTGGTATAAAAGATAAGAGAAGAAAAGCAAGTGTGCAGTTACTAGCTGACAGCAAGTTCACAGTTACCAGCTGTTAGCAAGTTTGCAGTAATTTTTAAATTAAAATTAAACGACTATTTGTCAAATTACATTAAAACGCAGATATTCTTGCGCTATTATTGGCGAACAATTTATCTGAAAAGTTTGAACTAAATTGTTGCATTAGAAATGAGTCAAAATTAAATTACAAGATTTGCCCAAAAACCATAAAAAATGACATTATGGACTAAGTGTTAGTTTGTAAAATTACCAGAATGTTTTAAATGGCAAATTTACTTGATTATGAAAATAAAGCTGCTTACAAATGCTTATTATAAACAAATAACGTAACAATAACAATTAGTTATGCTGAGTCATACAAATTGTATTATAAATACGTTGTTTAACATGTTCTCATGCAACTAATTACGTATGTAAAAAAAATGCAAATCTTTTTCCTAAATACAGTTAACACCCACATGGTACATAATGTATTTCCCATTTAAAATGTGTTAATTTTTACATAACTTTTTGTCATGTACACGATACGTGAGTCCTAAGATACGTTGTTTGTTTAATTATGAAGTTATACTGATACAGTTAAAATCGCACAAGCCCAATGTGCGTTATTTACTGCTTAATGAAATATGAGCACTAATGAACGGTATAAAATAACAAAATATAACCCGATAAAAATTAAATGTTTAGTATTACCACTGATATATTTTTTTCAAACTATGCTGTAAATGCTTGTTTAAATTGAAATATGTGTTGCTCAAAACACATAAGGATACAAAAAAATTTTCTCATTACCTTCACGTAAGTTTTCCTTATCATCAATGTTTCTGAATGTGGAACATATAACGTTAAAAGTGCTTGCTTCACACCTTCATTGATGATATGACCTGTCCATACCTTCAGTGCGTATTCTTTGGGTATCATAAGTATATCACAAATATCATCAATAGATTCAGTAAATGAAAACTTTGATTCTAGCTCGTCGACCTGGAGTATGGAAATAAAAAGGATTAAATTAAATACAACAAGAATATCCATGGTTTTTTTTTGTTTTTGTTTTGTTTTTTTGGATAGCCGCGCGGTGCTGAAATAAATCATCGCCATAATTATTACACTTAAAGATAAACATTAACAGAGCACAAAAACCAAACATCTCTCTATCATTTGTATTTGAATTCTTTAAAATATTCGTTCTTTTCCCGTAATCATTATATTAAATTTTAACTTTTGTATATATTTTATAGACCATACCCCACATCCCACATTCCACTACCACTCATCCTACTACCCAACACCCCCACATCCCACCACCCAACTGCCCCCCGTCCCAAAGCCCACTCAACCCAACATCCCTATACCCCACACCCCACCATACCACTATCCCACTACCCCACGCCCCCACATCCCACTACCCCAACCCCCACATTCCACACCCCAACAACACACCCCCCACACGCTCACATTCCACACGCCCACGTCAAACTACCCCACACCCCCACATCCCACTTCCCCACACCCCCGCATCCCACACCCCCACATCCCACTACCCACACCCCCACATCCCACTACACCATTAAATTATATAGTAAATTTAAACAGCAAGTTAATGGTAAGAACAAGAAAGACAAGATAGAAATACGCTGAACTATAACTTACCGGTTTAATTATCTTGTGGGTTTCCCGAAACTTGTACGCACAATTTCTCAAGATGTCACATTTTCTAGCATCGTAAAGATCTCCAAGTATCATCCCCGATGTGTAGGGCACAACTCTCTCCATTTTGATTGTGATGTTTTAAATCAATCTGATGTGTGGAAAAAATGAAATACTCTGTGCATTATAATAACTGAGAAATCTGACTAAAGGGGAGTACAGCTTTAGAACTGTAAAACTCTCTAACGGATTGATGCTTATTAGGCTTTAATATACATAATTGAAGGGCTCAGTGGAAAAAGTACTTAAGTTACATTTTTTCAAAAATGAGTTAAACCGGTATATTATTTGTTTACCTTCACTAAACCATCCCTGTAAATTTGGGCCATGGAAACAGTACCGAAGTAGCTTAATTCGAATACTTTGCATCAGCTGTTTTGGTATTTCAGCTTCAATTTAAAAACTTTGCACTCATTTTTCTCAAAACTCTCAAAATACACTTAAGTACTTTTTCCACTGAGCCCTTCAATTGCTTTCACCATCCGGCTTCATAAATTCTCTATCGAGAGATCCATTCTTCCCTGGTTCCAGCTGTCTCTATTTCTCTTCGTCTGTGTTTCTGTAGCGATTTGTTTTTTTACGATATAAGGTTGCTGACCTTATGCTCAACCCCCAACCTGGAGGACCGGGGTGGTAGTTTTCGTCTGACCCCTACCCACGAAGATCTTCCCAGCTTGGTTGAACCTACTAGAAGTTAACACTCCCGGTGGTATAGCTCTGGGGCTCATCAGGGTACACAAGCTGCCAAGCTCTGGGGGCGGTCAGGGTACACAAGCTGCCAAGCCACGACAAGTCCATAGCACCAGGTGACAGTTGATTATTAGGGGTCGTCAATAAATAAAATCACTATCATGATGAGTAGGCGGAAGGTGGGTTGATTTCAATTTCCGTGACGATGTGTGAAGTAAAAGCATGAGGGAGGGGGTGGACTTTGCAAGTGTAACGTTACAAAGTTGCAAGTAAAAACGTATTTAATATTCAAACTGAAATGTTAATTGAATAAGGTACACAAAAATCAAGATAAAGTAGGGGAAAAAGTTGATGGGCTGAAGAGATCAAGGCTAAAAACACCAAAAGGTCCCGAGCTCGAACCCCGGAGAGACGCAGCTTGTAATCTAGGTAAGAAAACTCTAAACTAAAAAAACGGCGGCCTTGCAGATTGTTCTTGGACATGCTATGGAAGTAAAACCTGAAAGAAAAGCAGGCGAAAGTAGGATTGAACTCCGAGCCGCATGGTGCAAATTATTTTCACACGTAATAATTAAGAATGAGTTTGAGGAAATCTCCTACAGTATACTCGAATAAATAACACGAGCTGACCCGCGGCGTATCATACGCCGCTATTTAATTGTTTTATTTTCTACTTTTCAGTCATTCATAATTTGTGAATTCGACAGTACCAATGCTGCCACTGAATATATTTGTTTTAAAACACTATCAGTAGCTCGTTAAGGACGATAACCCCCTCCTTTCCCCAACCACTACCCCCCGCCCCGTGAAAGCAGCCTCTTCTTAGTTACCTCCCCTAAGTTTAAAATCGTTTCCAACTAAATTATCTGCCCCTAATAGCCGTCACTAAACCCGGCTCTACGATTGTAAACATTTAGCGTGAACCACAGCTCACCAGACCAAGTAGGGGTGGGGGTGGTAGGGAGCGCGCTTACAGCTTGGTGTTTTCTAGGGTCTCCAAGAAGAGCATTATATATATAGAAAGGTGTTGTGACGCAAGTTTACGTCATATAGGTCAAACAGAAGTAGGCAGAAACAGAGCATAGCGTAGTTAGGTAGACCAATAGAATTACGGGAGATTACTGGTCACGTGAGACGGTCAGATGACCACTGAAGCGTGGGTCGGAAGTTAGAGATAGGTAGCGCTAGGGGAAAGATGAAGTTAGAGGTAGATAGTGTTAGGGATGGTCATGGGAGCGAGGAGAGAGAAGACAAGTCTTAGTTGTAGTTAGATAGTGTTAGTAGACAGTCATGTGTTAGGGCGTAGTTATGGTAGGAGCCTATTTGATGTGTAAATAAAAAACTGCATTGTATTGAATATTGGGTATTTGTGTTGATTCTACACTGTAACAGGCGTACATAAGAAGAGACGATCCCCGTAAGAAGGTATAATATATCGTATGTTCATGACAGAACATTACAGATATATATATATATATATATATATATATATATATATATATATATATATATATATATATATATATATATATATATATATATATATATATATATATATATATATATATATATATATAATCAAATTTTCTACAACCCTGCATTACATTTGGTGGTAGAACTGCCATTACCATATTTGCTAGGGTAACGGTTTGTTCAACTTACACCCTCACAACTGGTGGTTTCCACAAACCCACCCTCTCAATTAGTGGTTTCAACGACCTCACCCCCACAACTAGTGGTTTCAACGACCTCACCCCCACAACTAGTGGTTTCAGCAACCCCACCCCCACAACTAGTGGTTTGAACAACCCCACCCTAACAAAAGGGAATAAATAAACAGTCCATAATACACGGTATACTTAAGGACGACACAGTAAACGTTGTTACTAAAACCTGTAAAACTCGCGTAAAATTACCCCAATTTATTCGCTTCAAAACTAAGAAGAATTTAATGTAATCGTGATGATGTTCTAATAAGTAAAACGTTTATAAAAAACTGTTACTCTTATGTTACTGTCACAAGCTATATCTAACAAATGCTCCACAAAGTTTATTTGGTTTTACTACAGTAATTGCGCTACGTTATTCTTAGTCTTTATATTTTCAGAGTTTCTTCCAGACATCTCTTCGCCCCCCCCCCCCCCCTTCTCCCCCCCCCGAAACAAATGTCTACAAACACCCCCCCCCCCCCCAACGAAATAAAATTCATATAGAGAATATACACTTTTACCAGTGTCAACTGCATCCCCCCTCCCCCGTAGAAAAAAGTCTGAAAGAAACGCTGTATATTTCTTTTTCTTTCGGTGTTATATACAGGAGCAAGCACGCGGATAATTTGTAGGAGGCTTACAGTTTTCACAATTTTCATAGAAAGAAATACGTAATATCGGGAAAACCCTGTACTTGAGTAATTCACAACTGATGCATTTACAAAATGGCTGCCATGGAGCTATAGTTACACCTCAGAAAAAATGGAAACAGATCGACCGCAAATAATGTTATCTTAAAGGATACTGAACCCCCCCCCCCCCCCACATACACACACAATGCTCATGTATCTTCAAAAAAAAACAAACAAAAAAAAAAAACTTCCGGACTACTAAATGCGTGACCCAAATAAACCTTACTACATTAGCTTGAATGCCATGTGTTTTAAACTATTCAATGTTTTTTTTGATAATGGCATTTCTAAATCTATGAGCTGATTATCGAATCTTGCTATTTTTATTTTCGCACACATAATACTTATTAACTGTTTATAGACTCATACAGATGTGCTGAGGTAGATTGGTGAATACAGTACGACATTACATAATATAATAGCAAAATGCCTATATCAACAATCATTCTTTACAATAATCACTCGTATAACATAATCTTAAGAATTTTGATTTAATTTATTAATATAATCTCAAATGCTTCTCGATAGTTAATAAACTCAAAAACTAAATTTATGAAGTGCAGTACTTACCAGTCAAGCTTACATCAGAACACACGTCTGCGTTGTGTAGAGTTAATGCAGTAACAGCTGCTCACGTTTAGCAGCATCCAACGCGCATGCGTGCTTACGAGGAACTCGTTTCCCTAGAAAATGGTCATGGAACAAAGAAAAGACGATAAAGGGGAAACTATTCCGGTTAGATGTTACACATTATTGTTAGTATTAGTTAACGTTCCTGATGACTGCATCTGAAGCTTGATAAAAGATAGGTAACTATGTTAAAAACAAACATATAATAATCATACAATTTTTTTTCTATACATTTGTAACCAGTGGCGTAGCAAGGTCGGGTGTCACCCGGTGCGGCACTTAATGGTGTCACCCCCCAGAGGCATAGATACCCTTCCCAGGGACAAACTTTCAAATTTTCGATTTGCACCCCCCCCCCCCTCAAACTTTCGATTTGCACTCTTTGCACCCCCCTCAAGTTTTCGATTTGCACCCCCCCCCCTTCATAATTTCGATTTGCACCCCCCTCGAGTTTTCTCTATATATTTTGCTATTTTTTGCCTTGGTGTCACCCCCCCTAAAATGTGTCACCCGGTGCGCTCCGCACCCCCCCCCCCCGCCCCCCCCCCCCTCGCTACGCCCCTGTTTGTAACTAATTTTTTCTAGGTAATAGTCAGACACAAAAAAGTTAAAACAAACATCACGACGTAATTCTAACTGGTATGAAACACACCCACACGTCGAATATTTTACTGGCAGACATGCGATCTTCTGATCAATATTGGCTTGGTTGAAAAACTATTGAAAGCATAACAAATTTGGAAATTACGTTCATGTAAATAAGATAACAGACATAATTATATATATATATATATATATACTTTCGTAAATACGAACATATTTATTTGTGCAGTACACAGCTAACGCGATTATTCTTTTTGCATGGTTAAGTTAGTATTTAGGGGAATTCCCCAAGCCATCAGTTTTTCGGGAAAATGACGAGTACACGTCATAGCGCTAATTTTAGAAACCAGCGCAGTTGTGTGTTACGCAGTTCTCGCTGTTTTAACACACCACTGGTTTGAGCAGCTCGTCGCCATTTATATATAGCACTAATTGCTTACATTTGTAAGATGGCCTGCGGACGTAACAAATTGTGATTTAGCATTTTGGGAATATTACACTTGGCCCGAAGAGGTAGCGTAGGCTTATTTCGTATTACTGTTATACGTTATTTAAGTAGGAAGAAGTGTATCGTGTATAGGGCATTATTGTAGTCATTTTGTCTACAGTTTTTCAACTGTTAAATGTTTGGTGGTTTACATTTACTATTTTATCTTTCAGCTTATGAGAGCTTGTGGGGGGAAGGGATTGGGGAAATGGGTGGTGTGGAGAATGTGGTTCTCATAATTTTATATAACAAGGAGTAATCCAATCAAACTTTATATTACTTTATATAGTTTTGGGGAATTTATTATATTGATGATGACGTGGGTGTTGACGTAACGAGAAAAAAAAATATAAATATATGGCTTACAACATTTATTTATTTTCTATTAAAAAATTACTTTTACGATTTTTTCATTGAATTGATTTTTAATTTTAGAAAACAAATTTTATTTTTGTTTTTACAGGATATTGAGAACCGATATAATCTAGTTAATTTTCTTTTCAGTGTGAATATTAGAATGATGATGTCAAACTCAGTACGAATTGTGCCCTTCCTACCTGGGATGGAACTGGGATAAGATTTTAATGCTAAACAGTGGAATGCCGTGAATCGGAAATATACAGGGGCGGAAAAGAAGTTACAGGTGAAAAGACATTTTTTGTGTGTTCAAGCTTTACTTTCATTTTTCGTTATTTGAAAATAATCTTTTCTTTATTTGATAATATTCTTTTCGATATTCTATAATATTCTATTCGTTATTTGATAATATTTTTTCCGTTATTTGAAAATATTTTTTCATTATTCGATAATATTCTTTTCGTTATTCGATAATATTCTTTTCGTTACTTATTAATATTCTTTTCGTTATTCGATAATATTCTTTTTGTTATTTGATAATATTCTTTTTGTTATTTGATAATATTCTTTTTGTTATTTGATAATATTCTTTTCGTTATTTGATAATATTCTTTTTGTTATTTGATAATATTCTTTTCGTTATTCGATAATATTCTTTTCGATACTTTTTTTTGTACAATAATTGCACATTCTAAACAGTTTATCGTGGAATCAGTAATAATGTAATACACACACTCACCCCCCCCCCCACAAACACCAAATACACACACCAGTCCACCCCAATGTCCATACCACACACCCACCTGCTAAAGTATGTTGAAAAAAATATAATTTATCTGTTTAGTTTAGTGTATGTGTGTTAGGTAGAGTGGGTGATGTGTTTTGGAGAGTGGGGTGGGTGTGTGGAGGTGAGTTCAGATTTTAGGAATGAGACGGGTGAGGTTTCAACGGAGTGGTTTGCGGGTTTGGATGGGGTGGTTTGTTGGTGTGGGGTGTGGCGGGTTCTATTAGTATTGGGCAGAGATGTAGAGAGACCTTGTGAGTGGTGTGGTGATTGGTGTGGGGTGTGAGACCGGATGGTTTGTTGGTGTGGGGTGTGAGGCCGTGTGGTGTGGTGATTGGTGTGGGGTGTGAGACCGGGTGGTTTGTTGGTGTGGGGTGTGGCGGGTTTTATTAGTATTGGACAGCGAGGTAGAGAGACCTTGTGAGTGGTGTGGTGATTGGTGTGGTGTGGTGATTGGTGTGGTGTGGTGATTGGTGTGGGGTGTGAGACCGGGTGGTTTGTTGGTGTGGGGTGTGGCTGGTTTTATTAGTATTGGACAGCGAGGTAGAGAGACCTTGTGAGTGGTGTGGTGTGGTGATTGGTGTGGGGTGTGAGACCGGGTGGTGTGGTGTGGTGATTGGTGTGGGGTGTGGCGGGTTTTATTAGTATTGGACAGCGAGGTAGAGAGACCTTATGAGTGGTGTGGTGATTGGAGTGGTGTGGTGTGGTGATTGGTGTGGGGTGTGAGACCGGGTGGTTTGTTGGTGTGGGGTGTGGCTGGTTCTATTAGTATTGGGCAGCGAGGTAGAGAGACCTTGTGAGTGGTGTGGTGATTGGAGTGGTGTGGTGTGGTGATTGGTGTGGGGTGTGAGACCGGGTGGTTTGTTGGTGTGGGGTGTGGCTGGTTCTATTAGTATTGGGCAGCGAGGTAGAGAGACCTTGTGAGTGGTGTGGTGATTGGAGTGGTGTGGTGTGGTGATTGGTGTGGGGTGTGAGACCGGGTGGTTTGTTGGTGTGGGGTGTGGCTGGTTTTATTAGTATTGGGCAGCGAGGTAGAGAGACCTTGTGGGTCGTGTGTTGTGGTGATTGGTGTGGGGTGTGAGACCGTGTGGTGTGGTGATTGGTGTGGGGTGTGAGACCGTGTGGTGTGGTGATTGGTGTGGGGTGTGAGACCGTGTGTTGTGGTGATTGGTGTGGGGTGTGAGACCGTGTGGTGTGGTGATTGGTGTGGGGTGTGAGACCGTGTGGTGTGGTGATTGGTGTGGGGTGTGAGACCGTGTGTTGTGGTGATTGGTGTGGGGTGTGAGACCGTGTGGTGTGGTGATTGGTGTGGGGTGTGAGACCGTGTGTTGTGGTGATTGGTGTGGGGTGTGAGACCGTGTGGTGTGGTGATTGGTGTGGGGTGTGAGACCGTGTGGTGTGGTGATTGGTGTGGGGTGTGAGACGGGCTTGTTCGTAGTGTCAGGCTAAATTCTGAGTTTCAGGTATGTTGCAGGAAGTTGTAGGGTTATGTTTTAGGCGGGGTGTTGGGGGGTGGGGGTGGGGTTGGGTAATATACACGGATGTTCATAAACAAGGATTATCAACTTACAAGGGTAGGTAAGCAAAAATTATTCAAATAAAGATTCTAATAAAATTATGATAATTAGATAGTGGGGTGGGAAAAAAATTGCTTCACTGTGGTAGTTTAATCGACTGCTGGTAATGTCGTACTGTAGGCATTTAGGCGGGGGAGATGAAATATTCAGAGGATACACTGCAAGGGGTAATGTCTTACTATGGTAATAATTTGCTGGAGTGAAAGTTATTGTGAATAACATTTTTAAAAACGTTTATTGTGACCAAAACCAGCATTACTTTTTTTGTTTTGCATTAATTCTATTTTACAATGATAATTAACAGACAAATGAATCGAGTTATCGATATTCTTTTGTGGACACGCCCGAACAGCTGTGCGACGTTCTGATGATACCTGTAGAATATGCACTCAAAGAACGAATTGCCCACGTTATTGATAACAATTTATGGGATGTATTCAAGCTTTTTGAGACTCCAAATTCCAAAACACTTATTTTTAGACTCACATTCATCAAGGTAATACTACATTAAATAGCATACAGACAGACACAGAGAGACTGAGAGAAAGAGAGACTAACGGACAGACGGACAGATGTACAGAAAGACGGACAGTCGGACAGACGGACGAAAGGACGGACGGACGGACAGACAGAATGACAGAAAGACAGAAAGACAGAAAGACAGAAAGATAGAAAGACAGAAAGACAGACAGACAGACAGACAGACAGACAGACAGACAGACAGACAGACAGACAGACAGACAGACAGACAGACAGACAGACAGACAGACAGACAGACAGACAGACAGACAGACAGACAGACAGACAGACAGACAGACAGACGGACGGACGGACGGACAGACGGACAGACAGATATATATATATATATATATATATATATATATATATATATATATATATATATATATATATATATATATATATGTATATAAATATAAATAAAATATATATATATATATATATATATATATATATATATATATATATATATATATATATATAGAGAGAGAGAGAGAGAGAGAGAGAGAGGATACATATAAAATATACATACATATATATATATATATATATATATATATATATATATATATATATATATATATAAATGTATACAAAAAATAATTTAAAAAAAATATGTTTTTAACAAAATTAAATATCTATAATAAGTTGCTATCCAAATTATGCTCGCATAGTAAAATAGACAATTGAAATAAGTATACATCTGTGTATCTATTAAAGGAGCGCCGGACAATGGACATGGAGGAAAAAGATTCTGCAGTACCTGGGGACGACGTCACGCACTGGGTATCACAGATTGATATCGGCAACGAGCTTGTCGTTATCTTAAATTTTAACGACGATGGTAATTAGATTCATTATGCATAATATGCTATTGAGGTGGTAGATGCAATGATACAAGATAATTAGACATTAAAATATATACTTTTATAATATAAAAATTCGCTGCCGTTGTGAAATTTTATATTGGCTCAAATGTGCTGTCTCAAAGAGCTGTAACTTAAACGATATAGCTGTCATTTTGGTGTGTATTCTAATCCTGCCAAACAGACTGTGGCTCGGTGTCACGTGAATCGTTCCCCAAAGAATGACAAATTCATTTTATTTTAATGTAAGCCAAATAAAAAGATCATGGTTTCAAATTGTTATTTTCAAAAGAAAAGGCACAGTAATTAAGATAGAAATTATCCTAACGGTAGTAATCACTCTTATGTGCTTTCAAAGTTTGCAGCCGGTCAGTCCAATGAGTACCAATGAGGTAATTTTTTTTTCATTTTTACAAAGATACATAAGAATACTCATCAATTTTTATCTACATTTCAACAAGTACATTGCTTGGCTTAGTTTATATACATAAGAATCATAATAATATGAGCCGATGAGCATGCGACATCTATTCAAAAATTACAAATTAAGCATTGAATCATTTCATTATAAATTTAAAACACAAAAATAACAAAATAAATGATTTCTCGTCCAATTTTATATTAGTCATTATGAAGAACATTCTTGGAGGTGAATCCGGTGAACTTGATGCCGACAAGATAAACAGTCTGTACCAGAAGGTTTGCACGATACATGAAAGTAATATAATGCAAGGTAAAAAAGATATCGAATGTAGAATAAAGACAATTGGACTCAAGCATGCGAAGACGTGGAAAGATTCCATTCAGTTACTGAAAGATTTTGTTGATAATACTAATACATGGGAGAGCACTGACGACTATGTCATTACAAAGACAATGAAACACATCTTGGAAAATGAAAACGAAGGTAGTTAAGTAATTACACAATTTGTTTTTCCCCAACAAATATCAATTTATGATCTTAGTATTTAGTGGGTCCTCTTAACTTCATACAATATCCAAGTATTGTAATAGTAGTTGTATGGATAACATTTCCAGAAAAATCAGACAAAAGAAATAGCGTGTAAATCTTTGACAAAGCTTTCGTTTAGAAAATATTAAAAATAGAAGCGTAGATTCTCAGAATACGTTTCTTTATGAGGATATATTGAAAAATGTACAATCTGAAGGATTTTGAGAACCATAAAAAAGACTAATATTAACTTTTGCTAAACTGCAAATTATTCTATAGAATAGGATTCAATATGCATAAAAAAACGCTCTTATATATATATATATATATATATATATATATATATATATATATATATATATATATATATATATATATATATATATATATATATATATATATATATATTAGAGCGTTTTTTAATTGCAAAGCTTGTTTTGATAATGTTTAATTAAAACGAAACTAAGCTTATAGAAGAAGGTTTTGAAATAATGAGAAAATCCAAAAGGACTAGTAGGTTGTGCCAATGATTACTTTCTCATCAGATGTGCCCGAGGAAAGATCATCGTTGTCATTCTACAAACTTAGAGCCACGTTGAAGAGTTTTCATAAAGGTCTGCATGTAGTCCTTTTTTTAAAATAATACTTTTTTTATTGTTTATTCCTTGTGAAAATCATACCTCTTTGAGTTTCTATTGCTTGTTCAAATCCTACTGTTTTCGGTATTTTTTTTATTATTATAATTGAATTTCTGGACGTAAATTACAAGATTTCAATTACTTTATATTTCAGTTTTGGTTATATTTAGGGAAACGTGATCAAATATTTTAATTTTTTTTTTTTACATTTTACGACCAAACTTTTTTTTTTTAATTTGGTTTTGTTCACCACTTTTTACATTTTAATTGTATAAATACTATTTCATTTATTTTTAATTTTATAAAAAGGTGAAACCTATTTGGAAAAAGAATCGTTTGCAAACGACCCTACAAGTACTGAGTTCTATAACATATTATTCCAACTATTTTACGACTGCCCAAAGGCTAAACAACTATTACAGGTATAAATTAACGTGTAACATTTAAAATTAAATAGTATAATATTAAAATAATTTGAAAATCGTAAAATGGTATTTATAAAATAACTGTTATATCCCTATTGTAAATGAGAATATAGTCCTGATATCGTTTAGTTCCTACAATGATTTATATATTTAAGTTGAGAAAAATTTAGAGGTCTAACATTTTTACTATTAATTTTTTTATATATTTAAAATCCTATCCAGAGCGTATTGGCAAGGGAAGAATTTAAATTCATTGTAGATGACAGCACAATGAATGACCTCTACGATCAAGTATTACGCTTGAATTTACGTGTTAAAAGTATCATCAAAACGCTGGATTTAGTTTCCATACACGGTGACGTTAGAAGTAAAGTAAAAAAACACGAGAACATTCTAAAAATTGTGGAAGATTACATAAATGTAATTACATTTTTATTTATTTACGCATCTTCAATGTTTTATTCATTCTAGCATTCGCAAGTGTAGAAACTTTGTAGGAAAATTATGTATCTCATCAAAATGATAGTTCTTCTCCATGCTTTCTCCAAATTTTAATGTTAAATAGAATATAAACTAACTCAAAAAACAAGAATCTCGTATCAACATTTAAAGTGCTACACAGACATTTGATTCTTTTGTGAGATCAGCACACTATTTATCATCATGATATGGAACATTTCACTGCGTTATTAGTTAAACTATTCAGCTGTTCAATGCTAAGTGCATTTTAAAGATTTCGCTAAATGAACGGGATGTCATTTCTAGCTTTTTCTTGCGAGTAAAAAAATCAGGAGTGAGACCGACGTATGCATGTTTGCCCGAATGCTACCAATGACCGAACAGATGTTTGCTCAACTATGACAAATGCTGTAAATTCACATCCCCGAATGCCGTTTGCCCTAAGACAATTATGCCGTTGTATAATATCAAGTACAACTGCATTGATTTTTACATTAAAAAAAGGTGTTAATGTTTTAAAGATTTGTTTGTCTTAGAAAATTTAAAATCAATCAAATAAAAACATTCGACTGTTTTTACAGGAAAAATAGTGTTTTAGCACGGATTCTTGATACATGATTTGAGAATAAATAAACCGAGAGTGATCTCCCTTAAACTTTCTCGAATATTCATGCGAAGGATGGCAATCGTAATATAGACAATATGTTTAAACCATTTTTAATTATTTAAACTTTTTAAAATAGAATCTCTTAGAAAATAGAATCTCGTAGAAAAAAAAAAGAATTGCGCACTAAGTGAACGCCAAACAAAATGTGTATTATAGTGCGGAATATTATTAGTGCTTTATAAATTCACATGTGTTCTTTTTTGATAAATCGGAAATAGCGTAAATTACTACTTCAGATCAACGGAATTTACTCAACATTTGATAGAACGCAGAAAATTAAATGCTTTACTTACGTGTGGAATTCAATTTATCTATCTGCAATAGTAATCAAGTTATTGGGTTTAGAAACATCAAAGTAGAATAAATTCCACTTTCGGTTATCTGAAATCGCTGAAAAGTTGTTACAGAACTACAACTTATACAACTCAAGTTATTGTGTTTACAGACACACACACGCACACACACACACACACTCACTGACATACGGACAAGATTGCAAAACTATGGTTTTCCGTCTCAGGGAGGTGTAAAACGTCGAGATTTATAAAAGTCTCGATTTCTTTCTGCACAATTACAAAATTTTCTCTATATTTCGTATGCGAGAAAGTAAAAGTGTAACACCAAGATTGGCGTTAAATTGTAATTTGTAATTACATTTACAATAATTAACATGTGTTTCTTTTCGTAATGAGGTAAATCCTAGCTTTTAGTGTTATGATTGTTGTTCAATTGAATGCACATGAAAGAACTTTGAACAACAATGGAAATTAATTTGTTTTCGCTTTAAATTTTACAATTTTTAAGCGCAACATTGTTGAACCATTTTAATTATTAAAATTTTTTTCAATACGTTTTTCAGGCGTTTAACATTTTGGGCTAACATCCGATTGGGCATTTGTCGCATTGCTGCTAATTCGTAGTCTCCTTTTATACCACATGCTCATGAATAACTATTGGTATAAATAAGCATATGAGCTTTTATTTTTTTAAATTTAGATATAATTGAACTACATAGAATAACTTCATATTAATTATTAGGTAAAACTTGAATTATCCGTTTATTAGGACCCACCTTTTGTCTTTGAAAAATGTAATTCCATATTTTTTTTCAAATGCACATATCAAGAAATAATTAGTGAGATTCAATGTTTATACATTGTAATTTTTCAGAAATATACCAGACAAATACCTACAGGGATACCAACTCGGATTCTTACACTGGGACGAGCAGGGCACGGCAAAAGCTCAACCGCAAACAGTATTTTAGACGAGAGTTATTTCCCTGCTGGTGGAGAATTGAATGGAGTGACCAAGAATGCGATGGTGAATACAAAAACGGTGAATGGAAGGGAAGTAACTATTGTTGACATGCCAGGGGTTTTTGTAACAAGCTCGGGCATTTTTTCAGCTGCTGCTACTCTAAGTAGGGAATTCAGTCAAGCTATAGCAAAATGTCTTGAAGGTTTTCATGTCTTACTTCTTATATTTTCGTACGGAATGCGTGTAACTGCTGAAGAAAAACGATGTGTACAAGTGCTAAAGAGAATGTTGGGCGAAGATGTATTTGCTAATTACGGCATCATTGTAATCACAAAAGGAGATGCATGCAAAGAGAATGGTGACACACCAATAAGTAAATGGCTAAAATCAGAGAAATTCTTTAAAGATCTTCTAGAAGAATGTGGGGAAAGATGTGTTTTGTTTGAAAACAAAACGGCAGACTTAATAGTTAAAATAGAACAGCGAGTCTTATTATTTCATTATATTGACAAACTAGGAGGCAAAGTTTTCAGCAGTGGATTATTTGAACATGCAAAGAAAACACGTTATAACTTGCTCATAGAGAAAGGCTTTTCAGAAGATAATACCTTTCGAACAAACTGCGATGAAATGTATACATACCTACGTCAATTAAAACAAGACAAGCCAATAGATGAGAAAATAATAGAGCAAATTAAAAACACATACTGCGTGCTTGGGGAGCCAGAAAACAATAGTAAAATCCAATCGTTACAAAAATGTCTGGATGCCGTAATTAGAGAGCACGGTTCATATTCAACATTAGGAAAGTCATTCACAAAACAAGTGCAATGTGTGGGACACCTAATCCAGTGCTTGCATGAAGTATTGAAAGACATTTGTCACATTGATCACTTGGTTGCTTTAGACGTTGAGGAGAAAAACTGTTTTCCTAAAGGCTCTTCTGTCCTCCTTGAAAACGGACGGAAAGAGTTAGTAGAGAATCTGTCGCCAGGAATGAAAGTACTTACATTCGATAAGAAAAAGGGTTTTGTCTATGATGAGATCTACATGTTCGGACATAAACAAGGAAACACCGTGTCGAAATTTGTCGTCATCCACACAGAGTCACATCAAATAACAATCTCACCAGAACATCTAATTCTCTGTCAGAAAAACGACATGAAAAGTTTTGTCGCCGCCAAAACTGTCTCAGTCGGAGATGAAATTCTAACGAAATCTGAGCTGGGGTTTGTCTGGTCAAGCGTGGCTGACGTCACGTACAGAGTGGACAGAGGTCTGTACGCACCTTTCACCAGAAGCGGCACCATTGTGGTGGACGGTGTCGTGGCCTCCTGCTACATCGATGTGCTGCCACATGACGTGTGTCACAGGATGGTGTCACCAATCAGATGTTTGTACCGTGTGTCACCATCTCTGGTGAGACGTGTCTGTGGTGTATCAGACACACAGCCGGTACCAAAGATAGCTCGTATTGCCTTAACGGTGTTAGGGTACCGTAAGATGATCGCCAAGCAGACATGGGGGGCAGTTAAACTGTTTTGATAAAAAGAAAAGTTGGACGAGAATTGACAGGCATTCTTATACATTTATGCATACATGCTAAATGGAAAACTGAGACATTCAACGCCATGAAAAATCAAAATTTAGCACGGAATTACATGTAAGCAGATAGCATACGTAAAGTCCGAACTATGCATTCGAAGATTTAAAAAAAATCTAAACATTTGGATTTTAAGTTATTTTTAGACGTTTATTCAAGTTTAAATCTTAATCCTACATATGAGCTTGAAATAATTTACTAAATACTTTGTGTACTAGCACAACATGCAATAATGCAATAGCATAGAAACATGAAGATAATCGTTTTTAATTATAAAAAAATAGCTTTTTTTTTACATATTTCAGCACCTCATATCGTTATTACAATTTAAAATTTGCAATCAAGTTTTGAAATTTTTGTTATAACCCTTTTAATTGTTTATAGCAAATGTACAAATAAATAATTCAATGTTTTATTTGTTTCAATACATATATTTTACAGAAAAATTATTTCAAAAATATATTTTTCTCTGTTTGATAAATCAACTGTACATATGCTTACCAAACCAACAAAATCATATAATCAAAAGTAAAAACCCAAACATTTAAAAGCCATCATTTGAGTATATAAACAATATAATAATATACATCACTTTAAAATATATTTGTATAACTATAAATGCACATTATCTGAATCGACCATTAATATTCTAAATGTTAATAATTTAAAAAAAGCAACCATTATATTAAAAATCTATTATTGAGAGTACACGTTTCTATAATCTGGGTTTCACAATAAAAATATTTAAAAAATATTTTTTTGCGTTAAGTTTATTTTTATTTTTATTATAGATAAATAATAAAAATAAAGCTAGCAATTCAGTGATTTTGTTAAACAAAACTAAACAAGTGGAAAAAAGACGAAAAAATAGCCAAAATTTAACTATTTTTAAAAACAAGTTGGATGAGAATTATAGGTTCATTGTAATTAGCGTGTTTGTAAACTTTGTACTTTCAGTGGAACAAAGACATTATTTTAGTAAAGATTAATGACTTTTAAAAATGTAAAAATTAAAAACCTTTATTATATTGTCATTAAAAATAAGACGTTACTAAACTCATAATATCTATAGACTATATATAATTATCTTCTGGGAGCCGTTAGAAAACAAGCTGCAATCGCGCGCCTTTCAGTCCCCTCTCTTCCTCTCTATCGCTACCCCCCCCCCCCCCCTCACATGGTCAGGTGAGTTGTAGTTCACGCTAAATGTTATTTTGGTGACGGCTAATAGATGCAGATAATTCAGTTTGAAACTCTTTTAAACTTAATGGAGGTAACTAAGAGGAGGCTGCTTTCACGGGGGGGGGGGGGGGGATGGTGGGTTTAGTGTTTTGAAGCAAATATTTTCAGTGGCAGCATTGGTACTGTCGAATTCACAAATTATGAATTACTGAAAAGTAGATAAAACAACTAAATAGCGGCGTACGATACACCGCGGGTCGGCTCGTTTAATTTAATCAGGAAATGTTAACTGTTTTCATTAAACTGTAAATGCTTTTTATTATCATTCAGGCAAAAAATTCACCATTGTTAATTTTCATTGTAAAGACATGTAACTTGCACCGTCACCATCCAATACAGTTTGTGTTGATGTAAAGATGCCAGATATGTTACCCGGCTGTTGTAACTGACGTTCTAGACATTGTTTTTTTAACCGTAACATTTCCATCTCCATCTCGTGTTTTTCTCTGGCCATTATCATTTCTTCAGCTTGTTTCTCCCTGGCCAACTTCAGTTCCTCTTGTTGTTTTTCTCTTTTTAATTTGATTTCCTCCTGTTCTAGCTTTCTTTTCATTGCTTGTGATCTTACATAAGGCATCATGTTTCTATGAAGACGAGGTGTAGCGTTTGCAGTTCGGGTGTTAACTTGTTGTCTAAAATAATTAATAGGTAAATTAATGTAGTAAAACTTATTACAAATATATGATACGCTAAATTTTATATTTAATTACTTAGTGTTTTGTTTATCCATCAACTGTATTGTTAAGTTCATTAACAATTAATTTACCTTGCTGTAGGGAGTCGGTGCGACAAATAGTCGGGTTGTTCTAGAAAGACACGTTATTTAAAAAAAAATACATAACCAAAAATTATATATATATATATATATATATATATATATATATATATATATATATATATATATATATATATATATATATATATATATATATATATATATATATATTTATATATATTTATATTTGTATATGTATATAGATATATATATATATATATATATATATATATATATATATATATATATATATATGTATTTTGTCGCTAATGTACACAGAACATTTTGTAATAGTATTTGTAACTACCTGCCATTTCCAATGCTTTTACTTTAGCATCTTCCTGATTTTTGGTGACAACTATGAAATCAACTTCATTGTTTGCGTTATCTTCAGTATCATCATCTCCATTATCTTGCTCTACTGATGACATTTCTTCATTATCTTGATACATACGGATGACATCTTTAAACTCCTCCTGACATATTTCACACATGAGTTTCACTATTGACTTGTCAATGCTGGTCTCACCACTGACTGTAGACACGTCTTGTTGTGTCAGCAGTTTTTTAACCTGACTTTTTAGTCTTTGGTATTGTTCTATAATACCTTTTGTTTTGAGGTTGGTAAACTTTGGATGCTGAATTTTAAATTGTGATTCGATATTTTTCCAGGCTTCTTGTCTATGAGCTCTAGTTGCTTTGTCTTTTTTCTTTGATTCTATGATGTCTCTTTGTTCATTGATCATCACAAGAAGGTCAGATTTTTCTTCTATAGACCAGTTTACAGTACGCCTTGAGTTTGTGCTGCTTTCACTGGCACTTGATGACCCACTTTGAGCCGCCTGCTCTTTGGTGACTTTTCTTCGTTTTGTTTTGTCAACTTTTATTAAATCTTTGCTTATCAAATCGACTTTACGGCTACAATCACCAGAACTTGATGGCTGACATTTACTCATCTTTTCTTCGTTTGTTTTTCCTAGTTAATTTTGTTTAAATAGATTAACATGATAAATATATAATTTACACAACCTAAAATATAATCTTGTCGTTCTAGATGTTTAGACGTATATGGAAATGAGAAGTAATATTAGACAGGCATAAATTTTAAAAAGTATATTAATAAGGTAATCTAAATTTTACATTACATTTAAACAAATATTATAGCCTACATTTATCCAAAGCAAGAAATATTGAATTATTTTTTCGAAACAAAACTTGAAACCAACGCACATATTATATACTGTTGGTTTATATACACAAAAATATAGATCATTAATACATTACTAAAGTATGATACTATTTTAACACTATATTTTTGAGAAAGATGTTTTTATATAGAGTTTTAGATGTTCTTATATTAGGCTATATAATTTTCAATGTGATGTTTTATACATAATTAGCTATAAGCAATCATCAATACAACAAATCAGATAACTATTTTAGATTTAGCATACCATGTTTAAAACATTCTCTGCTTTTCTTTTTAATTTCTTTTTTTAATGATTTATCAAATCCATTTCCACCCATAAGCCTTTCATCCCCTGCTATTTTGTGCATGAACTCTATGTTTGACATCAGTTTGCTAATCAGCTTAGGCAATTCGTCTTTTAGTGTTGTTTGTGCATAATGTAAACATTTTAGACTTATGTATGAGCAAATCTGAAACATAAAACAGATAGCTTTCATTTGATTTAGAACCGTTTATGTATAGCCTATAAATCGAAATGTGATTTTATGATATTTGTTACTTTTATAATACATAGTAATGTTTATGCAAAATCATCAGAAATTACACAATACTGTTAATTAAAAATACGCATGTTGATCACGTTTAAAATTCTGTGCACTGAATACAGTAAGTTTTAAATGTCTTTTTTGAAAACAATGTAATTACAATTATTTTGCATGAATAATAATACGATTAAGTAAGAAAATGAAGAAACTGTATTTTTGCGTACTGCTCAAATAAAATATATTTTGTTGCTAGTTAATTGATTAAACAGCTACAAAGTAAAACAATATTTTGATCAAATTATGTCTTTTGACTGCAATTATTAGATTATCTTTTTGATGAGAATGTTGAGTGATAAGCAACTTGTTCAGTCAATTTACAAAAAAAAAAAAAATATTTTCATTATTAAACCCATCCTACACTACTGTAATGAGCAAAATACATAAGGTGATTGTAAGCTGCGCTTGTCTTTGTTCAACTTACCAGACTAATATTGTTGTCATTTACACAGAATAATGTCAGGTCCAGCAGTAAATATTTAAACTTTTCTTTTCTCTGATAAACACAAGCTTCTTTTAATTTCTTCACAACCAATTGTATTTCATCTGAAATCAAACAACGTATATGTCTGCTATTTTTTACAAATTAATTACACAAGGTCAAGATTTATCAATTAAATATAAAATTAAACTGTAATGACTTAAAGAAAATATTATCAATCATCATTTTGTTTTCCTCGATCGTGCTGAAGACATATGGGGCAGATGAAATAGAGTGTATCTCTTGCAACAACATCGGCAATTTGGCTAATACCACACATTGCCGCCATTTTTACCAAACTTGAGTCTGGTGTCTCTAAGGGCTGTGTAAATATTAAAAGTCTCGATCCCAGTATCTGAACTCAGCATTTTCGTGTTAGTAGTCGTAGCCTCTACCATGTGAGTCAAAATATATTTGAAATACATTTTATGTTTATTTTTTGTTTAATTTAAAAAGGCGAAATGTATGGACTGTCAATATAGAATTTTTTTAAAATTATAGTCACTGCGAAATGAGTCACTTCTTCCGTCAGCTTACCTGTTGTGAATGTGACAATTTCTTTATTGTCTTGCAACAGAATGTTGATTTTCTTTAATAAAATCTGATCATTGATGTCATGAGTTGCTGGTAAATACTTAATAGCCTGGAAAAATATTATTATAAATATATTAACAAAACTGTATTTTTTAAATAAAATGAAATAACCTTCTGATTACAAACAAATCAACCTGCAGAACAGTTTCTCTTTCATCTCTTTCTAAATGTTTTGAGAGATTTGTTAAAACACTTAACATTTTTACAAAGTGATGAAGCACATTGACCTGCAAAACATTAATAATTATTAACTTGTATTCAGGTCGATATATTTTTCGTATTTTTACTTTTATAATACATCTAATAATGTGTGCAACAACGAAAAACTCGGGACAAATATAAATTAATGTGTTGCTTAGAATAAAATTAACCAGGTCAAGTGAATTGATGCAAAATTAACTAGAAAATCGTTAATTTCTAGATACGCTTTAAAATATAAATTAATTAGAGCTGAAACTTGAAGGTGATATGTTTGAGCCAGATAACAAAGTATGAAACAGACAAAATGTACAGGTTATTTTTTTAATTAGCACTACATTTTCATTAGGTGTTAATTAAAATATATGAAACTAATTTTAAATAATTTAAAATGATGAAAGTATATACCATAGGATATAGTCTATTAAATGTAAATTTGCTGAGTATCTTTTTTGTGTGCTTTTGTAAAATCTTGATTCTTATTACACGATTTCTACTCGTCCTCTCTCACTCTTTTGTCTCTCTCTTACAAATAGGTCAAACATTGACGTACCTCGCAGTTAATAAACTCTTTAATAGCTTTGATAAAGATACTTACTATTCTTTTCTTTGCAACACACTGTGTCAAGTTCAAAGAAGAAATATGATTAGTTATAAAACAATTTGTACCGATTTATAATGAAGTATGATATTTATCAATGCACTTTTGTTTCTACAATAAAATATGCGTCTTTAAGCAAATACAAATTGTAATTACCTCTGAAAACGCCAAATTTGATTTCATGTAAAATTCAACGATGCTTAAACCCGTCATTAGAATAAAACTTTGTATGGTGGAATGCATTGTCTGAGCTTTATTAAAGAGATCTGTTAAAGCGTCTGCATAAGAATAGGAACATTATAGTTACACTTTTTTAATTGCAATGTATTTAAGAAAAATATTTCTATAATAGATTATTAAATTCAATTGTTCCCAAACATTTATACTTTAATAAAGTGATTTAGCTCGACGAATTTTATAAGAACATAAACTATAAAATATGTTTTTAGAAATAAAAGAATTATTAACGTACATTTCAATAATACATTACCAACATCAATATTGACAGAGGTAGTAGCAACATAATTTACTAGTGATAATGTAAAAGAATATATATATATATATATATATATATATATATATATATATATATATATATATATATATATATATATATATATACATATATATATATATATATATATATATATATATATATATATATATATATATATATATATATATATGCCTATATAGCACAAAAAATGCTGTACCTGCATAAAAGGAAACATGTTCCTCTAGTTTTCCATGTCTTATAATATCTAAAAACAACATCCTTATTAGACTAGTTACAGAAATACAGTCGTCTATGAAGTGTTCTCTTGTTCTGTTTAGGACATCACAAATTATTTCAGCTCCTGGCTAAACAGTAAATATATCATACATTTAGATGTACATAAGTAAATTTCTGTTCTGCTTTCATAATACAACATACTGGCGATACAAAACATTTTACGTACTTAAATTTAAATTGTGAAATATAAATTTTCGTTGTATACCTCGTAAATCGTGTTTAGTAGTTCTTTGAAATTGATTATCCTGTAATATTTAACATATTAAATTAGAAGTATTTGCATACATGCTCAATTTCTGATATCTTGCTCTTTTAATTCTTTTTCAAAATCGGAATTTCAAATAGCTATATATTTTGTGACATTTTTCTCCCGTAATTTAAATCCAAATCTCTAAACCATAAAACTAAAAAGAAAATACATGTAGTTTTGCCAACATATTACAATACAATCCATAAAAATCAAAGATTTCACAAAACCAACACGAAAATTTTTAAAAATCTTACCTTGAGTTACTATCTTGAACAAGATTGCGAGCCGGGTATCTTGTAACATCATTTAAACCTGCTGGTTTGTAAATAATATGCTCATTCATTATAGCGGTATTTTGAAAATAATAAGACGCCAAGTATAAAACAGTATTTATTAACGATATTGGTAAACGAACATTTTAGTGGGTTTGAAAACTACAGGTTAAACGTGCTGAAATGAAACAGAAATGTTACAGCATTATTGTTTACATTTTTAGAACAAAAGTAATTTTCTATCTCAAAACTGAAAGTCAAACATAAATTGAATGCTTCGTTATATTTTATTTGTGTGAGTTTGATCTAAAAATTAGAAAAAATATGTTAGAAAATGGAATGGTCGGGCTTTTGAGCGTATGATCGGTAACGCTAATAGTCCTGAATTCAAAACTCACGTCAGACTAGATCGCTACGTATGGATTACATCACATCTTGGAGAAAAACACCAAAAATTATAATAATGCTGACTTGCACATTGTAACATCGTTCTTGGATAAAATATGGAAGTTTATCAAAAAAGACAGGTTGAGAGGTCATACGTGATTGTTTTGGATCGGTTTCTCTTTAATAATACAATTAAGAACAAAGAAGGAAACACAAATCATTATTTTGGATTTAATATATTTTAACTCACCAGAAGTGTAAATATGACTTGTCGAGTTTTCTCCTGTATTTGTGGCTAAAGATGACTGTAGATCCAACTCATTGAGAAAAGCTGTCCATAATTCGATGTCACGAGTTCCGTTATTTAAACAAACTGATCTTTGATGTAACTTGTGTAAACCAGAAAAAAATGAGGCAAATTCTAAAATATCGTTAGTGTTAACAGTAGCTTTTTTTTCTATCAAAGTCCGTACGACACGGTAATGTCCATTCTTTAGTGCCAGGTCATAAGCTGTTTGACCTTTTTTGTTGAACCTTTTGATGCCGTCGGTTTTCTTTATTAAAATCTGGACCACATCGTTCAACCCGTATTTAGATGCCAACATTAAAGCTGTGTTACCTTTGTTGTCTGTTGTATTGACGTCATCAGCTTTGTTTATCAAGATATGCACTACATGAGTTAGCTGTTGTATCTTTTTATACGTAAATCCATTGTTTCGTCGTTGATTTATCAGACCTAATTGTATGATAGCTATCATAAGTGGAGACCTGCCATCTCGGTCTATGACATTTGCTTCTGCATTTTTGTCTAGCAAATGTTCGATGATAGGCAAAACATTTTCCTCGACTTTTTTTTTCAAAAGTTTTATTAACATAGTTTCATGTTTGTAATCAGAAAAATTAACATCCGCATCTTGAACTAACAGATATTCTATTAGTTCAAATGTGTTGTCTTTATTCTGATAAGGTCCGGGTTTAAAATATGAAACATACATGAGTGCTGTTCTCTGTTTCTTGTCAACCTGGTTGACCTTTGACCCTTTACTGACCAAATCTTTCACCGTGTCGACTAAACCAGCTTGTGCCGCCATCATAAGTAAAGTTCTACCTTTAGGACACACAACATCATCTTCTTTATAAAGTTTACAGATTAGTTGCATGAAATACCTGTTTCCAGTTTCTAAAGCTATCATTAAAGCTGTTTTTTTGTATTTGTTTACTGCATTTATATCCTGTTTTATTTTAAGAAGGATTGTTGTATTGAATATGTCATTGTTAAATCGCACGTGTCTTGCATACAACATTAATAATGTGTTACTATCCTTATCTACAAGATCAAAATATGTTTCGTTTTTTGCATTAGACAAAATGCATTTGCACATTTTGGGGAAGTATGATGTAAAGTTCATACAAAGATTGATTCCAGATGCAGTTAGGTTAAAATATAATTTATAACATCTATATTGTTTTATTTGTGTTATCAGTATATTCTTTACTGCAGCATCAATCAGTGAAACGCTAATCTTTCTACCCAACAAAAATTCCATGACTTCTAAGTCACCACATTTAGTAGCCCACATTAAAACCGTTCTTCCTTTATTGTCTGTTTGATCTAAAGCTGACATGTGACTGCTGACCTGGTGTGAGCTTTGGGCTGATGGTTTAGTCTTTAGTAATAATTTGGTAATGTCACTATCACATTTTGCTTTAGCAGCCCACATTAACGCGGTCCGACCTTGTTTGTCTTGGATGTAAATGTCAGCTTTATGCTCCAACAGGATCCTGACCTTATCTAATCTACCTTCTTTAACAACTTTCATCAGCGCTGTTTCTCCTTTATTATCAACAACGTTAACATCAGCCTTGTGATGTTCCAACAATTGCTTCACTACATCGTCATTATCCCATCTTTCTACAGCATACATTAACGCCGTCTTTCCTTTACTATCCCCTATGTCAATGTCCCTATAAATTCCTGCTGGTATAAATCCCTTCTGTACTGCCAACATAAGCACCGAGGTTTTGTTGTTGTTGACATGGTTGACGTCAGCGCCGTGACGAAGTAGCTCCTGTATTATATCAGTTGGTTGATGCATATTGAATGAATAACTATCTTTCTCTATCTTTATAGCCAACATAAGAGCTGAGTTCCCATCATTGTCTTCATCATTAACGTTAACATTATATTTGGCAAGAAGTAGTTTGACATTCGCCAATGATTTCCTTTCTACAGCCAACATTAGCGCTGTTTTACCCAAATTGTTTTTATAATTAACATCGTGTTTACAAGAGAGTATTCGTGTTATGATACCTACACTTTGATTTTGTACAGCTAGCATTAGAGGTGCATTACCTTCATTGTCTACTATATTGACATCAGGATGGTGATCTAAAATTAGATTGATGAAATTATTATCTGTGCTGTTTTTTAACACTTTTATAATAGCTGTTTCACCACTGTTATCTTTTGCATTTAAATCCTTAGTCAGCAGTAATAACTTTTTCATAACTGTTTGTTGTGAAATTTCTAAATTAGTTGAGATGTAGTGCTGACAAGGCGGAGATGTAAAATAATTCTTTGACGAAAGTTCCATCAGTGCATTTCTTCCATCAGAGTTCCACACGTTAACATCTGCTCCATGTTTTAACAACACCCCAACAACCTCTGGTTTACCAGCCAGCATTAGAGCTGTGTTACCATGGTGATCTGTTTTGTTGACATCAAATCCTTTAGAAATCAGCCACTCCACAACTGTAACATGTCCACCAATAGCTGCTAACATGAGAGCGTTTTGTCCTTTAAAGTTAACATCCACAGTACCGTCATACAGTAACTCTACAATGTCCAAGTGTCCATTCATGGCCGCTAACATCAAAGCTGTATTACCATCTATATCAAATATAGAAAGATCGCTGTGTATTTTTATGTCCTTTACTATACTGCAAAAACCTTTCATAGCAGCTAACATCAAAGTAGTCCGACCTAATTTGTTTGTTTGGTTTATACTTGATTTATCTTTATCAATTTGATTCTGTACTAAAATTTTAACTGTTTTTACATGTGCACCTAGTATTGATAAATTCAACGCGGTATTCCCTTCTATGTTAATCTGTTTAGTATCAGCGCCCTTCTTAAGTAACAAATCTACAATGTTAGAGTGACCTCCCCTTGAAGCACACAAAAGGGCTGTCTCTCCATAATATGGACTTCCTGGGTAGTTGACATTGGCACCTTTCTCTAGTAAAAACTCCACAATATCTAAATGTCCTTTAAAAACAGATTTACCGAGCACAGATTCCCCATCTGAATTCAATAAATTCACATCAGCTCCAGCCTCAACTAAAGATTTTGTAATTTCAAAATAACCTTCGTCACAAGCATAAAATAGAGGAGGAGATTTACCTATATTAACGTCCGCACCATTTTCTACTAAAAATTGTACTATGTCGATTTTACCCCTTCTAGTAGATATACACAGTGGGGAGTCTCCTGGATAATCAGTTTTATTCACATCAGCTCCAGCTTGTACCAACATTTTTACAAGTTCAAAACATCCATCTTTACACGATTCATGTAGTGGTGTAGTTAACGATGTATAATTAACATCTGCGCCATTGTCTACCAGCAGCCTCACAATCTCAACAAAACCATTTTCTACAGAATAACATAGGGCTGTCTTTGTGTTTTTGTCTATCAAATTCACATTAGCTTTAGCTTTGACCAAAATTTCCACAAGTTCAAAACAGCCACTTTTACATGATTCATGTAGTGGTGTAGTAAACCATGGATAATTAACATCTGCGCCATTTTTTACCAGCAGCTTTACAATCTCAACAAAACCTTTTTTTACAGAATAACACAGGGCCGACTTGTCTTTTCTGTCTATCAACTTCACATCAGCCTTGTACTCCAGCAGTAATTTAACCACGCCCAGACGTCCAAATTGTGAAGCTTTTATTAACGCAGTCTGACTTCTGTTGTTTCTACTGTTTACATCAACTCCATGTGTAAGTAATATTCTCACTACATCAAATTTACCTTTACCTGCTGTCGAGACCAAGAAACATTGAATTTCATTCAGGGATTTCACATTTTTTATTTTTTTAATTGCTTGTTCAAGATCATCTAAATTGTGATCTTTTATAGCTATTCTTATTTCCTGTAAAATATGTTTATCCGATGTATCCATTTTGGTGAAGAAAGTTTCTAAAATTGAATAGATTCAAGAACAAAATAATCTTTAAAAAGGCGACATTCTGGAAAAATTGAAAGTTTTAATTATTACAATTCTAGTAATACAAATGTAAAAATCACCAACAGACTTTAAAATATAACATAATTATGCTATTGCTAACAATAACTTAACTAGAGTATACCAATTAGGCTGAGGAAAGCTTATAAATTATTTTAGCTAAAAAAGGAATAAAGTTAACGTTTAATTTGTCATATTCGACAATTTATGCAAGCACCAATGTACATCAATTGAAGCTTCTATTGTTTTGATTCGAAAAGTTTGTACAAGTTAAATTTGTTCTTTGGCCAAGACAATTATTAGAGAGCAGTCTTTTGAATGTAAAACTCAAAGGTATTTTGCACTTTATTTTGCGATAGCTAAGCTACTTTGTTATTTATTTTGTTATTTTGTATGCTAGCTAATTAGCTATAGGGCTTTTGCATAGCAATAACGATTTAAATGTCAAACTAAATTAGGCTATAATAAATATTTAATTTAGTTATTTAGCTAAGAAACAAATTGGTTATTATAGACTTATTATTGATTTCCTAAGTCGATATTGTAAGTTCTACAACTGTAGTGTTAGAAATCAACAGAAAAAGTCGTCCAGTCATAGTCGTAGGTTTTATAATGTCAATATTGGGTGTTTTATAAACGTAATGTGCAATTTGATGTTGGCTAATGTTAACGGTGGATCAGCAGTTTTCAAGTTACGTGTCACTGCACCTCTATTGTAAAACATGAAATCTTGTTACTTTCCCATCACTCAGCCCATAAATAGTTTTTATGTTAGTCCGAATATGGCAAACGCCAGAACCAACAATTGTCTGAATATGACAAATAACTGAGTGGACACTTGCGTAAATGCGATAATCACAAGACATATGATCTCAGACAAAATATCTGAAACAAAATATCTCAGACAAAATATCTCACAGCTAAATTGTAATAGTGTGTTGGATGATTTTAGTTGATCTGAACATTTATTTATTGACAGTCATTTGTCTTGAGATCTTTAGCCCGTGTGATAATATATTGTCTGTAATATTTTGTCTGTAATATTTTGTCTGAGATCATTTGTCCTGAAATCATTTGTTATGTAACTGAATGGAAACTTGCGTGAATGCGATATTTTGTCTGTAATATTTTGTCTGTAATATTTTGTCTGTAATATTTTGTCTGTAATATTTTGACTGTAATATTTTGTCTGTATTATTTTGTCTGTAATATTTTGTCTGTAATATTTTGTCTGTGATATTTTGTCTGTAATATTTTGTAATATTTTGTCTGTAATATTTTGTCTGTAATATTTTGTCTGTAATATTTTGTCTGTAATATTTTGTCTGTAATATTTTGTCTGTAATATTTTGTCTGTAATATTTTGTCTGTAATATTTTGTCTGTAATATTTTGTCTGTAATATTTTGTCTGTTATATTTTGTCTGTAAGATTTTGTCAGTTATATTTTGTCGGAGATCATTTGTTATGGAACCGAACGTACACTTGACCGAATGTGATAACTACCCCAATGGACACTTGCCTGAATGGGACGCATTGCCCGAAAGCCGCAAGTGTCTTTCAGGAAAGCGTCATTCTCTCGTATTAGACCGCCATAAGCCTAGTTATTGGTTCTGTTTGCAATTAAAGTAAGCTCCATATGGCCCGACAGGTGCCCAGAGTGCGCTGGCTCATCCAACAGTTTTTCAGCGTTGATTCAATCTGTACCGACTCATGTGTGTGGCCCACCATATAAACGGACAACAGATCAGGGGCTAAAATAGACACAGGGATTTTCCCAACGAGAATACTTTAATTCACGGCGATCACATTAAAGACAAACAAACAAACAATCAAACACTCAAGACATTTGTTGTCAAGTACTCGCTTTATTTACAGCATCGAGCCATGACGGCGATGCAACACAGTAGTACAAAACAAACTAGCCAACAAGAAAAAACCAAAACCAAAACTGTAGCCCTAAAACAAATGTAAATTAAAAAAAAGTGACATTCCTTACAACACCATGTGTAGGCTACAATATACACGGGTATAATAAAATATGTTTTGGCCAGTACACAGTAGGCCTACTGCCAACAAGTACCAATAAGTAGTACTACAAATAAATACTTATATAAATACTAACCTTAACTAGTGTGCACATGCAGCACTAACAGGAATATACAAATAAGTCTTTTAACAAACATAATTTATATAACTACCTTCATTAGGTCTACATCTTGGTCACTGTGTCCACAGACAGCAGGCTTGCGTGTGACTGACACGGCTAGGCATGAAACTACCCACAGTCCCATGTCACATGACATGGAACACAGGTAACATCGCTCACAAAAGCATGAAAAAAGAAACTACGTCCACAGGGCCACAGCCCGACAGGGGCCGCAACTCAATGAATCAAAACTTCATTTGTTATCCCCCTTGGCTGGTAACCATATGTGTTACATATATATATATATATATATATATATATATATATATATATATATATATATATATATATATATATATGCATTTAATTCACGGCGATCACATCAAAGACAAACAAACAAACAATCAAACACTCAAGACATTTTCACTTATACAAATACATTATATATATATATATATATATATATATATATATATATATATATATATATATATATATATATATATATATATATATGAATCTCTCTCTCTCCCTATATATATATATATATATATATATATATATATATATATATATATATATATATATATATACATATATATATACATTGAATACATAGCTTTAAATGACATAACGTTCAAATAACGTACATAAATTCAAAACTAATTTTCAAAAATACTTACTAGATAGTTAAATACCGTGTGTATAGTATATTTGAAAATTGTTCATCAGTTTAAATATTAATTAAATAAGCCTACGTGAATGACAATATGGAAACAATTTCGCGCCAAACATTCCAATCCCGCTAACATGTCTTGTTGATCTGAACGTCTCACAGTTTTTGAGGAATGGGTCGGTAGTTTAAAAAATCGAATGGGGATTCCCCGTTTGGTAATCTTTGAAATTTCCTTAAAGTTATTTTTCTTGAACATGTATCTGCAATTTTCTTTTACTTGCATTTTCAGAAAGTGATTTTTAAATTCTTGAAATTCAATAACCCGCCTTTTTTTCCCACAAATTCGTATGACGTTAATAAAACTCAAATGAAATAAATATACACCTAAACTTTGTTAACGAAGTAGCATACGCTGTTGCACTCAAAATACCATATAGTTGATTGTAACATTAGCATCTTTTCTTACATCATATTGCGAGGGCTATTTTATTATAGCTGTATATTGTAAATTACACATATATATATATATATATATATATATATATATATATATATATATATATATATATATATATATATATATATATATATATATATATATATATATATATATATATATATATATATATATATATATATATATATATATATATTCTGGATAATTGATATAGATTGTTGTTAAATTACACATGGGCACATTTTTTTTATCATGTTGCTGGAGCTCAACGATCTGAAGTTGTCATCTTTCACTTGGTTATATGGAAACCGTGTACAATATGAATTCATTCCTCGAACACACTGCTAAGTTATGCAGTTATTATCATACATGAGCCGAGTTCACTGTATTTTTATATTTAAAAAGTGACAAGTAACATTTATTTTGAAAAACAACAATAGAACAAGTCAATGCTACAGCAGCAAACACCAGTAAACCACAATCCCAACTAACAACAGACAACACTTATATAAAGGAAAAATGAAAACAGCTCCACATCCGGGCAAGGGAAGATAACAAAAACACACAAAAAAATTACTAATACAGGGCACGAAACACCCACCAAAACAGCAGCACCACAAAAAGGGAAAGAAGATAACCCAAACATCACCCAAATTAAAGAGACAAAGACAATATCCTAATACCAAAAGTCATACAGCAATCACGTAGCTCGAAAAGTCTAGTTAAACTAACAACACCTCTTGAAAGGAATGACGAAACTAAATCACAAAAGGAAAGAAAGTTCAAGACCATTTTACCCCAAAACCAAGAAACCACAACCAAATTTAACGAAAAGACACTCATATCATAGAACAAATACATTAGACCAGTAGCTCTACCATAACAATGGAAAAAAAATACCCTAAAACCCCACGAAAATAACTAGTAAACCAAGTACACAACAACACAAAGTGCAGATACTGCGCTAAACATTAACCGCGGTAACTGAATTTCACGACAAAGTAATTCACGCCGACAGGGAAATGCAACACGCACACAAGCATCTAAATGAAATTGCCTTCACATGTACCAAACTGCAACATAACACACCCACAAGTAAAAGAAATTAAAGCTGCACATATAGCACTATCATCCCCAGAAGTATCTAAACTTCGATGAAATAATCTACATAATCAGGAAGACCCTTACAAAGACCACATAATACATTGTGGGTTCAGGAGCAACATGTGGTGTGGGCTGATGAGACTGCGTAATTTGTGACCTGGAAGGTTTTGCTGGCCATTGGATTTGATGGTAACTTGTTTAACTGTTTTTGAGGTTGAATAGATGTCTGGTAGGGTTAAGTTTAGTGTTTGAGTTTGGTTTAGGGTTATGTGTTATTTTCTGAAAAGTAGAGTTGTTGCACTTTTTGTATCTTTTTTGTTTACATGTCATATTTATTAGCTCGTTATCTAAATTTGAATTAGGATTAGAGCTGGGGGATAGGGCTAAAAACTTTTTCTACAAGGGTAGATCTTAGGGTTAGGGAATGGGAATGACGATAACAGTAAGGGCCAAGGGGTAGTGGTTAGGGCTAAAATTAGAAAAAAAAACATTGTTGTTGATTATTTTTATTATAGCAAATATTAAGAATTATTTAAGAATTATTTTTGAATT